TAACTAAAAATTAATTATACCCTTAGCTAGATTTAAACTAACTTTAGTATTATAGCTAATAAGCTTCCTAGGTATATAACTACTATACTATAAGGGTAGTATATATCTATAAGGTTAATAGTACTATAAGTATTTAAGTATATAGGGACTTTAGTAAGGTTTTACCTTAATATTATTATAAGAGTTTTAAGTAACTATCTTATAAGTATTAAGTTTATTAAAAGAGAGGCGTTTACCTTAATATCTTACCTTTTCTTTATTTTATAGTATTAAGTTTAAGAGTCTTTATTAAGGTCTCTACTTTTAAAGAATTAATATATTTTATAGATATATATCCTAGCTTATTATATTAGAAATATATAATTCTTAATTAAGTAAAAGATCCTTTTCCTTAATAATATCCCTTAGTTTAGCCCTTAATAAGTATATCGCTAGCTTATTAGCCTCTTTAATTCCTCCCTTTATATATACTACCTTAAGGTATAATACTATTTTTATTCTTAGTTCCTTTAAAGGTAAAAGTAGTATTAGTATATTACTTCTTATTAATAATTATATCTTAATATTATTAAGCGACTTATATAAGCTCTTCCTATTAATAGGTATAAATAGGTATTAAATAAAGGTTAGTTTAGTCTTAAAGTTATAGCTTTAGCTTAGTAAAAAATATAAGAGTATATACCTTTTTTAATAAGCGTTTAAAATACTTTTTTAAGGAGTTAAGGTATAAGCTAAACTTTAAAAGGGACTAGCTTTCTTATTAGTAAGCCTCTTTTAATTATATCGCTAATAATATTACCTTATTTATAGTATCCTTAATTAAGATAAGTATTTATTCTTTAAAGTATACTTAATCTATATTATATTTAGTTTAGTTAATCGGCGTTTATTCTTTAAGGTATTAACGCTATCTCGCTTTATAGTCGCTATATATATAATCTACTATATAAAGGATCTTTATTTTATCGCGATAAAAACGTTTAAGCGCTACCTTAAAGGCGTCCTTTAAATCGTAAGTCTAGTTTAGTTATTTCTATATTTTAGTAGGTTAAGATAATTAAGCGATATTTTTAATCTTAACCTTACTACTATAACTATTATCCGATTTAAGAGAGTAGGACTATCGATGCTTTCTTAAACGGATAGCGATAGTACTAGCGCGTTTAGTAAGTTCCTCCTTTAATTATATAATACGATTTTATAAGAGTTTTATTTCCTCTAGCTCCTTAATACGCGCTTATAAAGCTATAAGCTTTTCCTTATAAGATAGTTATCTTATATTTATAAGTAGCGATATCTTTAATATAGTTATAATACTATCTATAGTTATTACGAAAAAGATATAGCCGTATATTAGATATAAACGATAGCGTTAATTAACGTATATAGAGTACGCAATAATAGTAAGGGTCTATTTTAAGTATATATCTTTTTATTCTTTATCTCTTAAGTAGATACTTTAATAGGTAAGATCGTACCCCTATAAATATTAGCCTATTAAAGGGATAAGACCCTTAGCACTCCCTATCTAACTTCCTTTTAAGTATACTTAAAGGCTTTATAAAGACCTTAATTATCTAATTAGGAATCTTCCTTAATAAAAGTTAATTTAAATTTTTTATTTTTCCCCTTTAAAGTAAAGGCCGCTAGTTATACGACTTTAGTAGAGATAAAGAGGTATAGAGTAAAGAAATCTCTAAGACTTATATTAATAACCTAAGACTATTAGAGCTATATATAGGACTAATAATTAAATAATTACGTAGTTAATTACTCTATTAATCCTTAGCTATATACTATACGTGCTTTAGGTATATGCCCTCGTCCCTATTAAAATACTTAATATATATAATAAAGAGGCCTCGATTAGTTAACTACTATATCGCGCTATAAGAGCGTTATATAGTCTTCTCTAAATAGCTATCTCTACTAAGTAACTAAAAAAAGAAGCTTTAGAAATTATAAGGGAATATATATTATAGTATAATTAGTTAGGTAGTAGAGATAGCTAGAGGTACTATACTATATATATAATATTCTCCTTATCGTAAGACTAAAGCTTATAAGAAAAGGGATTTCTCCTCTTTAGTTAAAGTAGTAAGTAGTATATAACTTACGAGTAAGGTAAGTACGATTCCCTACTAATACCTTATTAATATATTAGTACTATATACCTAAGTGCTTTATTAACCTATACCTCTTAGTAGCGCTCTTATAATATACCTAGTAAAATAATTTATCCCTACCTTAAATATCTTTTTTTTTCTCTTTCTTATATTATTATAAGGATATACTACTTTATTAGTTATTACTCTATAGTATATACTTAATAATATATATATTAATATACTTTAGATAGTATTATATATTCTTTTCTTTACTATCTTAGAAGGGTAAAAGTAGTAGTCGCGCTACTAGACCCCCGCTATATAGTAAGTATAGTAAAAGGGAATAAAATTAACTAAGTAATAGCTTCGTTAATTAACTATATATAAGAACGTATAGCTTAATAACTAAATAACTAACTAAGGGCCTTAGCGACGTATTACTTATAGTATCTATAAAAGCGTAATAGTAGTCAGTAAGAAATACTATATAAGTATTACTAATTATATATATATATATATTACTATTTATATACTCGCCCTATTTTTAAGATATATACTAACGCTAGCCCGCCCCGCCTATTTATACTACGCGCGCCTAGTAAGTAGTTACCTATACTACTTAAATGCCCGCACCCGCGCCTACGCCCGCCCGTATATATATATATAGATAAAGGCTATATAACGCATGCCTCTTAATTCGCTTAAATAATATATTTCCGAGCCTTAAGCTCGAAGTTATAATTATCGGCCCGTTAATTAATCCGGCTCCTCCTCTAGCCCTTACGGCTGTGTGGGCGGCGGCGGCGGCGCCGCCTTAATTGCATCCTACTTAACGATCCCTCTAACGCCTAACGAAGCCGGCTGCCCTAACGAAGCCGGCTGCCCTAATAAAGCCGGCGGCGCGCCCCTCCTGCCGCGTCTTCCTCTTAATCCCCTTCCCCTTATATTTCCTTGAGCTAACGATCCTTGTTATAACGCTGCGAGAGAGCGCGGGTTATAGCTAAGTTTATCGATCTCGTCCCGCCCCCGGCGCCTTTAAACGCTCGCGTTAAGCCGCCTTAAGCTAGCCTAACTCGAATTAGGAAGCTATAACGCCCGTATAGCCGTAATAGGCGGCTATACCTATAGTACCGGCTATAATACCGTCTATAATACTATCTATAATACCGTCTATAATACCGTCTATAATACTATCTATAATACTAGCTATAATGCCCTCGCTATAGGGGAGCTTAGTATAAGTAGCGTATTATTATAGAGCCGGCTATATATAATAGTAATAACGTCTATCGTAGCGCTAGCGGTAATAGCTTTAAATTCAGTATATATATAGGTTATATATACGGGTTATATATACGGGCGTTTAGGCGGTACGGGTACTTACTAGGCGTGCGCGGTATAAATAGACGGGGCGGGCTAGCATTAGTATATATCTTAAAAATAAGGCGAGTATACGGATAGTAATATATATATATATAATTAGTAATACTCTACTATATAGAGCGTGTTATTATATTATCGTGCTTTTAGTACGTTACTTTTATAACTTAAGTACCTATAAGTATCTTTATATATCAATTAAGTATTGCTAATTATATATATACGTATTGCTATCTATCTACTCGCCCTATTTTTAAGATACTTTCCAACGCCAGCCCGCCCCGCCTATTTATACCGCGCGCGCCTGGCAAGTACCCGTACCGCCTAAATGCCCGCACCCGCGCCTGCGCCCCGCCCGCACACACAACGCACTTTTGGTCGGTCATATAACGTATGCCTCTTAATTCGCTCAAATAACGCATTTCCGAGCCTTAAGCTCGAAGTTGCAACAATCGGCCCTTTAATTGATCCGGCTCCTCCTCTGGCCCTTACGGCTGTGTGGGCCCACTCAATGGCATCCCACTCAACGATCCCTCCAACACCTGACGAAGCCGGCTGCCCTGACGAAGCCGGTGGCGCGCCCCTGCGCCCCTCCTGCCGCGTCCTCCTCTTGATCCCCTTCCACTTATATTTCCTCGAGCTAATGATCCTTATTGTAACGCTGCGAGAGGCCGCGGGCTATAGCTAAGTTTATTGATCTCGTGTTGCCCCCGGCGCCTTCGAACGCTTACGTTGAGCCGCCTTAAGCTGGCCTGACTCGAATTAGGTAGCTGGGATGCCCTTATAGCCGGCTATGACCGTGATGCCGTCTGTGATGCCGTCTGTGATACGGCTGTGATGCCCTCGCTGTGAGGGAGCTTGGTATAGGTATCTTATTATTACGGGGCCGGCCGCGTGTAATGGTGACAACGTCTATCGCAGCGCTGGTGGTGATAGCTTCAAATTTGGTATGTGTGTAGGTTGTGTGAATAGGTTGTGTGTGCGGGCGGGCGCAGGCGCGGGTGCGGGCATTTGGGCGGTACGGGTACTTGCCAGGCGCGCGCGGTATAAATAGGCGGGGCGGGCTGGCGTTAGTACGTATTTTAAAAATAGGGCGAGTGTACGGATAGCAATACGTACATGTACAATTGGCAATACTCTGCTATTACGATAAACATGCTGTGCAAAGAAATATCGTTATAGCCCAGGTTGACTGGTAGTGCTAGAGATAAAAGCGTGGCGGTGGCACGGCAGCGGGGGCCTCACCAGCACCCCGCAGCTGAAAAGAGCATTGACCGGGGGTCGTCGCGGCTGATGCGCCGCCACGGGCTTACTCTCGGACACCAGCCCGGATTATTTAGCCGACACTGGGACTCGGCAGGGCCCATAAAACACTTGGTCCCGGGACGACGCCGGCAGCCCAGGCCGCATCGCGACGACGACCTCACCACCCAACTCAGGCCCAGCTCGAGTCACAGCCACCCCCCAGAATCTCGCGGAAAGCCCCAGTTGATCTTCCGCTGCACCGTCAACATGGCATCGCCAAAGCCCCGCCGCGACTGGCTCTACCTCGCCGGCATCGGCATGCAGCTCATGGGCATGCTCAGTGCGTCTCGACAGCGCAAGCCCAAGGCCCCGAAGAGCCGTCTCCAAAAACTGACAAGGCCCCTTTCTTGACACCCCACAGTCATGGACCTCGTCCCCTTCTACCCCGCCTCCCTCTGGGAGCCCCCCTCGTCGCCCCTCCACGCCCTCGTCTCCCTCCGCGCCTCGTACGTCTCCCGCTCCGGCGACCCCTACATGGACGCGGCCCTCGACGCCCACGAGCCGTGGTTCCGCCTCTTCCTCTACGTCGAGGGCCTCGTGCAGCTGCCCCTGGCCGCCTACCTCGTCTACCAGCTCGCCTCGTCCCGCCGCGCCTCGGGCCCCGCCGAGCTCGCCGCCCTTGTCTTTGGCTGCGTAACGGCCATGAACGCCTCCGTCTGCTGCTTTGAACTGTGGCATATGGGGCCCGATAGGCTGAGCCCGAGGTACAAGACTACCCAGCTCTACGGCACCTATCTGCCCTTTGCCGTCATTCGTGAGTGGCCTGCGCCCACCCTCTTTCCTGCAGCTCTCGTCGGCACCACTGACATTGGGCCCGTGTAGCCGCCGTCATGGCCGTCGACATGTACCTGCGGCTGTTGCCTCGGGTGCGCGGGGACTCGTATGTCGAGGCAAAGAAGAAGAGGTCATGAGCAGCTGGGCGTTTGCACATACGTCCAAAAGGGTTCTGTGAGAACCTGCAAGACCCACCTGCTTCTTACATGCTTCTCACGTGCCGAGCACCTACACTAAGTAGTCATAGCTTACAAGCCATGATGGGCCAAGAACTGCATCCATCAACACCATCACTATGTCTCCCAAGTCTCCAAACTCCACGTCGGCCCAAGGCGACGTCCACCCCATAACGCCCAAGCAGAATAATTACCCCAGTCCACTCCTTCTCGAGGAACAAATCAGAACGAACGTGACAAAGACAAGCCTCAAAACACACATGTCGTGAAATTACCAATTACCTTGACACAAACAAGAGTCTCTCGTAGCCAGGCAACCGCGAGCTAGTCCTTTCGCTTCGAGTACCCCCAGCCGTTGCCGACGCCGTTAAGGCCATAGCCCAGGGGCGTTGCGCCGCCCATGGCCCTCCCCCTGAGGCGACGGGGCAGGACGACGCCGAGGGTGTACATGCCGGCGATGAGCAGGCCGGCGATGAAGGCGACGAGACTGTAGAAGACGGTGCTAGCGTAGACGTGGCCGCCGAGCCCCTGCCACTCGACCTTGCCCTCCGTCCTGGGTAGGGCCGGGGTCGGGAACCAGCGGACGGACAGGGTCAGGGGCAAGGGGTCGCCGATGATGAGACGCTTCGTGTCGGCACCATCCATGTGGCTGAGGGGGCTGGTGCTGTAGGCAATGGCCGAGTCGAGGACGCCCGAGTCGTGGGGCCGCATGTGATGCTTGGGAGTGCTGTGCAGCAGCACGTTCATGTGGGTGCTGACGTGCATGTGGCTAAGCTGGAGGGTGCCGGCGACAGCAAAGACGAGTGGGATGTACTCGCGCGCGCGCGGCTTCTCGCCGACGACCTCGACGTGGGCGGGCGGACGGGCGGGGAGGCGGCAGGAGAGCGGAGCGTCGCTGTGGATGTAGAACTCGAGCAGGTGGAAGAAGGGATCCGAGACGACGGGGATGGTGCAGTTCAGCTCGGCCTCGATGCCGTAGCCAAACTCGAGCGGCTTGCCGGTTTCCTTGCAGTTGGGGAAGGGAATCCACTGCAGCTCGTGGTTTGCCAGTTCAATATGCTCTCCAGTCTCCCTGAAAGACAGGCTATTCGTCAGCATATGCGCGCCAACAGCCGCAAAAAGGAAAGACGGAACGGTGCGTCGAGCTACTCACGAGCTGCGATTCATGCACTCGACCTGGATAGGAGCGCCATAATGGTACGAGGGCAAGCCGTCGAGATGCTCCAGCGGCGACTGCGACGACGACGACGACGAAGCAGCGGCGACCAAGACACCGGCCCAGGAAGACAGCGCGACAACGGCAGGCAGGGCGAGCATCATGGCGAGCAGCTGATGGAGGCGGCGATTGTCGGCGGCGAAGGAAGCGAAGTCGAGAATGAGGCAGCGGGTTCTGGTCGAGGCATGGCGCGCTGCCCGGGGGAGGGGGGGTTCGGAGTGTGTGTTCCTCTTAAAAATCGGATGCCAGGCTGGCTTTAGATGGATAGCATGGCGTTGAGTTAATGCCGGGATCACGTGTGTTTTCTTTTGCCTGGCCGTTTCAATTGCCGCGGATGGGAAATTATTATGTAAGCACATGCAGGTACCCGGGACTTCAACACCTCCAACAAGGCGTCTTCAGCCACCAAAAGGCCTCTCGGAATAGCTTCACTAACCCGAGACACAAGACGTCAAGGCTCAACGCCCGTCATGCTCAGCACCTCCCACTCGACCTCCCATCCTCCCCCCCCATGCTTCTCCGCAAGGTGCCTCCTCACCAGCTCCCGCACCTTGTCCACCGGATGCTCCATCCTCGTCTCCTCGTCCCACCACGTGGCCATCAACCACGGCAGCATGACGCCAAACGCCGCCACAAACTCGCCCGCGTCCTCGACCCGCCACCGCCCGCCCACCGTCCGCACCGTCACCCCGGCGAGCCCGTGTCGCTTCCGGAGGTGCTGCTCCACCCACGCCGCGTCGTCCCACCGCCCGCTCGAGTGCATCTGCATCGGCATCGTGTCCGGCAGCGGCGGTGTCGGGAACGGCAGCGACGCAAACGCCGACCGCATGTCTGGGTACCAGAACATTTGGCCGTTGCGCTGCGGGAAGGTTGTTGCGCCGAAGATACCCCCGGGCCGCAGCATGCGCCGGCAGTCTATCCCTGGTTAGATTTCCGTTCCTTTGTTCGTCCTCATATAGTCTTACCTTCGATGACCGCGTCTGGGTCTGGGATAATATGGAGCCCCAGCGCGACGGCAACGTGACTAAACGAGTCCGCCGGCAATCCGCTGTCCTGCTCACATCCAGGTGTAAACAAGAGAGTGAAGCTTGGGATGGAATAGTGGCTCACTCTTGCATCCGCAACCCTCGCCTCGACATTCACCCACCCCTCCGCCGCCGCCCTCTTCCTCACCAGCCCAATCATCGCTTCGGAGCTGTCGGCGCACATAAACCTGCTCCGCCTCAGCACCTCCACGGCCAGCGCCGACTGCACCTCCTGCGTCACCACCCCGGTCCCGCACGCATTGTCCAGCAGCGCCACCGACGATGTTGTCTGCGGCAGTCCCATTTGCTCCAGCAGCGGCGCCGCCAGCAGCCGCAGCATCTGCCGCGACACCATCACCAGGTCCTGTTCACTCGTCGTCGTCTTCTGGCCGGCTCGCTGGAAGAGCTCGGATAGGTTGGCCGCCGCGTCGGCGAGGCTTGGTTGGTGCGGCATTGTCCTCCTTTATCGTCCCTTTCTCAAGAAAGAACATAGATGTAAGTGCAGAGCCAGAATGTCATGTCGTGCGTCAGCCTACTCCGGTACCAGTCATATATATACCTGTATGCGTATACTGTATGCGTATGAATATCCGTCCACATGTCGAGGCAAACCTCCGCAGAAAGCCCCGAGAACCCTCCCTCGGAGCCTTGACGGCTTACAGCCACCCATCCTCGGACACCTGACGAGCGGGGGCTCCTAAGCAACTTCATTCTTAGCCGAGCAGTAAGGCGCTGGCTTCGGTCTCCCAAGTGTCCGAAAAGTCACCGCTCTGTGCTTTCACGCCTAGATTTCGACCTACGACAACACCAATGCTTCCGGAAACCGCGGGATGCGTTTCAGCGGAACTTACAACCCTCCGTCCAAGTGAAAGGCTTCTGTCCTCGTTGAATTCGCAGAGGCCCTCAGCCGCCAAAGTCTTAAGGTGTTGTATCCTGCCTGGCACACAAAGCTTCACGTAGATTCACATCAGGTCGAGGACAGGCAACGTCTCGGGATGCCATTTTCCCCTCGCATCCTCCCTTACCTATGCAACAGCTAGCAACAAAACCAATGTCCCTACCTGCGCAATTATATGCTACATGCAATGTCTTGATCAGAAACACGACCCGACCCGTTGGCGCCCACGTACCCAACCCACCCCCTGTCGAATTCCATTCATTCCCTGCTGGCCTGTTCCGAAAATGTGCAGAGGCATCGTCTCTAGCTGCCACGCTTCTCATCCTCACATGAACCGGAGGCTCCCCGTCGCTACCCTCTCCATCAGCCCGGAAACCTCTCGCCGCAGCGTCCTCAGCACCCGCCTCACGTCCGCCAGGTCCGCGCCCCCGTTGTTGCTGCCCTGGCCCGGCGGCGGCAGCGCAGACTCGCACCGCGCCAGCAGCTCGCCCACCGACGGCCCAATGGTCCCGCCCTTGCCCGACCCGCCGCGCCGTCGCACCTCGCCGACCCAGCTGCTGACCACGTAGGCAATCATCTCGATGATGCGGTTGCGCGCCATGCCGCTGAACCCGTAGTCTTGCGTGTCGAATATGTCCTCGAGCACGCGCAGAATCATGTCGTGGGACACGCCCAGTGCGAGGAACAGCTGCACGGGCCACGTCGGATCCGCTCCGATGCTGGCGTCCTGCTGGTATGCCACCGCGTAGCGGCACAGCTCCGGGAGCAGCGTCTGGATCGGGAAGGCAAAGCTGTCGAGGGACGTGTGGTGCGCAATGTTCTGGATCTTGCTCGTCACCGCCTCGTACGGCATGGGCGGCGACGGCATCCCCGGCCCCAGGCCCTCGAGCCTCGACGTGATTTCGTCGTGCGTCTGCTGAATCAGGTTGCTCCAAGTCCCGGCAATGGTCGTCGGGTTGCGGTAGTTTGCCGTGTGGTAGATGAGCAGGCACAGGTCGTAGTAGCCGGCGTTGTCCGCAAACTGGTTAAACAGCTGCCAAGATTGTGAGCAGCCACTCAAGACGGGACTGGGGCTCGTAGCGCGGGAGCGTCTTACCTCGGAGAGTTCCAAGATCTTGCCATCCAGTGACTGCTCAATTTCGATTCTCTTCTCGGGGTCGATCCTCTCGTCCATCCTCAACCGACCCAGCAGATCATCCTGGATGTTGGCAACCTCGAGCGACTCGCTGACGACGTGGTTCAGCATTTGCTGCTGCTGCCGGCTGACGCCGACAGTTGCCACGCTGGCGTTGGCCTTGGCCAAGCTCAGCAGCCTGATCCGGTCCTTGATGCCGAGGGCAAAGTCGGACAGCGCCAACTCGGCCTGGACCTCGGCGGCATCAAAGAATCGGCTCCGGTTGGTGTAGAAGCGGCACAGCAGGTCGGCGTGCTCCGCGCTGGTGCCGGCCAGGCGCTGGAGAAACGTGACGACGTGGGGGGAGTCGATGGCCAGGATGCGGTCCGTCCAGCCTTGCTGGATGTACCACTCGTACAGGTCAAAGTGAAAGACCTCATCGTCGGACCCGTTGACCACCTCGTACGCCTCGAGCCGCTTGGTCGCAATCAAGGTCAGCTTGCCGTCCACCATCTCGGGCTCCTTGCTCGACGCCGTGTCGAGGTGCTGCAGCGCGTCGTGGATCAAGTCGTAGCACCGTCTCCGCTCGTTAAAGGCGCTGGCCCGGGGGTCGTTGACCGGCTTGCCGTCGTTGACCCACATGAGCGCCGTGTTGCCCCGGTCCCTCTCGCGGGCGACGACGAGGCACAGCCGCACGGCACCGGCGTAGTACTTCAGATCGACGTACTGGATGACGGCAGTCTGCAAGTTCGCGGGCGTGAGGCTGCCAGCCACCTTTTCAAAGAGCTTTAGGCTCTCGTGCAAGAGGCTTCTCGACAAGTTGCTATTGAGCGGCTGCTCCGACGCCCGCTTGAGTTGCTCCTGGGCCTTGAAAATGACGACATCGTCCGGACTGCAGAAGCTGCCGCATCTTCTCCGCAAGGCGTCTGCTACGGTTTCCACGTTGGAGCCGCTCTCGATGTTGCGGTTGACAATGGCCTTGACCAGCACCTTGGCAAGGTCTTTGCCGTCTGGCTGCGAAAATAGCTTCTCGTACCGAAGGTCCTTTAGGTGCTGTCGCGCCGTGTCGTCGAGCCGGGTGAAGATGTCGGTCGCACGCTCATCAAACATCATAAGCACGAACGAGATGCCCTCGGAAATGCTCTCCATCAGCTTCTGTAGCGCGTGGAGCGCCTGGTGCTCCGCCTGCAACGCCACCTCCTCCTGCCGGCTCGAGACCCGTTGCAGGTCCGACGGCCCCGACATGCCCTGGATGAGCCCGCGGTTCGATTCGATAAACTTCCTCAGGCGCTCGAGGTTCTCCTGCGTGGCGACAAGCTTGGGCAGCGGGACGGCCGAGTCGATGACGATGCCACCCGCCGGCGAGACACCCGACTTGATGACGGGTGCCTTCCACAACTTGCGGATGAGACGCGACAGGTAGAGGGCCAGGGCGTCGTGACGCGACGACAGTCTCACCGAGTCGGTCGTCAAGGCAGTGCCGTCCGTCTCGGTTATGGTGGGCTGGCCGCCGAAGTCGACAAAGAGCCCCCTGGCTCGGTCCTCGGTCGCCTGGTCTATCGCCCGCGCCGCACCGGGCCGCGCGTCTCCGCCGTGGCCGCAAGCCACCGCCAGGGCCGCCGACACCGTCTCGACACGGCCGTAGAGCTGAATCAGACGGCGCGTGATGGGATCCAGCGCCTCATCGCCAGGAGCGTCCCGGATGGCCGCGGCAAAGGTATCCACCAGCCGGCGTCTCCGAATCACGTGGACGCCCGTGTTGGTGAGGACGGCAAACTCGCTGGGCGGCTCGTCAAACTGCACCGCCAGCTCGTTGCCGAACCCCAGCGGCTGGGGGGCGGCGGCAAACGGTCTCGTGATGAGGCCCACAGCCTCGGCGCGGCTCCCAATGTCGATCCAGCTGGCTTGCTCAAAGTACCGCAGCGGCGTGGTGGGCGAGGTCCGTTTTATCCGCCCCGACTCGGGCCCGGAGACAAAGAGCGTGTCGGCGTTGGCGTTGTCGCTACTGCTCACAAAGTCCAGGAAATAGCCCGGCGCGAAGCGGGCGCCTCGCCTGCTCGACAGCAGCATTGTCGAGTCCAGATCGATGACGGATTCGCTGCTCGACTGCCCCGACGCAAAGTGGCCAGACCGGCGGGGGTTCTGGCTGGGAGGGAACTTGATGAACTGGACCTGCATGCTCTGGGGCGCCATGTTGGATTGCGACCCGTAGAGATAGGACGAGGCGCTGGTCGCGCTGAAGAACAGGCGGCAGCCGGTGTCGGTCAGGGCCATCAGATGCAGCTTCGACGCCTCTTGTTTTGAGATGGGGCTGATGGAGACAATGTTGATGCGGTCGTTTAAGAGCTTCGACTGGTTGATCATGTGAGCAATGTCGCGGAGGCAGTGCACCTTTTCCTTTTCAATGACCTTGTTGAGACGGTCAGGGGCTTCCATGTGATAGGTGCGAATGGTCGACTTGCTCGAGAGCGTGTAGACGAGCTTTCGCGTGTCGTCGATGGCAATGTCCACCAGGTGCTCTGGCGCCCTATGGGACCAGAAGCCCGACTGCAGCGAGACAACAGACGACCAGCCAGGGTTTGTGTGGTTGATCTTGCCGCACCGATTCGAGAACCACTTCTCCTCGGACTGGTAGTAGAGCTCGTTGATATCGATGTCGCTGCTGCCGCCAAAGAAGATTCGGCCGTCTGCAGATCCGGAAATGACGCGCACGTCCGCGCCGCGCAGGGGCAAATTCATCTTGGTCTGGTACAGGGCGACGGATTTCGTGCCCGCCGTGGTGTCGGCCGTCGATACGCCCAGCAGAATCATCTCCGAGGACGTGGCCACGGCGAGGATGTGGGTAATGGTGTTGACAAAAATGCCCGGCTTCGGCGGCACGAGCGCCACGGCGTGGATGGTATGAGGCTGATCCTCGAAGCCAATGAGTTCCGGGTCGGGATGCGTGTAGTCCCAGAGGAAGAGGGAGTTGTCGATGACGACCCATGCGTGGTTGATTTCGGCAAACAGGCCCATGAGGGTCTGCAGCTCGCCGGCGTTGTAGTGGTCGAAGACTTGGTTGGGGATCGGGTACATTTGCGTCTTGTGAAAGGGGGCCCAGGGGGATTCGGGGCCGGGGAGTTCGTAGTCGGACGAAGCGCCTTCTAGAAGCGCGTCAGCAAGCAATTCCAGACTTGACGAGCCGGGAATAGGGAGAGGACATACGTCTGCAGTAGGAGTCGAGGTCTGGAAAGGTCTCGTCGAGCTGTAGGAAAGCATTGATGGCCTTGGCCGCCTTGACGACCGGAGGCACGTTGGCGGCACGCGGCGCAGGCAGCGGCGTCGTGGACACCAGGCCAGCCTCTGGCGGGCCGACACCAACAGCCATGGACGACGCGGCAGGGGGCGTCTGGGCCGTCGCGCCGGCTGGGGCCACGGCAGAGGCGGCGCCAGGGCCCGGGTTGCTGCCCTCGGAGACGGGGAAAAGCTGTCGTCGCACGGGATCGGACGCCGACTGAAACCTCGAGGCGATGGCCGGCGTGTTGAGGTACGCGCCCGGCACCGGCCGCACCGGCGTGGCTTGCGGGAGCGACATGTCGGAGATGGCCCTGGACGGCAGCTTCTTCACCTGTCCCGCGCTGGATCAAGGAGGAACGCGCGGTGCCGAACCATGAAGCACGACGGCGTGTCCGTTGGCGGGAGCCCGATGGCCGGCTGCCAGCCGTGTCCCGTCGGCGTCGTTGACTGGAAGCGTCGCCCAGCGAGCGTCGGCCGGTCCTGGGAGGTGCTGCAGAGGCCAAGAGAGGGACGGCGGTGGCTGAACGGGCGGCTTTGGTGTTGATGCTGCGAGGATGTCGAGAAAGCGAGTTGCAGCTTGGGGAGGCTGGCGCAGCTTGGATTTTTTGCGCCACGCTAAGCCGAATCGGGGCGAAAGGTCATTGCACCCAACCGCGGCGGACAAAAACAGAGTACCGGAATCATCCATTGTCACGAAGCAATTTCGATTGCTGGATATTGCAAGCTGTTCTTGCGGCCACTACGACTGCTGAGACTCCCGAGAGGAGCCAATGGCTGGCAGAAGCTGTATGGGATCACCAAGCAGCTCGTGATAGCTCTCCAGTGTCAGTCCAGAGTGGGGGGGACATTGACTTTAGGCCATCAGCACCATCTATGACTTTATTTCATGTCTTCGTTTTTCTTTTCTTGGCTCAGCTTCCGCCATGAAAGAGTCTACAGCAGCAGCTTCTTAACCTCGTCGGCCAAGTCGTCGAGCTTGACCAGTATCCCCCGATCCTTGTCCGACTTGTCGTCGCCCTGCCCCAGCGACTTCAGCCGCACCTGTCCGGCAGCCAGCTCATCCTTGCCCAGGATGACGCCCAGCGGCACATCCTCTGCCGCCTTGAACTGCTGCGGCAGCTTGGGCTTCACCTTGGGCGAGAACTCGGCCCGGATGCCCGCGTTCCACAGCCGGCGGGCCACGTCCATGCGCTCGAGGAGCAGCCCCTCAAACTCCTTGCCGCCAAAGGCCATGACGTACACGTCGGTTCCGCGCGCCTTGGCCGCGTTCTCCCTCTCGCGGCGCGCCTTGAGGATGGTGAAGATGCGGTCGACGCCAAACGATATGCCCACGCAGGGAATCGTCCGCTTGCCGTACATGCCCACCAGGTTGTCGTAGCGTCCGCCCGCGGCGATGCTGCCGACCTGATTGGCCGGATCGTCTTTTTTGCTCTTCTTGTTGCCTTCGGCGTCGTCGTTTTTGGGCGGCAGGTTAATGACTTCGTATATCAGCCCGGTGTAGTAGTCGAGGCCTCGCGCGAGCGACAGGTCAAAGTTGATTTTGTGGATGACGTCCAAGGCCTTGAGGTAGGAGCCCAGAAGAGCCATGTCGTCGAGGCCGGCCTTGACGCTCTCGTTGGCGCTGAGCGTCTCGTTGGCCCTCAAAAAGTCGACCATTTCCGTGACGGTGCCACTGTGGCGCACATATTCGCCGATGCGGTCCGCGACGTCCTCGGGGAGGCCTTTTTCTTCCACCATTTCCTTCTTGACATCAGGCCAGGCCATCTTGTCCAGCTTGTCGACGGCGGAGCTGATGGAGCGAATCTTGTCGGCGGGGACACCGGCCACGGCAAACAGGCCGTCGAGGATTTTGCGGTGGTTGAGCTTGATGGTGATGCCGAGGTCGAGGGCCTCAAACACCTCGACAATAATGCGCAGGGTCTCGGCGTCGGGGATCATGGGGTCGTAGACTCCGGCAATGTCAAAGTCGCACTGGTGAAACTCTCGGAGGCGGCCGCGGGCAATGGCGGGCTGGTCTCGGCGGTAGACCTTGGCGAGGGTGTAGCGCTTGACCTGCTGGATGTTGTTCATGGCCAGCCAGCGGGCAAAGGGGACGGTCAGGTCGAAGCGCAGGGAGCAGAGCTCGCCGCCCTGGTCTTCCAGGTCGTACATGAGGCGCGAGTCCTCGCCATACTCTAGCAGAAGGTGGTCGGTCAGTAAAGGTCAGAGGGGCACCGGCGGCTGACGTACTGCCGGCGAGGATCTCCTTGAGCTCAAAGACGGGGGTGTCGAGGGGCGTTCCGCCGTGGCGCTTGAAGACGTCGGTGATGGATTTGCTGCAAGGCAGAGTCAGGAGACAGGCCGGGCCCTGGGTTCAGACGAGGTGACGCACAAGACCTCGTCGCGCAGGAGCATGTCCGGGCCGCTCCAGTCACGGGTGCCCTTGGGCGTCTTGAGGGTGACGGCCCCCCGCGACGGCTTGGACTCTTTGCCTTCGGGGCCCGCCATGGTGATGTCTTGCTGCTGGTGCTGCTGTTGCGCGAAAGCAGTGATGGGCCGACTCGGAAGAGGCAACGGGGAGAGGTTGCCAAGAGGTGACAGGCGAAGGCGGCGACAGCTCGGGCGTAGAATGCGGAGCAGCTCGAGACTGTTGCTGAGCGCAGGCAGCATGCCTCGGGCGGTCGAGGAATGGATGGTCAGGTCAAGCTCACTCGTTGACTCATCCAGGGATCTCCAGACGGCGCGCAGGGTGGGGGGCAGAGGGGGGTCGGGGAGCAGCATTGGGCACAAAAAACAGGGTTCCGGGCCATGCAGCTCATCTTTTTTTACTTCTTTGCCGGCACCTCTTTAATCCGGTTATAAGGGGCAAATGCTAGATGATATGTCCTCCAGTCCCATTTTACTTGGCCGTCCACGCGGCATCTGCATCATCTGGTATAGCATCTTGGAAGGGGTGTGCATCCAGCCATTTCTCTGCAGCCTCCATGTGGGCGTGCTTGGCATAGAACTCATCCAAGGCTTGATTTAGATCTGGAAGTTGTAAGCAGTGCTTCGGCAAGATGGATGAGGCTGCTTTTGACCTTTGAGTGGCATGCCGCGTGACGGCTGGAGAGAGAACCTAGCAGTGTACTCGTTGATGAGAATAAGATGGCTGGGAATGCGTGTTCCTATGCGAGTTGTGTCAGCTTCCGAGACATTGACTACGCGGGGAACCTATCATACCCTTAGGAATAGTGTAGACTGATGGCATGTCAACTAGATTGCCTTGCTCCTCGCCATCGAGAACTTGGTCAAAGTAAGTGCGCACAAGCTCTTGCATCATAAAGGTATTCGGAAACATGATGGCGCCGTTGGAAGCTGTCAGCCGGTTTAGTCCAGTCCTCAGCCAGTAGTAGAGTCGAGAAAGGCACTGACCAGACATTTTATTGACAGACGGATACACGAGACCATGCTCGTCTATATCCACCCCCTCCTCGTACACGCCATCCGGCCCCTTGTCATTCTCCCGATGATCGAACAGGGCCGAGCTGCGGTGTGGGCAGTAGTAGTACAAGGTGGCAGGGAACGACGAATAAACGGCCTTTACGGAAAATTGTCGAGAGATTGAGCGCGGCGGTCGCGGCGTGGAGAATTGTCGAGGCAATACATGCAGCTGTCGGCGTGAGAGGACAAGGCTGGGAACTCGCCTGAACATGGCGCAAGGATGGGGGCTTAAACTTGGGAGGTGACGAGAGAACGAGAGGGGGGAGAAAGGGAGATCATGAGATGAGTGCGCCAAAACGGGGTCCGGCGTTAGGTTTTGCCGAGCATCAATCTTACATGGAGAAGGTAAAAACTCGAGACACATCATTGGAAAGCCGTATTCGGGTGTTATCCAGGGGCAAGGTCTAATAAAGGGAGGCAGGACCACAAAGAACTCCATGTAACTGAACCTTTACTAGGTACCTAGGTAAGTACAATAGGCAACTCCAAGTACCGGCTGGCTTGATCGGTCTAGTAGTCCCCTAGTATGCCTTCGTAGATAGAATAAGCGTTGTTTATACAGGTATCATATAACCTCGGTCGATAAATGCGAAATCATGTGAATCCACGCGGAGTTGTTGACGTCCTCCAACTCGACCATGGTCTTGCTCCGTAAACACTAAATGGCTCTTAACCTTGGCACGGGGACTAATCCACTGGCCACGTTTATAGACAAGTGATATATCTGTATCAACGGAAACCATAAGTCCAGTAGCCATCGCAACCGATGCCATGCTGAGCTGGAAGAGATGGAGAATCTCGAATGGCGCTTGAGAGCGCGTTGAAGCTCGGTGAGTGTGACCCAACGAGGCAGCAGGCATAAGATAGGCGGATACATCTCTTTATCGTGCAGATAAAGCGTTAAATCAAGTCCCTCCTTATCCGATGCCTGCCAACCTCAGCCCCCCCCCCCCAACGCCGTCATATTATTTGCTCGTCCCGCCCTGGCAACCTTGGCCTTTTCTCCCCCATCAACTTTCCCATCGACGAATCGCAACCTCTGCATCGCGCGCCGACCGACGAATCGCCCGCGCCACCCGTCTCGTCATCGCCATGGAAAAGATCCAGCAATACCTCGCCCAGCTTCCGCCCGTCCCCCAGTCGGCCCAGTGGGTGCTGGCCGGCGTTGGGGCGCTGTGCCTGGCATCCAAACTGCTGAGCTATCTGCGGCTGGTCCTGAGCGCGTTCGTGCTCAGCGGCGTCAATGTCAGATTGATCTTATCCGTCTCTCTTCGATTGCTGACACGGTGGCCAGCTTCGCAAATATGGCAAGGCCGGGTCTTGGGCCGTCGTGACCGGTGCCTCGGACGGGCTGGGCAAGGAGTTTGCAAGCCAGCTGGCCGCCAAGGGCTTCAACCTTGTCCTCGTCTCCCGGACCCAGTCCAAGCTTGACTCCCTCGCCAAGGAGCTCGAGCAGAAATACACGGGCAAGGGCCTGCAGGTCAAGACGCTGGCCATGGACTTTTCCCGCGACGACGACGGCGACTACGAAAGGCTCGGCGAGCTGGTGCGCGGCCTCGACGTGGCCATACTCATCAACAATGTCGGCCAGAGCCACAGCATCCCCGTGTCGTTCCTCGAGACGCCCACCGAGGAGCTGCAGAACATCATCACCATCAACTGCATCGGCACCCTCAAGGTGACGCAGGTCGTGGGGCCCATTCTCAAGGCGCGCAAGCGTGGCCTGATCCTGACCATGGGCTCCTTTGCCGGCTGGACGCCCACGCCGTACCTGGCCACGTACTCAGGCAGCAAGGCCTTTCTGCAGCAGTGGAGCAACGCGCTGGCGTCGGAAATGGCCGATGACCATGTCGACGTGCAGCTGGTGCTGAGCCACCTCGTCACGACGGCCATGAGCAAGGTCCGGCGCCCCAGCCTGCTGGTGCCGACTGCGCGCGGCTTCGTCAGGTCGGCCCTGGGCAAGGTCGGGCTGGGCGGGTACCAGTCGACGCCCAACACGTACACGCCGTGGTGGAGTCACTCGTTCATGCTGTGGCTGATTGAGAACGTGCCGGGCGTCAACAGCCCGGTTACCATCTGGCAGAACAAAAAGATGCACATGGACATTCGCAAGAGGGCTCTGCGCAAGCGGGAGCGGGACGCCAAGAAGCAGTAGCCAGGACTGCCCACTGGCCCCCATGGAAAGTTTGGAGGATAGCCCTGTCAAGTATGTTGCAGAGGAGGGATGCAACAGCTGGCTGGCAGGATGGATTCAAGGCATGCATTTGTCTGGAGAAGCTACCTATGAGCCACCTTTGGAGTAGATATGGGGTTTCGATGTGTATGGACCTACCTAACGAAGAGCCCACGAGGCTGTAAATCACCATGGCTTGCAGACAAGCAAAAACATGTTCCAAGCCACAACACCAATCAGCCTCGTTAACTGCGCATCAACTGCACATCTAGGCGGCATGCGGAGTGCTCTTTGTCAGCCTCGTCTGAACGCCTAACACGAATGGATGCTTGGCCTCATCTCTGCTCTTGCGGCTTGCATGATGCGTTCTGCCGTACATTTCTTGCCTACGATATTTCCCCTCTCCTCTTAAGGAATGCATCCCGTACGTAGGCAGTATCGGAGAAGATTACGGGACCGGCCTCGGGACTGAACCCGTCATTATCCGGGAGGGGTTGATGACGACGTTGCGCCGCTTGGTGCTGGGGCTTCTCTCGCTTTCATCAACTACTTGGTAAACTCGTATATGCCTCTGCCTTGTCGCTCACCTTCTCCGGCTCGCCCAAAATGGCAGATACGTCTAGCATCATCTTCGCCATCGGAGTCCTCACGGTAGCTTTCGCGGCCGCCAAGGCCCTCAAACTCATCAGCATCTACCTCTTGCCCTCGAGACTGAGTCGCTTCGCACATGGCACATCCAATGGCCAGTCACCATGGGCCTTGGTGACGGGTGCTTCCGACGGCATAGGCCGCGCTTTTTCGCACGAGCTCGCCGCGCGAGGGTTCAACGTGGTGCTGCACGGGCGGAATCATGCCAAGCTCTCTCGCGTCATGTCCGGGCTGCAGGAGGACCATCCCCGAAGGTCCTTTCGGATCCTGGTTGCAGACGCCAGCACTATGCCGTGCGTGAGCTGGCTCGAGCAGACGGGCGAGAAGAGCTTGCCTGAAGCTGCCGTGGACTTTGCGGCTATCAAAGCCGCAGTCTACGACTTGCATTTGACGGTGCTCATCAACAACGCGGGCGCCGGCCCGACCAATCCAATCTACGCACCGCTCAGCGAATCGTCGGCAGCGCGCGTCACCAGCAACGTCAGCCTCAACGCGCTCTTCCCGCTTCATCTGACACGCGTCCTCCTGCCCACCCTCGCCCGGAACGCGCCCGCTCTCGTGGTCAACATCAGCTCCATGGCAGACCAGGGCTTTCCCCTGCTGGCCTCCTACAGCGCAAGCAAGCAGTTTCTCATGAACCTGACCCGCGCCGTGGGCCTCGAGATGGCGCTTCAGGGCAAGGCGGGCGAGGTCGAGTTGCTGGGCATCCGGGTGGGCAGGGTCACGGGGGTCTCGGGCTTGCAGGAACGGCCATCGCTGTTCACGCCAGATGCCCAGACCATGGCCCGGGCTGCCCTGGCCCGAGTTGGTCGGGGGCATGGCATTGTAGTTGGATACTGGGCCCATGCACTGCAGCAACTCGGGGTCAGTCTTTTGCCCGCGTGGGGGAGAGATAGGGTCATTGTGAATGTTATGCGACGAGAGCGAGCGAGCGAGCTCAAGTCGGAGTCGAAACGCGCCTAATGGCTGCTGGACTGGTCGCCGTGTGAGGGCATCGTGTCTTCGAGTGGGGAATGTAGAAAGATTTCGGTCTGACTAAGCGGCTATTTTTTTCTGACACGGTCATTTGCCAATGCCCCATTAGGCAGGCCGCCCAGCTCCTTTTCCAACACCTTGCTACCGAAAACAGTCGCCATGGACCTTTTCAAGTCTCTGCTCCCCCCAGCCAAGGGCATCCTGCCCTACTACATGCTCATTGTAGGAACCTCCAAAGCCTTGTCTCACTTGGTCCAACAACGACTAACCCCCCTTGCGTCTCGCAGCTCTCTGTCGTCTCCATCGGCAACTCCCTGCAAGCCTACGCGACGCTGCACTTCTCGCGCCGCGTCTACAACGGCCGCTTCGTCCGCAACCCCAAGCTGCCACCCGCGTCGCCCGCCTTCAACCCCGACGACTCGGTCAATAAGCTCGTCCCCGCCGCCGCCAACGACGCCCACGCCGCGGACCAAGTGACCCCCCTTGCTGGCCGTCTGTTTGGCACCTGGACCCTCATCACCTGTATTGTCCGCTGCTACGCCGCCTACAACCTGCACCTCGGCCCGGTCTACAACATTGCCATATGGACCTACGTCGTGGCGCTCGGCCACTTTGCCAGCGAGCTGTTTGTCTTTAAGAGTATGAACTTTGGCCTGCCGCAGGTCTTTCCCTTTACGCTGGCGAGCTGCGCCCTGATCTGGATGCCAATGGTCCGAAACTACTACGTCGAGAGCAACTAGGACACCACAACGTGAGCGGGAAACGGCAGAGCGCAATGTCCGCAGCGCGGCTCACATGCCCGCGAGGTGGAGAAGCCGTCGGGGCGCAGCCAGTGCGTCGAAAAGACATCAGCATACAAGTAATGGCTATGACTGCTTCAGTTTGTTCCGATACAGCTCCCCGCCGCAGTCCCGCAGACGGGCCGTGGCCTGCTCGGGCGTGATGTCGCGCTGCGGCTCGGCCATGAGCTCGTAGCCGACGAGAAACTTCTTGACGGTTGCCGACCGCAGCAGCGGCGGATAAAAGTGCATGTGAAAGTAGGCATTGTCAATCTCCTCGTCGGTGCCCTTGAGCGGCGCCTGGTGAATGCCCGAGCTGTAGGGGAAGCTGCACTCAAACAGGTTGTCGTACCTCCGCGTCACCTCCTGGATGGCCTCGGCGAACTGCAGGCGCTCCTGGGGGCGGAAGTCGACGAGAGAGCGAAGGTGCCGCTTGGGCAGGACGAGCACCTCAAAGGGCCACACGGCCCACCAGGGACACACGACGACAAAGGCCTCGTTTTGCCAGACCACACGCTCCCCCTTGGCCAGCTCGAGCTGCACGTAGTCGGCGAGCAGGTGGCGGCCGCCGTGCTGGGCGCGGTACTTGGCCATCTGTGCGAGCTCCTTGCCCGGCCCCTCGGGCATGGTCGACGTAGTCCAGACCTGGCAGTGGGGGTGCGGGTTGGAACAGCCCATGGCCGCGCCCTTGTTCTCAAAGATTTGCATGTACCGGTAGTCGTCACGAGGCACGGGCGCGGCGTCTCTGGGCATTGATATTTGCAAGCCGCCTACCAGGCGCGCTAGAGAGCTCGAGGCAGACAGGTGATTGGCGTAGATGCGCGTCCAGTGCTCGACGATAGGCAGGATGTCGTCGGCAGGCATGTCGGCGAGGGTTAGATGGTGCTTTGGGGAGAAGGTGATGACGTAGCAGACGCCCTTGACGGCCTGGGCGCGGAGCAGTAGAGATTCGACATCTGTGGAATAGTTGGTAAGAACATCAGGCACAAGGGTAGGTACGCGGTATACCATCCGGTGAGGCCTGCCGGGCCTCGTAGTCGGGCTGCTGCTCCTTTACGGCGCTGTAGTCGTTGACAAAGGCAAACGTCTTTTCGTAGACAGGATTCTTGCCGCCGGCCGCTCGAGAGTTGCCGGGACAGAGATAGCACTGGGCGCACCAGACGAGGTCAGCCAAAGGCGGCGCCGCTCGAGGCTGTCCAACTCGCCTTTGGGTCGTACTCGGGCAGCGAGTTGATGACAGCAGCCTCTTGCGCGCCCCTTTTCAAGATTGTTAGGTGCTTGGAAATGCAAAACAGACGTTGGGCACTCACTGCCAAGGGCGCTTGGTGCGATGAGGCGAGACGAGGAGCCAGCTGTCGGTGAGCGGATTGTACCGCCGGTGGGAGATGTCGTCGAGGACTTTGTCTGGCATGATGGAGAAGCTCCTCGAGAGCGTCGTGAACGAGTCGAATGGAAGAAGAGAGGTTTTTTTTTGGAATGTGACGGGATGAGGTTGGCGAAGAGAGCGAGCGAGCGAATGAGGTCATGTGGCTCGGCCGCGCCACGAACTGGTCACGAATAGCGCTGTGGTGACTCCACGCTATCGTCTGTGAAGACACCTCTACTTTAGGGCTAATTAGATTCTCTTCATGCAGGCCTATGTATAGGCATGTTTTGTCATATTTCTGATCAAGCCTTGGCCCCCAGGTAAGCTGCTGTTTGTTGCAGACAGCAGAAGCTGTAATTACTGTACCGTAGATGCGGAGAGATCTCGAGCAAGGACCACGTGCCAAGTCCCCCGTACGTAAGCGCCCCCCCCCCAGTCTCGCCAAGTTTCGAGGAGCCCCTCATGCTGCTTACGTGATTCGCTCATCAACGTCGAATTGCATCGCGACATCCAACTTCCGGCCACTGCCTCCTCAAACACGACATCACTCGCATCCGCTTCCATCAACACACACGCCGCATCATCCTTCTACACTCTGCCTCTCGCTGTTTTGACATTCCGTCTCGCCCGCCCGACACTCGGGCGTCATCACTGCCGCTGATCCCGGACCAAGACCTGTCCCGTCACGACACTCCCGATGGGCGTCATTCGCAAAAAGACGGTGACGAGGGGCGGCGAGGGGGGGGTCAAATACGTTTGCGACGTGTGCTCGTCCGACATAACCTCGACGGTACGCGCCCAACGCCAGCCTCTCCCTCGCCCTGCTAACCCGCGCATTGCATTCCCAGGTCCGCATTAGGTGCGCAGACCCGGCATGTTCCGATTTTGACCTCTGCGTCTCCTGCTTCGCCAAGGGCGAGTCTCGCAATGCCCACGACCCCGCGACGCACCCCTTCCGCGTCATTGAGCAAAACTCGTTCCCCATATTCGACGCCGAATGGGGCGCCGACGAGGAGCTCCTGCTCCTGGAGGGCGCCGAGATCTACGGCCTGGGCTCCTGGGCCGACATCGCCGACCACATAGGAGGGTTTCGTGACAAGGACGAGGTCCGCGACCACTACCTCGACACTTACGTCAACTCGTCGCGCTTCCCCCTTCCCCAACGATGCAGCCCCTACGACTCGGAGCTGGCCAACCAGGTGCCGCGCGAGGAGTTTCAGGCCCGCAAGAAGAGGCGCATAGAGGAGCGCCGCGAAAAGGCAAAGAACGCGCCCGCTCTGCAGGCCAAGACCAAGCCGACGGCCAGCGTCCCCAGCTGCCACGAGATCCAGGGATACATGCCGGGCCGGCTCGAGTTCGAGACCGAGTACGCCAACGAGGCCGAGGAGGCGGTGCAGCACATGCAGTTCGACCCGGGCGATGGCCTCAACTCGCGCACCGGCGAGATGGAGCCCGAGATGGAGCTCAAGCTGACCGTCATGGAGATTTACAACTGTCGACTGACGCAGCGCGTGGAGCGCAAGCGCGTCGTCTTTGAGCACGAGCTGCTCGATTACCGGGAAAACACAAAGGCTGATAAGAAGCGCAACAAGGAGGAAAAGGACGTGCTGCAAAAGGCCAAGCCCTTTGCGCGTATCATGAACCACCGGGATTTCGAAGACTTTAGCCAGGGCCTCGTCGACGAGCTGAACCTGAGGCAGGCCATCACGCAGCTGCAGGAATGGCGCGGGATGCGCATCGGCGACCTACGGAGCGGGGAAAAGTACGAGACGGAAAAGGCGCAGCGGGCGCAAAAGTCGACGCCCATGGGCTCCATGGACAGGGAACGCCTGGCGTCTAACCAACGCTCCAAGCAGCCCCCGCCCCCGGACGCCCCGAGCGGCGCAGCACTGCTGGTCGCGCCGGAGCTGGCGATTCGGCCGGCGCTGCAAACCAACGGCGAGGCGGTCAATGGCGAGGCCAATGCGCTGACCAACGGGCACTCCAACGGCGGCGAGGGCGTCAACGGGCACGGGGCGGCGAGGCAAAAGTACACGGCGTCGCCCATCTCGGGGGTGCAGCCGCTGGCGCTGAGCCAGGACAACGCGCCGGACCTGCACCTGCTTACGCCCGACGAGGCCAAGCTGTGCGAGGTGGTGCGGCTGCAGCCGAAGCCGTACCTGATGATCAAGGAGCAGATGCTCAAGGAGGCGCTCAAGTCGAACGGGACGCTGAAGAAGAAGCAGGCCAAGGAGATATGTCGGCTAGACTCGCAGAAGGGGGGGAGGATATTCGACTTTTTCATCAACGCGGGCTGGGTGGGCAAGGCTTGAAGTGAAGTCGAGGGTTTTGTATAGGCGATTGTTGGTATATTCCCCATGCATTGTTTCTTGATGGGGCTGGCAAGCGGTTACATGATGTTGATAGAGGGAACGGGGGCTTTTCCGAACAGAACGGTCGTCGGCGCGTCGTTGCATGTGCTACCAACGTGATTTGCAGGATGATAATGACAAGGACAGGGCATGAAAAGCAAAGGAGACGCGGATCTGCACGGAGCAACGGGGTCGGCCGAGACAGGCAAGGCGTATAGTACAGGGCTGCTCCGTGCTTCGGAAGCTAGTGGGTCCCGGCCAGCCGAGATGACAAACGACTCCCCCGATCGCCCGTCATTTCGACTTCAACCCTGCTCTTCCATTAGACGCGAAGACGCCGCCGCTCTCAGCCGCAGCAGCAGCAGTAGCGACGAACAGTTTATGCTTCGGGTGGCCTGGCGTGCGGCGCATTCCAGACCCGGGCTCGCCATGTCGTCGTCGACGGCCAGCGTCGCGACGCTGCAGCGCATGTCTGCCCAGGCGTTGTCGGAAAAGATGCTGGCGGAGTGCGAGGCTGCAGACCCGACCTTTGCTGTGGTTGACGTACGCGACGACGGTGGGTGCTCTCTCTTTGCGCCGTGCTTTCAGACACAGTCAGACTTGACCAGCCCATCTGCCGTTGTCAGCACCATCAGTCTTCATCTCGTCAAGACCCCAACAGAGGCGGTTTCGAGACCATATTCCTATATATCGCTGACAGGCCCCCGCAGACTACATTGGCGGGCACATCAAGGGCTCAACCAACGTGCCCAGCCAGCAGCTCGACGCCATCCTGCCGACGCTGGTGCGCAAGCTCAAGGACAAGCAGACGGTCGTCTTCCACTGCGCCCTCAGCCAGCAGCGCGGGCCCAGCGCTGCCCTGCGCTACCTGCGCGAGCGCGACGGCGTGCTGGCGGCGCTGGGCATCGCCGCCGCCGCCCCGCAGACCGTCTACGTGCTCGACCGCGGCTTCTCGGGCTGGCAGGAGGTGTACGGCGAGGACGAGCGGCTGACCGAGGCGTACCACAAGGAGCTGTGGCAGGATTATTGAGGCTGCTCAGGGGCGTGTCGAGAGAGAGTTGACAGAGAGAGCTGCGGTTGGATAGCTGCCGGTTGCCCGGGGCTGACCAAGAGAGCTGTGAGTTTGGAGACGAGGTGGATTTATGGTTGACGAGACGCGGCAACATGTCTAGATCAGCTGCACTGGCGGCCATGGCGACTCATCCCATGGCTGCCTGGCGCTCAATCAAGACTGAAGCTTGTTGCGCTACCTGGAGCCACTCGATAGGCCAAGAGCGAGAGAGAGAGTCTGGTGGTCGACGCACCAAAGACTAAACCACGCCTCATGCACATTATTGTCCCTCCTTTTCCCCAGATGGCGCCAACTAACGCTTCCGAGGCCATCACTGCCGCCGACTCATTGTGCTTAGGTTCGCGAGCGCAGTATTTGGTCTTGACGCCACAGCAGAGGAACAAAGTCTTTTTCGCAAGCCATGTATGTGCCTTTATATGCCGGCCTGCTTCTACTTGAGGGCGTCGTGTCCTCTCAGTATTTTGATTTTTTTCTCTTCCCGTCGACATTCAAGACTCGTCGCAATCGACTCATCTCCGATTATCATCACCGCCGCCCGCTCATCGCTAGACGGGCTGAACTCCCGGCCTCGTCCGCGAAAAACAGCCAGAGCGTCAAGCATAAGGGAGGGGACTACATCGTGTCGCGCAGTGCAAAAGGCCGTACCAATGGCGCCCAGGTTCGTTCTGGAAGGACGCGATCTCTTCGTGCCGAACCCGGGCGAGTGGGAGTCGGAGGAGAAACGGGTCGCGGCTGTTGCGCTCACGGCCGTGCTGTGCATCCTGGGGCTCCTTCTGCTCATCTGGATCGTGTTCCGGCTGGGCAGCGGCCTGTTTGCCTACCTGCAGAGCGTGCCACGGCGGTTCAGGGGCCTCGCCGCCCGCTGCCGCCTCCGGCCACGGCACGGAGGAGTCGGAGTCGAACTCGGAGTCAACAAGCCCCAGCAGCAGCGGGCAAGAGCAGTCGCAGACGCCCACGAGATGAACGAGTGCAGCCACGGACAAGCCGTCGACGACCGCACACCGTGGGACACGGAGAGCGGCCCGGCACCCAACTACGAGGAGAGGCTTCCCCGGCCGCCGGTGCCGCCGCCGGCCTACGGAACTTGGACGCCGCGCCAGGCCATGCCGCAGGCCGACGACGAGTACCACGTCAACGGGGTCTTTTACCTACCATACAGCAACCGGGCATTTGTGTGGGACCCGTCGACGTCGACGTGGGTGGTGGATCGATACCCGCGGTATGCGCGTTTCGAGAGGGAGGCTTGAACGGGGCGAGTAATAGCAGATGAAAAGAAGCGGCACGGGGCGGTGTTTTATATTCATACGCGGTTGACATATAACGTATGCTGTTATTCAGACTGAGTTGAGCCTTTACTTGTCCTTTTGCTCTCCTGTGCTTTCCCTTTGTAAGGACCTGGGCCTTGTTGACTATTTGTACATACCTTACACACTGTATATCGACTCATCATCATACATCTATTATCCCTACTGAGACATCAGACACGTGGGAGCATCATTGTTTGCCTCTCTCTGCCCGTTCCCCGGCAACACTGACAATGAATGCGTCCAGGGTAGGCCGGAACGCGAGATTGCCAGTGGGGGCTTCTAGCGCTTCGACCCCCTGCAGGCTGACGATTGGTGGCGCTGGCATTGGCCCGGCTGTTTGCTGCAGAAACAAGGTCGTGCAACCCCAAACAGACCAACAATCCAAGCCATCATCTCGGCTGCGTTTGAGAAATAGAAGCACAGAAGTCGCGCCCTGGCATCCCCAACTCCGATTCTGCTGCGCCCACTGAATCCTCGACGACAATCAATCCGCAGTCGCTCTCTCCGTCCTCTTCCTCTTCATCGGCCTCATCTCATCCACCTTGCCCTCATCAACTCGCCCCTCCCAGTCTCGCGCGTGCAACGACGAGCCGCCGCCGCAATCATGGGCTCGCAGCCGGGGGAGGACGATGGCTCCAAGGCCGACATTTCCAGTGAGGCTTGTCCCGCCAGTTGTGCCGACCGCCGTGACTGACGTGCCTGTCTCCAGATCTGGGATTCACGTCCGCCCCAAAGGTGTCGGGCCCCTGGACCGTCGACAAGGTCCTCGAGACTCTCCCGGATCAGGAAGCGCCCGCCAAGGGCACCAGCTCGCCCCTCGCCTTTTTCCACATGATTGAAAGGCTCAAGACGACCAAGCGCGAGGGATGGCGGCGGTTTGGCATTGACCGGTGAGAGGGCTTCTCCTTGCCACCATAGCAGCTGCCTATCCACCAGTGCTGACCTGTTTCAGTGGCGAGTCCATTGCCGACCACATGTACCGCATGTCCATTGTCGCCATGCTGGCCCCCCCCTCGCTGGCGCCGCGCCTCGACATGGCCAAGTGCATCAAGATGTGCCTGGTCCACGACATGGCCGAGCTGCTCGTCGGCGATATCACGCCCGTCGACGGCGTGGCCAAGCCCGAGAAGCACCGGCGCGAGGCGCAGACCATGGACTTTCTGACGCGCGACCTGCTGGGCGGCGTCGACGGCGGCGCCGCGGGGGCCGAGCTGCGCGCCATCTGGCAAGAGTACGAGGACTCGCAGACGCTCGACAGCCACTTTGTGCACGACGTGGACAAGATGGAGCTGCTGCTGCAGATGCTCGAGTACGAGAAGCGCGGCCGGGGCGCCCTCGACCTGGGCGAGTTTGCCTACGTCGCCCGCGCCATGGTGGTGCCCGAGACGCGCGCCTGGGCCGAGGACCTGCTGCAGGAGCGCGAGAGGTTCTGGGCCGGCGCCGAGCACGTCCACGGCGAGAGGGGCGAAGAGGGTGGGGTGTCCCGGGAGAAGAGCACGCAGCAGGATGCCTACTACAAGCGGGACTGATGGGATCATGACACAGACGATGACGATGGTCGACGAGCAAACAACACGGCCGTGGCAAACAGCCAAGTTTGCGCAAGCAGTACGCGGGCACTTTTGCTCCGTGTTGAAGTCGCAGGAGACGCATACATGGGACACGGCGTTGTGGCCACTCCTAGGAGCTGGCGGAGCTTGCATAGAGAATCGGCAGGCAGACTGCGGCGATAGACTCATGTTTTAGATTCATGCCTTGCTGTTGAGATATGTGCAAGGGTATATGAGTCCCTAGTATGTAGATGGACACGTGGAGGAGCATCGAGCATCCGTCAAGAATAGATAGATAGCGTTGCAGCCGTGCTCCCCGATGCTGATGCCCAAACACACGATGCCTACACACGTCTTCTTCCGCCGCTGTATGCTGATGCCCAAGCACAGGGTTCCTACGCGTCCTCTCCCAACTATCCCGATGCCGGTGCCCAAATACGCCATGCGCAAACACACGATGCTCGTTGCAAGAAGACAGCGCCTTGGCCAAGGCAGCACAAGCCGTCGCGCCGTAAGACGAGCTCAACGTGGCGGTGATACTCGTCTCTCTCTCTCACGAGTCCCCCGCTCGTGAGTAACGCACGCCTCGTCATATGGACGTCCCGAGTCGCTGACTTGGTGATGTTGCTTGTATTCAAAAGCACGACGTGTCCCGCCTCGAGGGTAGATACTGACAGCAAGGCCGCGGACCCCGTGTCTCTTTTGTTGTAGTCTTTGACTCTTTGAAAAGCGCTTACCTACAGCATCCGACTTGATGTCAACAACGCCTCCCCTCGTCAACGGATCCGAAGCGGGCCCGGATGGAGCGTCCGAAGTCCAGGATGGAGCGTCCGAGGTCCAGGATGGAGCGTCCGAGGTCCAGGATGGAGCGTCCGAGGTCCAGGATGGAGCGTCCGAGGTCCAGTCACTGGCCGAGCTCAGGCAGCTGGCCCCGGCCGAGCGCAAGGTCTTCTTTCGGCGGTTCCTGGTACACAACGACATCATCGTGGTCGACCACGCTGACGTGGATGTCTACTTGAGCCCTCGCCTTTCCGCGGCACAGAATCTGCGGAAGCAGAGCTACGTGGGCGGTGACGAGGTCGGCGCAGAGCTGGTCAAGGCGGCCAACGAGGTCTACTACGGCGAAAACGAGTTCAAGGTGCAGCTACACTGCCTTGGCGACTTTATCCGCAACGCTGGAGGCGACGAGGATCCGCCGGCCCCCATAGCACCCTTGGTCCAGAAGAAGTTCACCATCGAGATGGAGTTACACGATATCTGGCACAGTGCCGAGGTCGGAGGAGTGTTCCACGGCCCGGACAACGACAATATTGACTACAACGATGAGGAAAACGGAGACTTGGCCCGATGGACGCGAGGCAAGCTGCGATACGCGTTCCTCTTGACCAACGTCGAGTCGATCCACGTCATGCTGCTCGGCGCCGGGCTGATCGACGGCAGCGACCTGGCGACGCACCAAACCATCAAGGAGATTTCGTCCATGGTGCGCAAGCTGATTGTGCAGTTTGGCAGCCGGTTCGACATCTCCAAGCGACTGACCAGGGGCCACAACCTCGAACGGAGCATAAAGTCGTACTGGGACGCGCCGTCGGACGAGGCGAGGATGAGTGTGAGGAACGGGCACGCGACGACCGAGGAGATGATGCGGGTTGAGATTGCGCGGTGGTTGGACGAGGACAAGCGGGAGCCCGGGCCGGACGGGGAGTGGGATAGACTGGTGTGAGCTGCATCCGGGCTCATCGTGTAGCGCCGCGAGTGTCTCTAGATTGTTGAGGATAGCCAAGAAGATGTGCTTGCTTGTTCGGAGCACTTGCAACTCTCAACCCTGGCCTGCCCTGCCAGGTCAGTCTTCATCACCCTGGCAACGACGGGGTCATTTGTGGAGAGGCCCGGACCCTTGTTCTGCAAGTGGAGCTGCGACGAACTGCTGGAGCCCTCGACGGATGCGCGTCTAGTTTAGCTTGCATTTGGACTCTTTGGCGAGAGGCGGACATTTGCTGTGTTACGTTGAGGATCAGAGAGTGAAGGACGATGCAGTGTCTGAAGATTTAGGTACCGGGTATTCGTGTTCATGTATCCGTATGTACATATCGAGACACTTGCCGAGAGGAAAACATTAGATAAGCTCACCGCTCTTCTTTCCACCTCCAGCCAGGCAAGACTAGGCCTTCTTTCATCCTCTCCCCCTTCTCCTCTCTGTTCGGCGACGCCAAATCCATCACCTCGGCAGAGGCCCGCAAAGCCAAACGAGACGCCACAGAGACTCGCCACGCGCCCGCCGCCAAACCTTGTCTTCGCCAGGTCACTGGATCTCTTGTCTCAGACCAAAGGCGGGCGGGCGGGGGACAAGACGAGACGGTGAATGACTACTTGGGACCACTGGCAGCTCCAGGCCCTGCAGATCTGACTTTCACTCCTCTCGGTTTGCCTCTCCCACACGACAAGCAGCCCAACGCGAGATACCCGTCCGAGCACCTCGGTCAACCCACCCAGGCTCCTTTCTCCCCGGTCTACATCTTGGCGGGCCATGGGTCGCGCTGCTCGCTGAGGCCCTGGTTGCCCCCCTGTCGATTGTTTGCTACCGTCGTCGACAAAACAAGCATCGACTCTACCATCAAACCCATGGCCTTCGAGTCCGCGGTCCGCATGCCGGGCGCTTTCCAAGCAGACGGCATCCATCACGGCCTCTTCCGCCCCCCCGTCTCCTCCGCCTCGCCCTCCGCATACCTCGCCACCGCCCGTACCTTCCCTGCTAGCATCGACGCCGTCACCCCGAAGCGCAGGCGAAACCTTCGCAGCGGCGGCGACACTCCCTGGCGAGCCGACCTAGACGACGACGCCGCCCCCGCCAACATGCTTGGCTCTCCCGCCACCATCCTGCCGCGCCAGCCCGTCTACGCACTCGCCGGCCAGCTCGACACCCCCGGCAGCGGCCTCGACGACAGCGGCGTCCTCGGCGAGAGCATGTACTCCGACTCCAACTACCGCAGGGCTCTCGGCTCCAAGCGGCCCCGCCAAGACGTCGACATGCCCGACCCTAGCCGTCCTACACCCCTTTTCTCCCTGCCAGACAAGCCCGCCCCCCCGCGCACCTGGAGCGCCGCCGCCTTCACCACCATCGGAGGCGTCGTCGGCAAGGTCTGGGAGTTTTGCAGGGCCGGTGCCTTTCGCGGCTTCTACGCCGGCGGCGGACGCGGTTACGACGTCAATGTGGGCGACCAGAGCGCCTTGGATGCCTCTCGGTGCTCCGGCGGACAGGCTGACGAATGGCGCCTGTCGGAGCGCTTTCCCCACGCTATCCATCGCTCCTCCATCCCGATGTGCATCGCGGACAGAGACCGGCAGCTGGACGACGACGAGGCAGCGTACGCCGACGATACGAGGGCATCGACCCCCTCGGCGCCGGCGGCGAAGCGGAGGCAGACGGCACCGACAGACGAGATCGGCCGCAACTGGGTCATGGTCAAGGAGCCCCGCGCAGGCGACCGGCGGCAGTCATGCCAACGCCCGCTCACCCGGACCCGCCATCACGGCCCGCCCGGCGCGACTACTCGCCGCATCAGCACCCCAAGCTCGCGCAAGGCATCCGACTTGGCTCCTCGCCGGCAGTCGAGCCGCCTCCACGCCGCGGCTGCTCCGTCTCTACCCGTCCCCGAACCACCCCGCTCTTCATCTTCGGCATCCTTTGCCTCGCCGCGCTCTGCCTCGCCCACCAAAAAGGCCAGCTGCAGCAGAATAGCGCTCGCCACAAGTGCCAGCGTTGCCTCCCCTCCGTCTCACGGGCACGCGCACCGCCGCTCCGTGCATGCGTCGCCGGGCCACGCGACGCTGTCGCACCGCCGCACGCATAGCAACGCGTCGACGGCCTCGAGCCGGGCGGGGGCAACGGCCGTCGACGAGCTCAACGCGAGCCCGAGGCTCAACGCCGAGGCCAAGCAGCTGGCGGCCCGCCGCAAGATGGAGGAGCACGACGCCGACGTGCGCATCGAGGCCTTCAACAAGCGCCTGCAGGACATGATTCGGCAAGGCAAGGAGGCGCTGGGGACGAGCATTGAGATTGCGGGCGGCGACGGGGGGTGGGAGGACGAGGAGTGAGGGGCGGTAGGTGGGATGTGGATGATGAGACGAGTCTACGACGCCTTGATGCCCCTCGATTTGTGCTATTTCTCTGGCGACATGGCTGGAGTTTGAGGCACGTCATCTTGTTTCCTCTGCCATTACCTTTCTTCTTTCTTGGTGGGTAGGGGTTGTAGGAGGGAAAAGACGCAAGGCGGAGCTGGACAAGGCGGGCCGGCCGATGGCGTCCCAGGCGCAGGAAAGTGCAGACGGGACACCGTGGAGCGGCGGATCGATTGATGGGAGCGAGAAGGACGAGGACATGGGGCCCGGGGCGGGTGAGAATGAAGATGTCATGGCTCGAGGATAATGCTGCCAGACGCTGCCCCCTTTTCTGTCACGAGCTGTCAGCGAGCAGCATTCTTTTTTTGCCGCCACAACTGAGCGTCGTTTTCCCTGATGGTGATTGCCCTTTGCGCGTCTTGCCTGCCATTGTGCCTTGATTGGCTTTTCCTCCTTTCTTGTTTTCTTCTTCTCCCAGGATTATTTTTAGAGCCGCCGTTGCAGGCACGGCTATTCTCCCATCTTTTCTTTGCTTGGTCCCCCCCATGTCCCTTTCGTCGTGTTTCCCACGCCCGTCGTCTTACCTGCGGCTGCGCATGCGGCTGCACATGCAGCTGCAAGTCTTTCTGAGAGCTGGATGCGCGTGGCGGCGGCGCCCTCGGCCGGGGATATAAACCCGCTCTCCCCCTTCCCCGTCGTCTCTCGTGGAGGAGGAGGAGGAGGAGGAGGAGGAGGCGAGTGCCGTGATGATTAGGCCGAGACGCTGTCTCACCGGGGCCGCGCCTTGGCGGGGGCTGCGCGACAGCGGCGGCATCGTGCACCGCGCGGGGGTTTTGCTTTTCCCGGGCCTTGTTCATCCCCCTGTGGTTCGCTCGATAGCCTTTTGGGCTTTCCTTGCTTTTTCGAGCTGCTATTTTTAACCACCGGCGTCGGGGGGTGGGTGGGCGATTCTCTCTCTCGCGCGCTCTCTCTCTTCCCCTGTCCTGCCTGCTCCTGGATGACGGACACCACTTTTCGTACAGGACTGTACTGTGCTGTATGTTGTACCTTGTTTTATCTGCTCAAGCCATGGCCGTCAAGAGGCGTGAGGTGGTGGCGCTGCGGTTCTGGACGCATCGCTCGGGCTCGGGCGGCAGGCAACGTGGCCTCCCCCCCTCCCCTGGCGGCCACGCGGTGGAGGGGATCGATCATATAGCTGTTCGATCGCTACGCCGTGTCGTGGAAGTGAGCATGCATCGCTACGAAAGCGAAGAGGAAAAGACTGGGCTGCGACGCGGCTCCGCGACTCCCTTTCCGCGCGCCCGGGCCTGTCATCCCCCCCCTGGGGAGAGGGACTACACAAGGACCCCCTCGCTCTATCCATGCCTTCCGAATCCCCTCATCCCTAAAAAAGACACAACGGTAATAAGACCACGATACACGCCCCAAAAGGAAAAAAATACCCAGAATAGGGCTTGCTCCAAGACACGAGGCCCGCTCCCGACAACGTGGTGAACCCTCGCCCACGCACCGCCGCCGCCTCGTCTGGTGTCATCGATCTGCCCCTCCGGCATCGAACGGTCTTGGCACGGGGAGGGCTGAGAGGCTGGGTTGCTTTTTGGACCTGGTACTGCACCCCGGGCGGCTTCTGTCGTCGACTCCTCTCTCTGCCCTGGCTGCGGATTTGTCGTCTTCTTTTTTTCTCGGTGTGCTGCCTGCTGCCGGCGGGTTATAATTACCATCCGTGCAGACTCGTTGCCTACGCGTTCGAGCGCGGGGGAATAAGCGCGGTGCCTGGGCGTGGACAGACAGACAGCTCCCGGAGCTCGTAGAGAGCAATCTCTAAGCTACCCAACGCGTGCCGCAAGCAAACTTGGCCCAACCCATCGACGTGGAAATACCACCCATCCAGCCAACAGCGCCATCCCAAACGCCCTCATCCCTTCCAGTGTCCACGTCGTCTGACCCGTACGGAACTTCCATGTACCTCAAAGAACCCCCTCCACCCCCCCGGTCCCGATGCCCCGGACCAAAGCAGCGCCCCCGGCCAAAAACCACCACCGCCGGCCAATCTCCCATCCGCCACCCTGGGAGCCCTGCACCCTCCCCCTCATTTCTTTTTCCTCCTCCTCTGCCTCCTCCTCAACCCCCCCGCTCGCGCTCGGCATCTCAGACATGGGGGACGGTTGGCTGGTTGGTTGGTTGCTGCGCAGGGGCTGGACGGACCATGCGGACGGGCCTGTATAAGAGGCTTCGCGTGGCCCCCGGTGTTGCGCGCCGCTCAAGTAGAAGACATCGCCAAACCGTCGTCCGCCTCGCTCTCTTGCTCGCTCTTTTTTCCTTCTCTTCTCTTCTTGTGTGTCTGTCTGTATATATATATATATATACATACATACATACATATATATATATACTCTTTTTGTATATACCTCCTTGTATAGCCTCTTATACCCGTCCACCACACCCCAAACCCATCACCCCCAGGCCTCGAAACCCGCCGAACCCTCACCATGAAGGTCCGTCCCTCCCCAGCCCCCCAGCCAAGACGCAGCCTAACCCCCTCGCCCGCAGTCCCTCCTCGCCGCCCTCCTCGCCGCCCTCGTCGTCGGCGCCGCCGCCGCCCCCGCGCAGCAGGCCTCGCAGGCCCACCGCATCGACTCGAACCGTCGCTTCTTCTGCCCCAAGCGCGTCCAGGCCTTTTGCAGCGCCTCCAACATCCACTCGGGCTGCACCTTTGGCGGCACCTTTCGCTCCGACGCCATGGACACCTGCCGCGATTGCACTTGTCAGTCCCCTTGCTCCTCGCTCCGTCCTCTCCCATGGCGCTCGAGTCTGTCTTTTCTCTCCTTGATGATATACCGCCTCACATGGTGCAAGGGGAAGGGGGGATGAGACGGCAAGCATCGCTCGAGGTCGCGATGTAATGGTGGCTAACACGTCTGATGCCTAGGCTAAGCAAAATAACCCGCGAAAGGGAAGCAAAATAAACCAACCAACAAAGGGAAAAAAAATCCAGAAAGGAAGAGAATGGGTCAAGGATGATGGGCCGATATATCGGAGAATACGAACAGGCCAAGGTGGAAGTGTGGCCACTGGGAACCCCCTTGTAGGGCGCCTCCTCGACTTCATGTATTGCGCAGGAAAAGACTCAGCATCGAGGCAATGTGCGGACCCATGGCGCACCGGACTCCTGTCTGCTGCTTCTTCTGCACTTGGTCGAGGAAACTCGTGTACGTCTCCATTCTTGTCATCCGAATCATCACCGTATTCATCGCCGCCACGTCCCACACGATGCCCATCAGGCATTCATCTGAAACTCTTGTCTTTGATTCATCTACCAGGTATCTCGTTCATCTAGCTGTCCGACTGCCGTTGCAAAGCCACACTCGCTCCTCTTCCCCCCTGCGCCTGTGCCAAAATCAAGCCCCGACGTGACCAACGCTGCGTGCTCCCATGCTCGCCGACGTGGCATGACATGGACTGTCATCTCCCAGCGCCGGCCAAGCCCCTGTATACATGTACACACATGCCGCACAAGCTCTTGCTTCTATACACACACACCGCGAGCCCTGTGCTAGCTCGGCTTCAACAGCATCCCCACGTCTTGTAGCTGCATGTTGCTCGTTGTCGGCGGCGGCCCGCCCCTGTCGATCCTGCCCCAGCCCGCCCCCCACGCCGGCGGTTGCTGGCTGGTCGCGGCGCCGACGTAGTCGTCGTAGAGGCCGTCCGACCTTGAGCTGCGGCTTCTCAGCGCAATCTCGTTGGACCCGTCGCTCCCGGCGCGCCGTCTCCTGCCGCGCCTCCTCCAACAGAGGCGCCGTCTCCGCTGCTGCTGCTCGTCGCTCCCTGCGTGCTCCGGCGCCGCCATGATGCCCGGACGCTCCGACCGGCCGCCCTTGAGGGCAAACGTTCCAGAGTGCGAGCGCGGGTACAGGAAGCCAGCGGGCTGTCCGCCGCTAAACGGGTTCCATGCCCGAGGCCTGGCCGGCCCGAGGTTGATGCTGCCGTTGCAGCCGGCGTTGTAGCTCGTCCTCGACTCGCCCGAAAGCTCCTCGAGCGTCAGCCCCTTGGTTTCAGGTATGAGCAGCGAGAAAAAGGTGCCGAGCAGCATGAAGAGCGCAAACAGCTGCAGCAGGCGGTCGAGGTGGGGTGAGCAATCGTTGCCGGCGCACGACTCGTCGGGCCCGTGCCTCAGCAGCGGGATGCTAATGACCTGTGCCACGACGGCGCCGAGCTTGCCCATGGCCGCCGACAGGCCGTGGCCGGTGGAGCGATACCGCGTGGGGAAGCATTCGCCCGGCACAACAAACGTCGTCGTGTTAGGGCCCGCGCTGAAGAGAAACTGCCCGACCACGTAGAGGGCGAGCATGGCGCCCTCGCTTAGGTTGCCGAGCCGGAAGCCCAGGACGCAAAAGATGACCGTCAATGCCAGGAAGCCAAAGACCTGCAGCGGCTTGCGCCCCACCGTGTCGATGGTCAGGACGGCCGTCCAGTAGCCGGGGATGGCGCCGGCGCAGGTCAGGATGATCATGCCGACGGCCTGGTTGTACAGCTTTTCGTACATGTTGTTCCCGTTGGCGAAGCCGATGGCGTGCAGAACCATGGTGCTGTTAAGCCCGAGACCGTAAAATGCCAGATCCTGTCCCCGTCAGCGGCGCACGAGCCGAAGCCCGGGTGGGAGACGCACCAGCAAGAACCACGACATGGTGGTTCCGATGAGCACCCGAAGGTTTTTCCACTCTCCAAAGTAGGCAAAGACGTCGGCCCACGACGCCCGCGGCACGTGGAGCAGCGTGGCCGAGAGCCTAGTGCCCGACCTGCGGTGGCCCTCGTAATCGCCGCCCGACTTGCTGTGGACGTAGGCGCGGATGTCGGCGCCGGCCTTTTCCACGTCGTGGCGAACGTCAAACGTGTAGCGCGGCGTCTCGGGAATGGTGATGCGGTAGTAGAGGGCGAGGCAGGCGGGTATGGCCCCGACACCGACGATGATGCGCCAGGACCGATCGGCCGCGACCTGGCACGCCGCGTCGCACTGCGTCTCGTCCTTGATGTTGATGTACGAGTCCTTGAAGGCGACGGTGGTGATGAGGGCGACGAGGGCAGACATGAGCAGACCCACGCCCTGCATGGAGAAGACGGCGGCGACCATGGCGCCGCGCCAACGAGTCGGGGCAAACCTGGCGGTTCTGGTCAGCGGGAAGCCGAAGTGGCAGACGGGTCACCCTATCCGCCGGGGACTCGCTCGGGAGGCGGCTCACTCAGAAGTGATCACAGAAGACAGGGGGTAGTCGCCTCCGATGCCGATGCCCTGCGTGGCGTTAGCAGCCGTCTTGACCATCCATGACAGGGCTAGCCGTGTAGACAAGGGCTCACCATCAAGACGCGCCAGAAGATCAAGAGGGCCGAGGAGCTGATGGAGGGGCTCGAGGAGACGAGGGCGCAGCTAAAGGTGCCAAAGATGATGATGGCCAGCTCAATGCCGTACATTCGGCGGCGGCCGAGCGCACTAGACGCGAGACGTCAGCGGCGGGGGCCCAAGGCGGGCGGGGAAGGGACGGAAGCTCACTCGGCAAGCCATCCAAAGAGGACCATGCCGATGATGATGCCGGCATTGGTGGAGCCCTTGAGAGCCTGGTTGATGGGGTCCGGCAAGGCGCCGCCGTTGCCTCCGTAGCCGCTGTGGCGGTCGTTGCCACACCAAAAGACCATACCGAGCATGGTGATGACGAGGTTGATGGCAAAAATGTCGTACGAGTCGAGGAGGAAGCCGACTCCGGCCACCAGGACAGCGCGGACATCTGCGTCGGCGTCAGTCAGCGGGCAAGGGCAGCAGTAGACGTTGCGTGGACGCACGGTAGAGGCCAAGGGGGACCTTGTCGATCTCGGACAAGGCCAGGCGGCGGCGCAGGTTGGGGTCTGGGATGTGAGAGTAGTCGTTGTAGAAGTTGTGAAAGGCACGGTTGCCGCCGTAGGTGCGGTCCGGGCCTGCGGGGGCGCCGGCCGAGGAGGAGGGAGGAGGGAGCATGTCGAGGCGGGAGCAGATTGGGTGTCGAAGGCGATCAGCAGCGAATGCTGTCGAGGCCCGGCGGCGGAAACATGGGCGGTCGGTTGGTCGGGACAAGAGAGGTTGATTCGCGATGGGTCAACGGTTGAAGCTTGGTAGATACTCGCGGCAGCCGAGGCCGAGGCGGAAGACGATGAGAGAGGAGAGGCGGGAAGATGGTCGAGCGACGAGGAAGAATGGCTATGTGCGACGAGGGCCAAGAGGCGAAGGGCGGTTTCGCGGGAGCTGGTGCTGCTTCGGGCAGCTCAGCTTGTGAAGCTGCAGCGGGGCCGAGTTTAGAGATTGCGTGCGGGAGGCCGAGGACGCTGGGAGAGAAATGCTTGGCTACGATGGCCTTTCGCGACCAGAGTTGAGAGGAGGAGTCATCAGGCATCCGCGGTCGAGGAGGGAGGGGGAGAGAAAAAGGTGCCTGCCCTGCCTATTCGTACCGACCTACCTATTCCAGACGAGACCTTCCAAAGATAGGTACATGGACGAGGTACCATCTACAGGAGGGCGAAACACCTGGATGGCCTGGGATGGAAAGCACAACAAGGCGAAGAGATGATGGGGGAGGGGAAGTCGAGCGGGAAAAAAACGGCAGCCATGCCGTATGTGCCGTGCGGGATGATGATGATTAACTGCTGGGCCGAGGACAAGACGGTTCGGCGGACTATTCGTAGACTAGGTCCAAGAGGGCGATGACTCTCGGAAAAGGTCTCAGGACAAAAGGGCAATCAAAAGGACGCCTCTGGATCGACAGAGACTAGGCCCAAGGGCTGACGCTCGCTCTGTCACCCTCCCATTTCCTGTCCTGATCTGCATGCTCCAACCGAGAGCCGTTGAGCGGTTGTTGTTCCTTTATTAGCCCATCCACTGCCTTGGCGGTTCGAAAGATGGAGATCGGCTAACTTTGCTCGGCGCCTCAGATGCTGGGGGTCGGATGCTGGGGGCCGCCTTGCCCAACCTGGCTGGCAACCGCTAGTGCCTGGCGCTTAGCGCTGCTCGTAGTGCTGGGGGGCATGGGGGGGTTGCTGCTTCTCAGCGGGACAGGCCTGCACGTGCTCGGCCTTAATGCAGGTCCTCCCTCCTGTAGACTCGCCCCGCCGAAAAGTACCTTGCATCGACAAAAGGCCCCCTGAACTTGGCATCTGCGATGAATGATTACGAGTAATCAAACATACACTCCTGATTTTCAAACATACACTCCCGACCTAAGCCCCATTTGGAAGAAGACCCCGCCACCAAAATTTGGCGCGCGCTTTCCCAACGCCCTGGCTTGCCGTGACCATCGCCGCCGCCCACCCGCCCAGCCACCTGCCTTTTCGCCGCCATCTGCATTTTCGCAATCATCAACAATTGAAGCTATCACCACTTGACTCAACACAACAGCAACGCCGCCGCCGCCTACCGCAATAGTCACGTCTAGTCAATCGTCCCGATGAATTCGACCGAAAGCAATACCAACAGTAGCACCGAGGCTATCACGGAGATGTCTTTCGATACGTATGATGAGGCGCTTGAAACACTCAAAGCTACGCAAGAGCTCCTTGGCTACGTCGTAGTCGTTGCAAATAGCAAGAATACCGGCAAGCCTAGGCGCAAGGAAGCCAATATCCGCTGTGAATACAGTGGTCAGTATAGGCCCTGGGACGAGGCAGAGGGTATATACAAGACGTCATCCAAGAAGTCGGGATGTGACTTTCGCTGTTACATCCGCTTCTACCGACGTTGCAATGCATTCAAAGTCACCATCAAGCACGGCTCTCATAACCACGAACCTCTATTTGAGCCAATTGCTAACCCCATCGTCCGTCAACGAAGCCAACGCAAATTCGGCATCGAGCGTCTTCATAGCCTCGTCGAGGGCTTAGCAAGAACGTCAATAACAAGAGCAGGGATATCGTGGATGCTATCCGACAGGAATATCCTGAGCTCCTTATTACCGATTCTGATATACACTTCATCCAGCTGCAACTTCGTGCCTTCCGTTACGGCGCCTCTACATCTACACAAGCCTTCCTCGATGTACTCAAAGATGCTAAAGCAAAGGGGAAATCAGCTACTATGCAGTTGACCGTGGCCCTAATGGGAAGGTTTGGAGGTTTTTCTGGACATACGATGACTGTATTGCTGACTGGAAGCGTAACCCCGAGCTCCTTATCATGGATAATACGTATAAGGTCAACCGCTTTAACATGCCGCTTCTACAGATCATTGGCACAACAGGGCTACACAAGAGCTTCAGTGTAGGCTTTGGCCTCACTGCCAAGGAAGACGAAGGCGCGTTCCAATGGATCCTCTCACAGTTGCGTGAGGCTGGTCGGCAGGCTGATATTCCGGACCCGGGCGTTGTGATTACCGACTTTGATACCGCCCTGAAGAACGCCCTTGACTCTATCTTCCCATCAACGCAACAACAAGTGTGCGTTTGGCATATGATGAAGAACGTGATCCTTCACATCAAGAAGAAGTGGGAAGGATCCCTCGATGGCACCGAGATTGGCGGAGATAGGCCAGAACAGGAGACTCGCCTCGCTGCAGCAGCCGCTCTCGACGACCCTATACAGGCAGATAATGCCATTGACGAGGACCGACCTATCGACCGTGCCACTGATTACCAGATTCAACATGCCTCACAACTGGCAGATCAGTGCGTTGAGCAACAAGATGATCGTGAAGATGACGATGGAAACCCAATACTACCCCGGCTCCAAGGCGGACTTTTGAGCACACAGCTGACGGTATCCGTGATGCCTGGGTTTCAGTCTTTAGGGCTCGCACGGCTGAGGAGTGCAGAGATCAGTGGGATCTACTCTGTATAGAGTTTTCGGATCAGCCAGGTAACCCTAGCCCTAACTACCTCCTACTCTAACCTTTACTAAATAGCTCCTCTTATAGCTCTCGTTAATTACCTCCGTACAACCTACTGGCCATGGCGTGCCCAGTTTTCCACCTACGCTATCCAACAGTACCGAAATTATAACATTACGGTAACTTCCCGTGTGGAGAGCACACATCACGAGTTGAAGTCACGATTACGCAACCGCTTCATTGACCTCCATCAGCTACAAGAGCACATCAGAGGGCTCGTTACCCATCGGCAAAAGAAGCATCGCGAGAAGCTTCAATCCGAGTTTGCAAGAGCTAGAGTTGAATGGGCCAAGCAGACGATTATGAAGTCACTGCACCGAAAAATTGGCTGGCAGCCGATGAAACAGATCTTCAGGCAAGTTAGGCTAGCCGGGCTGAGCTTGCCGATAATCGAGGCATGCCTACGATTTGTACGGGTGCTTTCACGATGCAATGGGGGCTGCCCTGCCGGCATACAATCCGCGATTTGATCCAGGCTGACGCGGCCGCCCTTATACCATTGCATCTTATTGATAACCACTGGCGGGTTTACGGCGTGACTGTAAGTATCTTGCTCCAGCCATAAGTACTATACTAATTTACTAGCAGCCTGAACAACAGCAATATATCGATGCAGACCACGAAGCCGATCCTGACGTTGTCCAGCCTCGCCGGCGTGGAAACAGTAGACGCGAGGTATCCTCCACTAGAGGCATCTACGGGCCGGATCCTTAGTGCTTGGGAGCAAGAGGAGCATAGAGCCAACCCAGAGCTCGTATCACGGCCACCAGAGACGCAAAAGAAGAAGAGGAAGGGCACAGGCACCACTATCATGAACAAGAGGTCGAATACACTTGCTTCCGTGAGCAGCCGGGTTGACGATCTTGCCCAGCAGATCGGTGATTTCATCAAGTCACAAGCAGCAGCAACGCCGGTGCTGTTATCACAGGTGCCCTCACTTCCACAGGTGCCGCTGGTGTCACAGGGATACCAAACGACGATGCCCTCACTTCCACAGCCGGCGCCGCCGTCACAGGATACTATGTGATGCCACCGCCTACACCAATTGTGCCTGTATACGTACAGGCGCCGGCGCCGTCACAGTGGCAAGAACCGCCTCCTCGTCACAGGCACATCACGACGGCTTCATGTGGGCACAGCCGCCGGCACAGTCTCACGAGACGGCTACGGAGCATTTCCAGCAGCTAGGGGATCAGAGGACACGGCACCATACAAAACTAGCAGGCAGGCCGGTCACAAATTCGTTCCTTACGTGCCTCGCCCTCCGCCGCGTCGGACGGATCCTTCCTCACAGTCACAGTCACAGTCACAGAGGTAGGCAAAGACCTTCCGCCATTATATGCATATTGTATATATATCGGAAGATCGATCGGGCCGGGCTTATTGATAGCTTCAATTGAATGACTCTAGGGATGCATCTTCCGGCGTTGGTAATAATTGCAGATAGAATCCATATATGTCAGACAATAGTGTCCCACACCTCGCACGTGACAGCGGTTGATCTTTGTGGCATCAGTCAATTGATGAGAATTATCTAAAGAACAAAGGAAAGGAAAAGAATTGGATGCACACATTCGTGCAACAATATATACCCCGATCATTGCGGCGAAGCCGCGGCGCAGCAGTGGCAGTGATCGAGCATAAGGTTTCAGGAACTGACACGGGCGTGATATGCGACAATATATCTAGGCAGGCAGCCGCGGCAGCGGCGTTGGGAAAGCGCGCGCCAAATTTTGGTGGCGGGGTCTTCTTCCAAATGGGGCTTAGGTCGGGAGTGTATGTTTGAAAATCTGGAGTGTATGTTTGATTACTCAATGATTACCGCCATCTAAACACTCATGGACCAGGGCTTGCGTCAGCGACTGACAAAAAGGGCTTCATCCCCGCGCACAGATTCCATCCACCAAGGCGCCGACAGATCAGTCTGTACCTACATACTCGTACTTGTCACTGGGCTTGCGTGGCTGAGTGGGTACTGACGGTGCTGCTGCAGTGCTGTCGGTGGCAGGGCGGGCCCCCTTCTAGCGGCCTTCCAGAAGACATCCACTCATCTACCCACCCCCAACCGACTGCGCCAACGGTGCTCCGCCAGCACGCGCAAAATACTTGCTGTTCATCCTCATCCAGACCTCTGCTCGTTCAGACCCGCCGTTTCGAGGAGCCCAACGGCCCCAATAAGCAAGTCTCAACTGGCCCGGCCGTTGATGCTGTGCGACCTGGTGGTCCAAGGATGCCTTCAGCTATAATCAGCACGATTGCGACTACTCCGTACCGTCTCGGCGCGGATTCTTTACCTCTTCTTACGTACAAGAAATACTCCAACTCACCTGGGACCACACGAGCATGACACGGTGCATGCCTCGAGGACAGGACCGAGGCCTCTCGCGACATCGTTCGCCAGTTGCGCGCAGGGCTTGACCAACGACCTATTCCTTAGGCCCCTTTCACGCGCTCTTGTCGATATTTCTTTGCTCAGGTGCTACATTGCTAGTTTTCTGTCTAAATTTCCAGTGACTACATGTACACGAAAGCACAAGATATCTATCCTACTGCCCACATCATTCGGCACTCGAGACTCCCGACTCAGAGCTGCCTTGACCAGGCCACCTCCACCAACAAGGGGCACACTCGTCTTCAACGCCCGTCGTGCCTTCATGGCCCGCTGCCTGTGCCGCCCAGGAACCGGATGGCCAGGCCGCCACGAATGGCGCCATCGACTGCCAACCGGGCTTCTGCGTGTTGGCATCAGCGCCGCCCTTCACCCCTCTCGTCATTTACAGTCCTTCGTCCTCCACTTCGTCCGACTCGTCACCATGCCGTTATGTCCTCCACCTCGGCCTCGCCAAAGGTGCTCGACTTGGTCACCTGTCCTACCCCGGTCTCCTCGTCGAGCGCATCCCCCTCTCTGCTCATCATGTCCGGCAGCACCTCCTTTAGAAAGGCCAGGATGTAGCGGTTGACCTGCTCAAACTGCAGCAGAAACGCGTCGTGGCCCTCGGGGCTGTTGATGCGCTCCAGCCGCGCGTTGCCCACGTGCTGCGCAATCTCCTCCTGCTCGGCAAACGTGAAGAGGCCGTCGCTCTCGATACCCAGCACCAGCGTCGGCTGCTGGATGAGGCCCAGCGCCTCGGCAATTGTCGAGGCCCGGCTGCGCGAGACGTCGTGCGTGTCTAGCTTGCGCGTCATGGCAATGTAGCAGTTGCCGTCGAAACGCTTGACAAACTTGGTGCCCTGATAGCGCAGGTAAGACTGCGCCGAGAAGTAGGTCGACGTCGGCATCGCCTCGCCGCCCGTCAGACCGCCGCCGCCGTCTTTGCCGGGGCCCTCGAACTGCGGGTCTGCGCCACTCCCGGCGGCCGGCCCGGCTTCGCTGCTGCTGGCGGCTGCGCGCTTCACCTTGTGCCCGTCGTTGTGGATGCGAAAGTGGGCCTCGGACGGCGTGCTTGGCCGCGTCGGCTCGCGGATCGTCTGGCCCTTGGAAGGATCCGGCGTGTTGCGACCGAACCGGGCCTCAAACGAGTTGCGACTCCGGTACGTCAGCAGCGCCGACATGCGGGCGGCGCCGAGCCCGGCCGTCGGGGGGTCGTCAAAGGGGTAGTAGCCGTCGTCGTACTTGGGGTCGGCGTAGATGCTCTGACGCTGCGCCTCGCCCCAGCTGATGCCCCAGGCGCTGTGCCGGCTCGAGGTGGCAATGGGCACGACACACCGCACGTAGTCGCGGCCAAAGTAGGCCCATTCCAGAACAAACATGCCGCCCAGCGAGCCGCCGACGACGGCGGCGACTTGCTTGACGCCCAGGTCGTCGAGCAGCAGCTTGTGCAGGCTGGCGCCGCGTTAGCCCTGCCTGTGCGCTCGCTCGAGGTACTCACTTGACGTCGTCGCGGATGCTGGTGAGGGGGAACTCGGGCCCGTACCGACCCTTGGCCGGGTCGCCGTCCTTGGCCGTGACGGGGCTCGCCGTGCCGTAGGGACTGCCGAGGCTGTTCATGCAGACGACAAAGAACCTCGACGTGTCAAAGGCCCGCCCCGGCCCGCCGATCAGAGGCCCCCACCAGTCACTGACGTCGGCGCTGCCGGTGAGGGCGTGACAGATGACCATGGCGTTGTCGGCGTCGGGCGACAGCTTGCCCCTGGTGGTGTAGGCGACGGGGACATTGCGGAGGCTGATGCCCGACTCGAGGGTGAACTCGGGGATGACGGCTATGTGCTGGTCCGGGATGAGAGCCGCAAAGGGGTTCTCAGGCTGTGCCGGCACTCTTTCTTGCAGGTATTCAGTGCCAGCTCAGAGTAGGGCGACAATAGCGTGCGGTACTGACCGTATTGTTGGCGAGGGCCGCCATTGACAGGCGCTTCTTGAGCCATTGTGTCGTAGATTCAGTCAAATTTTTCCTCCTGCAGCCGGCCGACAACGGAGAGGAAGAGTTGGATTGGGAGACGGGATTAGGCACAACGTCTACATCTAATGCAGGCTGCTTGCAACAGCATCCGCAACGGCGTCTTCACCGCACGTACATGAGCGGCGGCGGCTCAGGCGGGCAGAAGCGGAGGGCGTCTCGGGAGAGGATGCAACGGTGCAAGGAGAAGAGAAGGGACGAAATTGATAATAAGCTGCACCTGGAGCTCATTGATGCACAAACCCAGTCATTTCGCCTCGTACCTCGAGATGTTATGTCACGGTTGCAATGGCGCAATCAATCCGGCTTCGAATGCTCCGTGCAAGGTACATACCTACCCCATGAGTCAGCCATTCACGCCCCGTTCAGAGTTTCAAGCCAGTGGCATGCCAGCAGCCGGTCACGTGGGGTCCCGCCTCATTCAACTCGGTACCTCGCCTATTGACACGGTCAAGCAATGGTCTCACGTATCCTATACTTGTGTCCCCCACTCTGCCGTACGCTGTAGCCACCCACGCCCTGTACCTGTACTTACCACCAACTCTGGCCTGGTCTGGTCCGTGCACTGCCGTCGAACAGCTTCACTCGCCAAGGTGGAAACACGCCAGGCTGGACGTGATTTCTCTTCATCTTCATCCCTCACCTTCTTCCGCCAGGACGCATCGTCGTCGCCAAACGCAACCTCACAAGCCTCCGCGACAATCGGCTGGCTCTATATCTCGGCCGCAGAGGCAGCGTCAGCGCATCGAGCCCCCTCGGCGTCTTCTCGCCCATTTCCGACCACCTTCGCTTTGCACGTCAGTATCCTCTTTGTCCTCGACCGGGCGCACGGCGTTTCTTTTCTTGTCTCTTCTTCGTCACGTCCTTTTCCGAAGCCTCGACACTCCCACCTTCATCGTACTTCCCGGCCCTGGCCTTGACTCTCACTCACCAAAAATTTCCAGCCTCACTTCTCGGCGACGCTATTCGGACCCAAACTCCTTCGCCGCAAATGATATAGCCAGTCTCCTTTCACGCACGTGTCGAATTCGATGCCCATGAAGCGCAAGAGGCCCGACCGCCCCTCGGGTGACGGGCCCCGGCCCTCGCCGCACCGCCCAGCAGACACGCCACTGGCACAGCACGACAGAGACGACGGCGGAGGCAGAGGCGGCCGTGGCCGTGGCCATCGCGGTGGCTACCAACGCCGCGACTCAAACCCTGGCCATGGCCGGGGCGGCTTCAACCACCACTTCAACCAGCAGAATTCGCAGAACCAGCAGCACTATCACAGCCAGAGGCAGCCAACTCCCACCTCGGCGCACAGCGCCAGCTTCCCCTCGCCCGCCCAGGCCTCTCCGACGCCGGCGGCGAGGCAGCTCAAACCGCCAAGCTCGCCCGCAATGATCAAGCAGCCTGCTCCACCCCCGGTAGCAGCATCGCCTGCCACCGTGGCCAAGCCATCCGCCTTGCCCGCTGCCGTGAAGCTCCCATCCGATCCCGTGCTGCAGCAAGCCTCCTCGGAACGACCCAAATACCATTACGATAATCTCACCGATGACAGAGTCCGCGCTTGGGCCGAGCGAGGCCGCCATGAGATTGTGCAGCATGGCATTCAGTCACGCGAGGACGTTGACATCACCGAGCTCTCGAGCCTCTTTCAGGAGTTCATCCACGCCGTCATTGACGCTCGCCTGGACCCGGCCGACGCCGGCGCCTGCGTCAAAGAGATCTTGGGCCGAGAAACATGCGATGTGATTAAGGATTCGTATGCATTTGCGCCTCATACTCTCTTCCTCGACACCCTGGCCATTGTCACCGACATCGATGCCGACTTGTATCGGCCGACTATTCGCGATTTCCTCGTCGCCACCGACGTTTCCCCTGCCCTCATGCGCGAAGTGCTGGACGCACCGCTGCTGCACCAGCTGGGCCTGATCAGGGACACCTTTGCCAGACTCGGCGTCAGGCAGGCCACCAACCTCTTGTACCGGCAGGCGAACTACAACCTGCTGCGCGAAGAATCCGAGGGCTACTCCAAGCTCATCACGGAGATTTTCAGCACCAACACCATCCCCCCTCCGCCGCCCGGCAAGACGTTTGAAAAGGTCAAGGCCTTGATTGGTACCTTCGACCTCGACGTGGGCCGAGTCTTGGATGTTACTCTCGACGTGGCCGCGACCGTCTTGATCAAGCAAGTCAAGTTTTTCGTCAAATTTCTGAGAATCAGCTCCTGGTGGCCTTCGTCCCATTACAACGATGGCTCCCCTTTCGTCGGAGGTCTGCCCACCTGGGCGGACCCGAGCTACCCGCACTGGAGCACCACAGAAGAGGACGAGGCCGACGGCGCACGCCGTAAGCTGCAGCGGGACATTGCCTTCTGGGACCGCGCCCGCGAAGTGCATCTCGCCGCCTTCTTCGAGCTCGGCGGCAGGCGGGTCACCGAGCGCCACCTTCAGCAGAAGCAAATCGCCAACGGTCACGACGGTGGAGAGGCCGTCGCCGACGCCGAGCAGCAGTGGATGCAAGAGACCAATACCCTGCCCGCGTCCGGAAACCGAGTTGCTGCACAGCTTTTGGGCTTCAAACTCCGGTTCTACAACTCGGAAATGAGAGACAAGGCAGATGTGCTTCCCGCCAACCTGCTCTATCTTGCATCACTTCTCATCAAGATTGGCTTCATCTCATTGGCCGACCTCTACCCGCACCTCTCTCCCGAGGACAGCGGCATGGACCGCGTACGCCAACAGGAGGCGGAGAAGCTCGAAAAGCAGGAGCGAGAGGCGAGAGGCGGCCAGATGAACGCCCTCCTCATGGCCGGCGTGCTTCCCCAGGGTGACGACGACAATCCAGCGACATCCACTGGCATCAGAAAAGAAATGCCCAAGAGGGCTGAACAGGAGCAGAAGAAGGCAGCGGCCGCCGAGGAAGCCGCCAAAAAGGATAAGCTCCCGGAGCCGATGGAGCAAAAGGTAGCCCTTCTCATCCAGCTCCTGACCATCGGCGCGATCCCCGAGTCGCTTTTCGTGCTGGGCCGGTTCCCCTGGATTCCAGAGGTGTTTCCCGATGTCCTGCAACGCATCCATCGCATCCTTCACGTGTGCCTGGACAAGGTGTACAAGGACAGTCGGCCCTTCCCGGCGCCCGAGGTGGATTTTCCGACCAAGAGCCTGCCCGACGTTGACCAGGCGGGCGTGCCCAAGGGCAGCGTGCGCACAAACAAACTGCCTCCGAGGAAGACCTGGCGCTGGCCCTACCCTGACGCGTGCGACACCAACGAGACGCAGAATTATCGCTTCTACCTCGACGAGTGGGATGACAACGTGCCCGTTTGCCAGACGGTCGAGGACGTCTTTACGCTTTGCAACACCCTCTTGAACATCTCTGGCGTCAACATCGGAAAGGACGAGACTCTGCTCACCAAGCTTGCCAGCATCGGCTCCAAGAGTCTGGCTGCGGACACGTCCGAGGCCAATCGCGCCCGTTGGCAGGATCTTCTGCGGCGCCTCTTGCTGCCTGCGCTGAGCCACACCAAGGCAAACGCCTCGGTCGTGAACGCCATCTGGGAGCTTGCCAGGCAATACCCGCTCATCACTCGCTACTCCATGTATGCCGAGTGGTTCGAGGGCCAGACCTCTCGGCTGCCAGCCATGAAGGCCGCCTTTGCGCGCGCGACGTCCGAGACCAGGGCCACCATGAAGCGAGTTTCCCTCACCAACTTGAGCGAAATGGCCAAGCGGCTCGCAAAGACCAGCTACGCTTCTCCCGGAATCGTCTTCAAGGTCGCCTTTGAGCAGCTCGAGGTCTACTCCAACCTGATTGAGGCCTTTGTCGAATGCGCCAAATACTTCACCGACCTCTCCTACGACGTGCTGGTGTGGTCACTGCTCAGCTCTCTCGGCAAGTCTCGCAGCCGCACGCAGGAAAATCACGCCCTCACCACCAGCAAGTGGCTGCAGGCCTTGTCCCGATTCTCGGGCAGAGTTTTCCGCCGATATCCAGTCCTGAACCCGGTTCCGGTCCTCCAATACGTCGACGAGCAGCTTTACCACGGCAACGCCACCGACCTCATCATCCTCAAGGAGTTTGTCTCGTCCATGGGCGGCATTGTGGACGCCGTCGACTTCACCGACTACCAAGTCCTGTCCATGGCCGGCGGCGCCTGGCTCCGGCGGCACACCCTGATCCGGGCGCAGGACAAACGCTTTGAAAACTCAAAGAGCTCATACCGCCTCATCCAAGCCCTCTCCGATTCGAAGCTGGCCGCGCGGCTGCTCATCAACCTCGCGCAGTTCCGGCAAACCGCCGTTTACAAGGTTCCTGAGGACGAGGCTCACATCAAATACCTGTCGTCGACTATTGACGACTCCCACCAAACGCTCGTCCAGTATCTCGATTTCCTCTGGAGTAACCTCGACCCAGTCGACTTTGACACCATCGTCCCGTCCATTCCAGTGCTCATCAGCTTGTTTGGATTGCAGACGGAGCTCGCATTCTTGATTGGCAGGAGCAGCCTGGCACATCGCATGTTTCCCTGGAAGGAGAGCAAGGGCAAAAGAGATGCGGCGCAAGCTCGCCGATTAGGGACCGACAAGGAGGGTGACGTCAAGATGTCGGATGCAAAGCCTCAAGGCGCAGAGACGGCCGAGGCGGCGCCTCAAGACGGCGCCGATACCGAAACTCAACAGGTAGAGGCTCACCCGTTGTTCCCTGGAGCTTCTTCAAACACCAGACGACGTGTACTGACTAAGACGCCTTTGCAGAAACCCGACGATGCTTCGCTGTCGCGAACCGCGCTCACAGCCCTGCAGCCCATTATTGAGTCGGTCAAGGCCACTGTTCCCCCGGCAGTGTGGCGCAAGATGACGCCAGAGCTGTACACGACGTTCTGGGCTCTGCAGTTGGGAGACCTCTGCTTCCCGGAAGAAGTTTACGTCAAGGAGCGCCAGAAAATCATGACCGAGTGGCAGACGCTCGCCAACGATCGTTCCGACATGTCGCGCAGAGCTGTGGATCGCAAGATGGAAAAGAGAAAGGAGCTCATGGACTTGCAAGGGTACTTGCTGGACGAGCTCAGCGAACACGGTCTGCGCAAGGCCAAGTGGAAGTTTTACTTGACCAAGATGTTCCAAACCTCGTTCCCCGATACCGCGCCCAACGCAGACAGCGTTTCCGACGTTCTCCTCGAGCAGTGCTTCTTGCCTCGGCTCCTGCTCTCGCCGGCCGATGCAGAGTACACGTTCAGGTTCATCAAGGCCCTTCACGACTCGAACGCGCCAGTCTTCAAGTTGATGTCCCTCTATGACCGACTGTTCAACGCCAACCGATTGCGAGCCATCATTTTCACCTGCACCGTCCGCGAGACGGAGTACCTGGGCCGATTCCTGAAGCTCATCCTGGAGGACTTGGCGCGATGGCACAAGAATGAGCCGGCACCTACCGACAAAGACGGCAAAGCCTCCAAGGATCCTATGCGCCCAGGCGCCTATGACAGGGAAGGCAAAGGCACCGCGGACCAGCCTCGCCTGGGCTTCGCTCTCACCGTCAACGCGCAGGGGAAGCCAGAGACTTTCGTCGAGCATCCGCAATTCCGAGATTTGTTGTTTCGCTGGCACAAGAACCTTAACATGGCCCTCAAGGCTTGCCTGAGTGGCTCTGAGTGGATGCACATTCGCAACGCCATCACTGTGCTCAAAGCCGTATTGGATTACTTCCCTGCCGTGGACTTTATGGCTACGCAGTTCACGGCGCAGCTGCAGAAGATTTCGAAACGCGAGGCGGTCGCCAAGGCAGGTCCGGAAAGCGAGGAAGGTGGACGTGTCGACTTGTCCGTTGCGGCGCAGGGCGCCATGTCGGAACTGCAGAAGAGGAAACCCAAATGGGTCATGGTTCAAGCTTTCAGATCCAACGCCGTGAGTTCAAACCAATGGAGAGGGCGAGAAGGGAAAGTGTCTGGGGGAAGCAAGCTAACAATTCATTAGGCGAGTGGGCCACGGTCCGAGGGCGACAAGTCCTCCAGCTCCAATCTGCGTGCCACTGCCGTGGATTTTAAACCGCAGGCTATCAAGTATGTGTCGTCAGGGTCAACTCGAAGGAGTTCCCGTGCTCACCGCGAACATAGGCCAACAACTGCCAAGGCTTCTGCCAAGGCTCCTACCACGGAGAAGGAAGACGGCGAGGTACAGGACGCCGCGGACGTCAAAAGTCAATCGAACATAGAAATGCCAAAGGAGCCCCAGCCATCCAGGCTACCTAACCCAACCAGGGAGGCATCCGCCAGGCAGGATGAGGGGGCGGGACCCTCTCGGCCGTCGACGCCGAGAGCGGGCTCGACCCAGACGAACCCTGAATCTCGCTCCCACAAATTACCAGACCGCCCCACAGCGCACACCCTGCCAACCCGACCAGACGTGCCGATCCCAGGGCATGTTCCCCCGGAGCGCTACGCCCAGTCCAGAGGCGCCGAACGCAGGGACGGCCGCGAACCTCGTGCTACACGGGACGCTCGTGGTGATCCTCGCGAGGCATGGGATGGCAGAGAGACCAGAGAGAGCAAGGAACACCGCGAGACTCGCGATACTAGGCCTCATGAACCAGAGCGCGCAGGACGTCACAACGCACACCCGGATTATCGAGCAGGCGACGCCAATGGAGAGTCCCGTGTCGATTTGCCGCCCCGACCAGGCCAGCACGAAAGGGATAGGCAGTACCGAGACTCGCGGATCAGCGGTATGCAAAATCGCCACAACGAGACACCGAACCATCCGTCTGGTCCGCCACCTGTCACAAGCGAGTCCTCGGAGCCTGCCATGAACCCTGAGAGAGCTGCCTTCTTTGCTCAAGACGGCCAAGATCGACCCGCGCGCGGCCCGGATCCAGATCGCCAACCTCGAGCCCATCGGCCAATGGCGGTGGACCCCATGGATGTTGTGAATGCTGAACGCGGCGTCCTGATTGAGGACCGCAACGACGGCGCTCCGTTCTCGCAAAACCGACCTCGTAGGGACGATGGCCACGAACGAGCACCCAGAACGCAGTCCCCACGGCGAAACAGCCGCCACGCTCAGGAGCATGGGCCTCTGTCTGGAAGCTTTGAGGATCGACATGGCCGCCCCTATCCCCAGGACCAGCGAGCGCTCGGCAGAGACCCGCGCGACAGGTCCCCCATGACAGGGCACAGCTACCGTGGCGATCGGCCGATGGATCGCGAGGCCGAGAGAGGCCTGGATAAGATGCGCGACCCGTCGGCGGGCTTTCACCGGCCTGGACTTCGCGGCCCGGAGCCCGAGCATCGAATGCCACACCAGGACCAGAACTACGGACGACTGAATCCTGTCCCGTCGAGTTCTGACGTCCCATCTGGCCCTCGCGGCCGAGGCAGAAGCGCCACCCGAGGTGGATACGGGGTACACTCTACGACACCTGGCAGGCCAGATGGCCGCTTCGGGGCTCCAGAGACTCCACGAGCGTCGTCTCCGGATCGGCTCCCGCCCACGGGGCCCGCGTCCGGGAGAGGCCGGCACAGTGGTTACGAGCCTGGCTCAGGGCCCGGCACGCCTTCGGGGCCTCATGGAGGCCCGCCCCCAGAGAGAGCAAGGAACTTTACTGGCGGCCCAAGGCCAGACATGCAGGCATCTATTTCGTCGACGGCGACTCCGCCGTCGGTGGTGCACCCCGATCGGCTGGCCCAGATGGGCTCGGGGCTCCCCCCGCCTCCGTCCGGACCACCTCAAGGGCACGGCCGACAGGCGGGCGGCGGCGATAGACACGTGTTGAATGCACGACAGCCACACTCGGCTGTCATGGGGCCTCCGCTACCGACGGAAGCAGGGGTGCCAACAGGGCCCGCGTCGTCGAACGAGAGAACCAGGAGCGGTGGAGGCCGACGACAGCTCGCCGGCATCAACAACATGCTCCAGCAATCTCAGTCGATGCCAGACTTGAACCGTGGCAATGGTCCAAGAGGGGGCCAGCCACGGCAGCTGCTCGGGGATTCTGATGCTCAGGTCCTGACTGGCGGCTCGCCGGCCTCGGCCTCTGGACACGAGCGTCAAGACATGATGTGGCAGGACAGCGCCAGTTGGGGGGCTGCAAACGGAGGGGATGGTCCGCCAAGGCGCGAGCGTGGAGAACGCGACAATAGGAATGACCGACTTGGCCGATCTTCTCGACGCAGCAGCCGCGAGCGAGAGCGCAGCCCGCGAGCCGGTCGCGAGGAAGCGAAAGAGCACGCCGAGTATCGCGACAGAAGGTCAATGGGTAACGCCGAAGTTGCCGCCAAGGAGCGCGAGCCGCGCCGAATGGGACGGGATATCGGAGGCCGAAACATAATGGGCTTGCCTCCCAGCGGCGGTCGAGACCTGACGGGGCCGAGGGAGCCACGACATCGCGCGGACGCAGGACCCGGAGGACCCGGAGGACCTGGAGGACCCGGAGGCCACCGGGCAGGAGAGGAGTGGGCGGGAGGCCGTGGCGCAGGCGGCTACCGAGCTGGACATGGAGGGCCGAGAGAAGAGGGCATGCGGGCGGCCGAGGAACGGCGGGATCCTCGAGACGATCGAGGGCGGAAGAGGCGAAGCGAGGACGGTGTGGGGCTCTTGGCGAGCGAGCGCGACAAGCGACCGAGACGCGGCTAGAAGAGCACTCGTGGACCCCGTCCGCCCGCCTGAGCTGGAGAATGCAGACGAACGATGGACCTGTGTCGACAAGGAACGACGCTGGTTTTCATTTTACGGTTTTTGTTCTTGTTTCCCCTTGGAGGATGTGTACAGGGGAGAAGGATACACGAATCAGGAGCACGACCGAGAGGCTTTCTGATTCTGGCCCGGCGTTGAGGGTCGACATTTTCTGCACACATCTGGAGCAGGTGTCAAGTCTGCACATGTCATGAAACGGTTGCGCTACTTGCAACCACCAAAAAAAAGAAGAGCTTGCTATCGGACCGTTACTCGAGTACCACTTTTGACCTTTGGCAGCGGCTGGATATGGGGAGGTGGGCGCGGAGGCAGAGAGGCAGACTCAGCAGCCCGTACTGTACACGCACTGCGAGCCTTTTTCCGGCAGCATAGACGATACGATACCCCTTTGGCACTGGCACTTGATGGCACTAGAGAAGAGGATGGTGATGTAGATGAGAGGCGTCGTCACGAGGACAAGGGATAAGGCGTCTTGGATGTCACATGTACGAATACATGAGCTGTCAACGAGTATATGAAATGAGGAATGAAGATTGAGGGGCGCGGGTGAGGCGTTGTGACGCGGTAGGGTGCTGGGAGAGACAGAACGTACGCAGCTGGAGAGTAATCCGTCGTCATGGGGCGAGACGACGTGGCGCGGGCCGGAATTGATTGATTAGCCAGTGTTAAGTCGGTTTGAAAGGTTGCTGGCCAATGAAGAGTGTTGGCATGTCTCAAGTTTGGACGTTGTCGCGGTACTAACAGGCGGGTGGTCTCTTTGTTCTCTGGCTTCGGGGCTTTCGCTCCAGGCAGTGTCTAAGGCTTCCGAGGTAGGTACTTGCGAATTGATACCTGGTACCCACCTATGACCTGCTACGAAAGCTCTCCAAGGCGTGGCATGACGACGCAGTCTGGCACAAGCACAGCCCCCGTGATGGTGCGGCGTGTAATTGGCAGAGGGCGGGCCTTACAGGTAAGAAACCTACCTAACCTACTAACGTTAGTAGGTACCTACAATCAGTACAGAGTACAGAGGCTGAGGGTGGTGGTCACGGCAGTGACAAAGCGCCGGCCGCTAAGATGAGAAGAGGAGGCTGCCGGCCTGTCTCTGTCAGGGTAGTGGGCCTGCCTGACAGCTGGTACGGCGGGGTGGGAGTTCTTTCGTCAAATCAAGAAGGTACCGTTGTTATGACACCGCCGGGCCGGTACAAGAGTCAGTCATCTCGCTTCGGGCAGGTACCCAGCCGGCGGGTGTTATGCGGTGTCTGGTTGAGTGCACAGTCAAAGTCGCACTCTGAGAGGGAAATGTATCGATTCGGGCGCGGCAGAGTGGCCGGGTACATGCCGAGCTCAGAGAGTACCTCGGACACCCGTCGAACTGCTCCGGGCCAACGTGTGGAGGCTTCAGGGGGCGCCGACAGAGGTACCTCCAGCTGGCCCCCCACTATAAGTTAACTACGTATATGCGTGCCTGAATAAGGCACCCACGGTGGCTGGTCCTGCATGGCTGGTCCGGCATGCAGGGACTCGGCAAGTACATTCGGGGTCAAAGACATTGGACTGGCGCCCCTCGATCGTTTCGCCTCAGTTTCCTTTTTCTTTGCAGTCCTCCCTCTCCCTCTCCCATCTCTTGGTACACTCCCTGCCTCTCCATCGCGCTCCCATCGCTCGTGCACGACGACATCAATTATCTTGATTCTTGGCTACTTCTCGGGCTGGCTCATCCGCCCCCTGACGCCATCGCGCCTCCTCCGAGCCCCGTAACGGCGCTGCGCGACCGGAGCGAATCCCGAAAGACCGATTCGCACATTGTTTAACCATTTCTCAACGGGCGCTCGCAACAGACCTTGCGTGGAAAGGGGGGAACCGGGGCAAAGAGACGAGAGGACCATGTCCTGAGACCCCAAGACGGCCTCTTTGAACGACAACAAAGACGCCACAGAGACTTTGATGCCACGATCCGACGACTCTTTGGCGGTTGGCCTGCTCAATACAAAACGATCCGCGTCGACCTGACATCTCCACAACTGCCGCGCCCCTGGAGGGCCCCCCATCCGCCGACCTGTTCGCCTCGTCCAACGCGCCGCCCATCATGAATCAGACGTGCAACTCGACGCTCGAGGAGATGAGGAGTACTGGCCCCTAGACCCGTCGACGACGATCCAAAGCTGACGCAGGACGACGTAGTAATGCCCGGCGACGAGGTCCTCATCGTCGGCCCCCTCGACTTCCACGACCTCGCCCGTGTCATTGCCGCCTCGTGCACCCTCATCGCCGTCGTCATGAGCCTCTACCTCGTCTCCATGCACGCCCGCAACTACACGCAGCCTCGCGAACAGCGCCAGTGAGCTCTTGCCTCTAGCCTGTGTCCGTGTCCCCGCTGACTCCTCCAGCATCATCCGCCTGCTCTTCATGGTGCCCGTCTACGCCGTCTCGTCCTTTTGCCAGATCCAGTGGTACTGGCACGCCATCTACTTCCAGGTCATCTCCGACTGCTACGAGGCATTTGCCATTGCCTCCTTCTTCGCCCTCTTCTGCCACTACGTTGCCCCCGACCTGCACTCCCAAAAGGCCTTTTTCCGCGAGATGCGCCCCATCAAGCCCTGGGTCATGCCCGTCAACTGGTTCGCCGCCTGCTGCGGCCGCAACCGCGGCCCCTGGAGAACCCCCAAGAGCGGCCTGACCTGGTTTAACATTATCTGGATCGGCATCTACCACTACTGCTTCATCCGCGTCGCAATGACCATCTCGGCCGTCGTCTTGCAGTATTTCGAACGCTACTGCGAGAGCTCAAACCGCCCTGTCTTTGGACACATCTGGGTACGTCTCTCCCGTCCCTTGACGACACCATGTCTCTAACCCGTCAACCCAGATCATCACCATCAACGCCCTCGCCGTCACCGTCGCCATGTTTTGCCTCATCCAGTTCTACGTCCAGCTGCGCGAGCCCCTGGCCGAGCACAGGGTCTTGCTCAAGATTGTCGCCATCAAGCTCGTCGTCTTCCTCTCCTTTTGGCAGGCCTCGGCCATTTCAATCGGCACCTCGACCCTCAACCTCGTTCAGCCCAACAAGGTACTCGCCTGGCCGGACCTCAAGGTCGGCATCCCGGCCCTACTCCTCTGTATTGAGATGGCCTGCTTCGCCGTCCTGCATCTCTGGGCCTTTCCCTACAGGCCCTACGTCCACGACGCCCCCGTCTCCTTCTACCCCAACCCCGACCCGGACAAGCCCACGCCGCCGAGGGTCAACGAGCGCTCGCCCCCAAGCGGCGGGCCCCTGGGCCTGCTCGCCATTTTCGACGCGCTCAACCTGTGGGACTTTGTCAAGGCCTTTGGCCGAGGCATGCGCTGGCTCATGTGCGGGGTCAAGCGACGCAAGGAGGACATTAGCTACAAGCTAGACCACAGCGAAGCGCTCGACATGGCGACGCTGCCCGACGGCAAGGATACCGCCTCCGCCTTCTCGGCCATGCGGCCCGCCCCCGGCTTCGGCTCCGCAGCCCCGCCCGCCCCGCAGCCCGGGTACGGAGCCTCGCCGCTCCACCCGAGCTTGCGACACGACGGCCTCAATCAGGCCAGCAGCGTCGAGGAGAGCGCCGGGCTGATGGAGTACGCCCAGCCACATGCCGAGACCAACTCGTACGGCCCCTATGCCACGCCGCAGCGGCCGACCAGACCGGGCCAGGGCCCTGGCGCGCAGACGGATGCGCAGGCGAGGGTGGGCGAGGCACTATGGGGGCCTCGATAGCCGGGAGGCGAGGGTGGTTGACGTCAAGGCATCATGATTGGCATGAGCGCCTGAGCGCGGCACGGCACGGCACGGCTCGCATTGGCGCAGGACCAGGTTTGACGTTGGCCCTCGAGGGCTTGCCTGGCCGGGCTCTTTTTTTTCTTGGCTCATGGTTTGAAATCATCAGGTGCGGGATGCCTTTTTGGTCGCTCCGACTTTGGTTGTTTATCAGGCGCGTGTGTGGTGGTGGTATGTGCGAGCCGTGGTGGGTGGGTCAGACATGATACCAATGAGGCGTGTGGGCGTCTGCGGCGTGGATGCTTTTGTTTCCGTTTTGGTCGGGCTGTTTGTATCTTCTGGGCACCGGTTTTGTCGACGGTGAGGGCGCGTCTGGCGTGGGTGGGACTGGATACCAGGGATTTTGGCCCGTCTTTATTTGCAGCAGCATCTTCCTTCCATCTATGCTCATCTACCAAGGCAGGGACGCGGTGAATAGACAGGCAAGGCGTTGAGGCTGTTTGTACGAAGCACGCTAGATGCACCCAGCGAACTCAGGTCCAGCCGACGGAGCAGCCCCATGGACATGCTCGCCCCACGTCGAACGAGCCGAGCAACGCGCCCTCGGACTCGGAACGCCTCGCGCCACTCTCTCCCCCCGGAGTAGCAAGCAAGAGGGGGCGCTACGGGGGAGACACGGGCATGGCCGGGGCAGAGCACCCCGTCCCGTGGGGCCACTTGCGGCGCCCGACCCGGCAAGCACCTCGACGACCTGGGTGTAATTGCTGTACGGATAATAAACTGTAGGCAACGCCTACCAGGTCCAGTGGCAGCAGTGCTGCGCCGCCGCCGTCCACCTGGACGCGGTGCGACGTTGCTTACGGCCGGGTGGGCAGACTGTGCGCACACATCCGTACACAACACACACACATCCTTGCTTGCGGATGCCTGGTGCGATCCTGCCTGCTCGCCCCAGAGCCACCAACCAGCTGGCCATCGCGCGGACAAGGCAGAAGAGTCCGCCGCCGCCCCAGCCACCCCTCGGCTCCCGGACTCGCGCCGAACGCTCCCTGGCCAGCACCGGTCCCCTCGCCCAAGAGAGCACCTCCGGCAGCCCACCGCCCGCCATCTTCTACGACACTCATCAAGCTTGGAAAAGTGCAGCAGCGGCGCATCATTCGGGTTGTATGTATATATGTGTGTGCCCAGTTCATTACGCCCTTGGACGTGGCCAATTCGGCAAACCTGGCGCCACCATCCAACACGCTTTTGTACGCTTGCAGTATCCTTTCGTAGCTGGTTTAATATGTACAAAAAAAAGTGAGGAAACCCGAGGCAGCCGTCATAAGCATCCCAACGCTCGCGACGCAGCCTCGGGTTTGCACACTCGCTATAGCGTCGGGACTGCCCTTCATCCCAAAGAGTGTCGAGGCATATCCACCACGCCCTGCAAGACGAGGCCGACTAGAAATGCGGTTGTGCCCGAGCCACACGGCTCGGGTTATGTTGCGCCTCGCCTTCGGCTGCCTAGTAGACGCCCAATTGGGGTGCAGATTGCCTAGCGGTTCCCCGCGGCTCTGCCATCATCTTCTCGGCCGTCAGGATCCGCGCTCGAACGTGGCCCCACGGTGCCATAATGCTGTCCCCCCAAGTGCAAACGCCATGCTGGTATATCGAAAATGCAGCGCAGACCTCGATGGTCTGGTCAAGGAAGCGAGTGTGTGCGAAGGAGTGCAAAGGTGTTTGCATGCAAGACAAGGTTCATGTACGTCGTTTGACATTGGGTCGTCTAGAAAGTTTCCAAGAAAAGAAGTCGTCCGTCGCGTACGATGCACCGAGGGTTGCCGAGGGGTTGCTCGTCCATCTTCAGTTTTCGTCGGTGGGGTCCGGGTTTGTCGCCCGGAGCACCTTGGGTTGCTGAATCCTCCTCGAGTAATCGTGGTCGTCTCGCAACGTGTTGATGCTCTCGTGGCTGCCGTTGCGGGCGTACATGCCCTGCTTAAAAGGGTTCATGCGCGGGTCAATCTGCAACATGCTGCTCCGGTTACCCGTCGACCCTGGCGATCCAGGAATCCCCGACATCTCGGAGCGGCCGCCCAGCATGCCCGACGAGCTGCCGCGAACACTGGGGTCGTCTTGGAAGTCACCTTCTCTGCGCCTCTTGCGCTGGAAAAACAGGAACAGGGCGATGGCTGCGAGGCCGAGGACGCCGACAATGACGCCGACGACGATGCCGACGATGCCTCCGGTGCCAAGCCCACCCTTGTCGGTGGCCATTTCGGTGGGGGTGTTGGATTCGTTGGAGACGGCCGAGTGCGTCTGGATAGGAACGATGGTGACGGTTTGGATGGTGCCGCCGGCCGTGACCGTCTGGATAACCGACGTTGCGGGCGGCGGAGATTCTGAGGTGGTGGAGGTTTCGCTCGTGGTGCTAGAGGTGCTGGTCTCCTCGGTCGACTCCTGGAGTCAACGTCAGCATCTTACCGCAGCATGGCGACCGACGGGCTGCGAGACGAAGCATCGGCAACTTGTACACACGAGGGTGGCCAAGAAAAGCAAGTCATACAGGAGAGGAACTGCTACTTGAGCTCGCAGGGGGAGAGGATGGTGGTGGTGGTGGTGGTGGTGCCGGTGGGGTCGCTGTGTCCTGCAGTCTTTGTGACCCACGCCGTCGACGTTGGGATCTCGGCCTGATGTCCAGACAGATAAGCCCTTGCCGTCTCACCACGTCTTGTTGAGATGAAGTCAGGGCAGGGGGGGAAGACGAATTGCTGAGAAAAGAAGGGCTCAACGATGTAAAGCACGCTCAAGCAAGAGGGACTGGGAATGGATGGAAACACTTGTCCCAAGTTTCAGATCACGCAGCCGTGAAGCATGCTCATGAGGAAAGGAGAGTGCAGCAAAACACACCTTTTCCGTTGGCGTCGGCGACGGCTCGGGGTCGGCGCCCTTGGTGCCCGAAGGAGAAACGTTATTGAGGAGGATGTAGCCGAAGACGCCGGGGCCGCCGCAGTTCTCGGAAGGATAGGCCGGACAAGGCTGGTTGCATTCGCCCTTGTCGACCTGCTTGCTTTTGGCCGGAGTGTAATCGGAGCACCAGCAAGCGTTGCCCTGGGTAATGGCATAGGCCTGATTCTTCTTGATGCACATGTCGTGACACAGGCCGTTTGTCTGGTATATGTCCAGTTCTGCTTGGGGTCAGCATAGACTCGGTGGGCAACGACGGCTAGGGGGCCTACTTTTGTCCATCGAGGCCGTATTGAAGCTCGCACAGATGCTTATGTCGAGGGCGGCGACTGTGGCTGCCCAAGCCAGAAGCACCAACAGCACGTCGCCCCCTCGGTGGGCATTTCTCAGGAGCGGGCCCATGATGGCCGAAGAGAGCGCGACGAGAAGAGCTGGGAGAAGAATGAGCACCTGCAAGCTCGGGCGGTGCGAGAGAGTGGGCGGCGTACGCTGGCAAACGGAGAGGCGCGAGGTGGTTGGCCGTCAGGTCACCACATAATACGCGTGTGAATGGGCCGGGAGATGGCGATCAAGAGCTGAAGGCCATAGCAAGACGGTGGCAGGAGGTGCCAGAGGGCTTGACAGGGCTCGACAGGGCTCGACGGGGCTCGACAGGGCTCGACGGAGGCGGCTCGAGAGTTCGTCGAGGCTATCGTTGTCGTCGAGAAGAGGCGCTGGCGGATACGAGGGTGGATGGTGGGGACGCAAGCCAAGAACCGGGGAAAGGGCAAAAACAAGAGGGGAAAATAGAAATAAAAAATACGATGGAGCGACAGAGGGCGGAACGCGTGCAGGCAGCAGTCGGCGGTGGTCGAAGGCTGGAATGCTGGGCAGAAGAAGCGCGGCGAGCAAAATGCAATGAGCAGCAAGTGCAATCCAATTAAATCCCAAGGCCCAGCCAATGGTGCAGAGGGGCAGAGGGACAGAGGGATGGTGCGAGTCGATTTCGGAATGGAGGAATGAGGCCAGAACGGAAGCGGCAAGCGGCGAGAAAGGAGTGGGAGAGAAAGGGAAAGAAAGGAGAGGAGAGAGAGAAAGGTTCGGGGTGGCAGCGAAAGAGGAGAAAGCGGCGGTGGCAGAGGAGAGAGAGCAAAAGAGAAAAAGAGTGAGGAGGAGAAAGAGGAGAGAGAGAGAGAGAGGGGCAGTGGGCCGCGGGTGTTTACCCGCCTGGAGCTGGCGGGTGGGGCGCCGTGGGCGCTGCTGTTTTGGTGACGGACGGTGACGGACGGTGACGGTGACACGGGGCACCGCAAGCCACAGGCGGCTGATGGGCGCAGTCGGCGCAGTCGGCCCACGCCCCGCGAGCGACCGGGGAGCCTTGAAACATGATCAACAGGAACGGCGCTCTCCTGGCCAGTATTTTGCATTTTTTTTTTTTTCCCGGCGCGCGTCGGTCCCGAGCCGTCACCGGCAATGTCTGTGTGTGGGCGCGTATGCACAATGCAAGTACTGTACGGATACTGTACGTACCGACGGATCTACTGATAAGCATCACCAGAGGAAAAAGGGGCGAAAAAGGAACGACCAAGGCCGACCACCCGCGACTGCTGATGTTCAAAAAAAAAATACACAGCGGAGAATTACCAGGGACGACAGCCCGGTGGGCGAAATGAAGAGGCAATGCGGTGCAATGCGCGGCAAGATGGCAAGGAAGGGAAAAGAAGGAAAAGACGTGAGCTGTTGTTCTTGTTGTTCTGGCGAGGCGGCATCGATTCGGGCTGAAAGGTGGAGTGCAGCTTGTGCTAGACGTACGCCCACTGTACGGCACGCACGCCTGCACAAACAGCTACCAGAGATAAGAGGTACTGTAGGTAGGTAGGTACCTTGGGTAGGTACCTTACACTACGTACCTGCCGGACACTGGACAGAGAATACCATAAAGGGTCGACTCGCTTTACCTACAGGCGCTCACAAAGTGAAAGACGACGGGAAAAGAAGAAAGGCATCGTCATGTCAGAAGGCTGGGAAACAACCCGCGAGGAGAATGGACTTGGTGTTGATGGCGTCATCATCGAATCAAAAAGCCAAAGGTCCCTTGTCTTTGCGCATGGATCCCTTGTGTCACACATAAAAGCTCGTGCACGAGAATAAACGCATCATAAACATGACGTCCGTCTGTTGACTTTGGTGGATAAAAAAAAGGGTCCGCCTTTCGGAGCAGACGGCGCCGGCCTCGATGTACCGATGCTCGCTGTGACTGTACAGTGCTGTACAGTGTCTACGGATACTGTAATAAGGTGCCGGCCGTGCCTTGGCAGACACGGCGCGGTGCTTAAACAGGCGGCCAACAAGCCACACAGGCGTTTCTTGACCGCGGGCTTTCGCCGCAAACTAAGAGGCTGTGCGTGCACAAATGCATCCATATGGATTGTGCACTCACTGCATGCACGCAAGTTATCAATGGAGCTTCTGGTCCGCGACAGTCTCGAGAATCACGTCCCCTCGTCAGCGTGTCTTTCGCCCCCCCTTTTTGTTTCGCCGTTACAGATAGATCTGGGACCAATTCCACCATGCTTCCGAGACTTTTCTGCACTCGTGGCTTGACGCTCTCGGCGCCTTGGCCTTGAACTGTCGATGGCTTCGGACCATTGATGAATCTGCTCGCGACTGTCTTGTGTGAAAAGATTGATTGGCCCGACGCGCCTCGCGCAAGACAACGAAGTGTACACGTTGTGCCATTTGTCGCGACGGAACCGACGCCCGTTGTTTTCTTCTTTGTTTTTCCGAGCTGTGAAATGAAGCAGATGCGTGCACGGGTTTTGTCTCGAACCCGCGCAGCGCCCGTGTACTGTACCGACAGTACTGCGGCGCATACGGTAATACATACATTCGCGTCCCCCATGTGTTCAACTCGTTCTGCAAATCGGAGCACTGCAACGGGTGCACGGTCAATGATGAGCGTCCACGGCTCCAAAAGAGGCGACTGCTTGGCTGTCCCGCGCAGCAGGAGATGCAGCTAGGTTCAATAGAGTATATACATATACGTACTGTAATAAGGACGGGAACCCGGTAATAGGCCGCCTCTTATACATGCAAACAAAACAGTACGAGTAGGTGGTACTGAACATTGTATTCTCTACCTACGGAGAACATACTGTACCTTGCATGTACAATAATAAGCATACAGACTCGAGGACTGCAAAAGAAACAAGCGACCGCGTCATCGCGAGGCGCAGATGCTGCCACTCGCGTTTACCCAGGGGTAGTATGTAATGAATTGCCTACTATGCCAATTTGTCTATCAAGTCTATGTATCGACAAACGGACAATTGTGATAAGCATGGCAAAAGGTCTAACCACACACACACACAGTCGCCTCCTGGATACTCGGATACTGTCTGTCTCTCTGTCTCTCTCTCTCTCTCTCTCTCTCTCTCTCTCGCCTTTTCACGTGTCCGTTTCACCTCCTTAAACGGCCCAACCATCCCCATGTCCACGCTGCCGATCTGTGCCCGCCTTTGATCCACACAGCCAAGCCGGCAAGGGGGGCAAGTTCTGAGGGTTTTGCTTATGCTTGCATGTACTCCGTGAATACAGCGTTGCATGTTTACATACTGTACAATACAGTGGAAAAGCCATTCATCATGGTCGGTGGTCTGTATAACATGACTTGTCCCTTCGACTTGCGCAGAAGCCTGCTCTTCATCACTTCCTACTGTAACTCACATGAGCCAGCCATCCCCGGAATGAAGCCAACTGTGCACGGGCAAATAATACTGTAGGGGCTGCAAAGCCGTGGCGGTGGCGAATCGAGGCCAAATCACAGTCGACACGGATGCAGCACAGCACAGCTCAGTGCATGCATGCACATCCATGGTCCCATGCACGTATAGACAAGGATATATGCAGTGCCGCTGCCTTCATCTACTACGTATACAGGACTGTACGGAGTATGTATAACTAAAGTGAAAAGGGGGTGGAGATGATCTATTCAGGTTTCATCCCCCAACGCCAACACACACTCGCCAGCCATTTGCATTTCGCAGTTCCCAACTTTCCACCAACTCCCGGTTCCCGTACGGAGTACTCAATTGCCAAAGCCGACATGGCGAAAAACAGCAGGCCACTGCGGAACCAACACGGGTGAGTGGTGCACCACGTCACCCACACCGTCATCCCTTCTCCTCCTTCTCTCCACCATGATGCCTTGATGGTTTCTAGACAACCCGAAGAAAAAGAATGCGCCTCTTCAATTTGGCCCCAAAGCCATCGGCTTTGCCCTCCCGACGCTGTCGCCGTCCGTCTTGCCCCTGGCGGCGGGCGGGTGCCGACCGTCTTATAAGGATCCTCGGCGCCCCGTCATCATCGAGGCCGATCACCCCGTTGGCTCTCCAACCAAAACGCCGCTCCGGCGTTTCGCCAACCGACTCACTCTCAAACTCTGTTCCCCGTGAACCCCAGCTTCCTCCCTGCAACTGCCTGTCGCGGATTGTCTAGCCCTGTCCCAGGCTCCCCGGCTCTCCCGCCGCACCAGAATGCGTCATGTAAACACTCTCGCCGTGCATCCAGACGTTGGAACCGCTATTCCTGCACCTCTTCCACTAGACCCTCAAAATTCATGTACACAATAATAGTGGCCCCAGTGTTGGTCTCCCGCTTTTCTACTGGCATCGTCGAGTAACTTCTTCTCGGATGGATGACATGCACGACTTGCCCCATCGACTAACCGCCGGAGATACAAATAGTCGGTACGAAGTAAAGTCGATTTCAAGTTTGAGTAGAGGAGTTCAGTCGAATTGCTGTACGGATCGCCTGCCTTATTCATCGTCCAGTCTGATGCTGCACCGGGTTCAAAACGTATATATAATGATAGCTCGGACCATAAAGAGGTCGACGAATCATCCCCAGTTTAAAGGACAAAAAAGGAGCCTGGCAATTTTAGCCACAGCCAAAGAAAATCAAGTGACAATAGCGACCCGTTAGCCTGTTAGCAGATAAGCATAGGCGTGTTTCTATTACTTCCACCTGGGAGTTTCAACACGTCAGCGAGGCTCCTGTGGCATCCTATTCTCATAACACTAATAAGTCTCATAACACTAATAAGACTAGGCGGAAGCAATTGCAGATATCTCAGACTACGCAGTCGTTGTACCGCAGCGAAGAGAGATTACATGGAAGACTGGATGGATTACAATGATGGTGAGCACTGAACGGGAGTGTGGAATTCACATGTCTATCCGTATTGCAGCCTCGATTCCCGCAAGAAAATCCAGTATACATGTACGCATCCCCTCATGCGTGCGGTCTGGAAAGCGCACTCGTGCTCGTGGAAACATGTGTGCCGTTTCGCGTGGCTGGATCCTCGTGTATTTTCCCCTTGGCCACGAGACGGAGTAAGTCGTCGACTGATAATTCAGCCGTCAAACATCCTGGTTTATAAACTCGCGAAACAGAGTCCAGTCGTTGAACCGCCCAGCAAGTTTCTCGACGCCGAGTCGCCCGGATCCGTCATAGCTAAGTCCAGATCAACTATAAAGGTAGCCCTGACTTTGTCTAACATGTACGCCGGCCTCTTGACCCTCAGTAAGAGATTCTCTACGCCTCATTACTCGACATATCGCCGTTGTGTAGCGTCTCGGTGAACTCCTTTGGCTCGCAGAGGACCGCATTAGCTAGGTAAACCATGCCTGTGTGCTAGATGATTAAGTACTTCGACGGCTGGAGCCTTACGCAGTAGATAATCAGCAGGCTCTTAAGCTAGTCGACTGACGCCTCGAAGGCAACTCAGGTGACGCAGCCGTCGACGTCTATCGGACATGGTGGTGCCTTGACTGTTATTGCGGAGCATGGTCCGACGTGGAGAAGGACATGGCCAAGGTTGAGACTTCAATGACTGCTGGCTCACATGACGGCCAAAAGCTTCGCCTCGGGCAACCGCGTTTCGGACCGGATCGCGATGATTACAGCCTCGTCCCTCGCTTGGCCCCTCTTGGGTCGACGGCAGAAGGCATCGCTGGCTACTACATGCTCGCAGGCTGTCTTCTGCCTCTATCCCAGCGAGCCCCATACCTATGTGTATACTATTCTCTCCCTTGAGATTGAGCATCAACTACTTTGAACCTTTACGTGTGAGCTTCAGGGCCCGCGACCGTCAATCAAGGGCTGCTTCTCTTCATGGTACCGGCTCAAAATCATGGTTTCCTCCCGCACCCATGTCCCCTTGGCCCTAACAAGCTTCCCTGGCCTCAATTTGTCGCTCTTTCATCTCATCATCATCGTCTTAGGCTCAAACGAGGCCCTGCAACAGCGAATGAAAACCTTTGAGCGGAAACATGAGACCGAGATTTGATTCTGCGGATGCAACGCCAAGTGGTCGAGCCCAAGGACGTCCCAGCCACTGCCGCAGAGCGAATCAGGTACTGGTGAGGAGGCGGACTCGCCCAAGACTTTGCGGGTGCCGTGAGCGATGTTGAAGAGCCGCGAATTGACATAGACGTCCCGGTCTGCATTATCCTCTAGTATTGAAGCTGACGATATGCCGGTTTCAACGATGCTTCAATTTGTTAGTCTCAGGAGAAGTTGGGTTGCAAGCCGTGCCCACGACCGGACTTGGGGTTAATACCTGGTCCCAAGTTTCCAACTCCCGACTCTAGCACGTCCCATTGAGACCTCTGAGATCATAAGTAGTATTTATAGAGTCCGGTTCGAGTGCAATCGCCGTAATGTGTTGGCACTGCGGTTCTAGATGGGCTCTCGGCCTGTCTTCGACTCGTCATGGCCAACCACAACTTTGCGGTTCGAATCAACGTCTTTCCCAGCCGCTGCTAGACCCGTTTTGGGCGGCTCGAGCTTGTATCGTCAGGATGTCAACCAACCATCGAACACGTTGTCTTGGGCCACCGTTGAAACAGGGAAACTCACAGTCGACACTTGGACAACTAAGGTCCCCGTCATAGGAATTCGACATTCGTTCGTCCCTGTCGTCCGCACAAGACGCGGCCTTCCGCTCCTTTCGTAGCTAGAGAGACGTCAATACCATGATTCACCCCTCCAGACGTGTGGGGACAATAACCGTGCTTCGAGTTTTGACGGCGTGCGGGTTGACAGAGGTCACGGCGTCGGTCATGCCCCTCGGCATGGGCGGCTGGTTCTGCGATGACCATGTTCGGAAGGCCGTTTGCGAAATGAGGCCATGCTTGTGGGCATGATGGAGAAGATGAAAATCCCAATGGACAAGGTCGGTAGTCATGCCTTGAAGAAAGTGGTTTGCGATGTGCAGCATCCGGTCCCGGTAAGCCAAGTGCTTGTCTGCAGGTCTCGCCGCTCGGAATTGCACGTCATCGCAAAACCAGCAGCTGAAGCAGGAAGGAAGATGCCCCTGTAAGTGTCCGTATTGACCGTGCTCGATCCACAGATCGATCTGGTTGAGAGCGAACCGCGCTCCGCAGCCCGTCGAGTTGCTGAACTCGCAGGGCAGCAACGAGGGTGAAGCATCAACCGGTTGGTGGAGCGCCGGCTCCGACGCTGATGACGGATCCGTCACTGGGACGCCAGAAGTGTTGAAGATGCCGTCAGAAGTGTCGAAGATGTCGCTCAAAGACGTACTGCTCGCCACAGACGCCGCGTCTTGCTCCGATTTATGGCGTTGGGTCGGATTCCGTGGCTCTGATAGTATGAGCGAAGGAGCGTAGTATGGCTTAGGGGTAAACGGTGCGGCAAACGACCCGCTTGCTTCATGCCCGGACAAAAGAAGCATGGAACCAGACTTGCGACTTCGTGCTACTTGCTGTAACAGCTCGGCGATGTCGGCCACATTGAGTTGCGTCGACGACCCACAAGAGATTGACCCTGCCTGCGCTTCTGGCAGGCTTGATCCACCCTGTTCCTTGAATATGGTTGACGTCAAGATTCCTGGTTCGCCATTCTCACCAGAACACGATGTCTCGGCCGGCTGGGGAGCGGGGGGACGCGGCCAACCAAGAGTAGCAGACTGTATGTCTTTCAAAGTAGGGAGGAAAACTCGGGACGCGTCGAGTTGCGTTCTGATGCTCTCCAGCGTCGCCTGGATCGGCATGACCTGGGCCTCCCCAAAGGCATCCATCGACACCACGTGGCCATACACCTCGCCGGTGCTCTCGCTCACTACCCAGGATCCCGAGTCTCCTGGACTCAGCCCTAGAAAGAACCAGGCGTCAGTAGCTCATCCTTGTGGCACTGTGACGGACACTAACTTGAAACAGACTCCATGATGAGATCGTAAGTGCTGACGAATTTGGAACCAGGGGCTATCATTAAGCAGGAACTACTCCAAGTCAACACTCCCGTCTGCGGACCGTGGCGACTCAAAACTACCACGGGCTTAGACGAAAATTCAGGCTGTCTGCTCGAGGTGAACAGAGTGATGGCTGCTTCGATTCCTTGTTGGCGTCTGGGACTATTGGCTGACAGAAGCAGGCCGCCGTCTAGCACGAGAGCGTTGGGCGGCACGTTTTGAGACGCCAGGTCAATGATGGCCCAATCATAGTTCTCCTGAGTACTGAGCTTGTCCTCAACGATGGTTCCGATGATGTTGGTGTCACGGATTAATTCGCCACTCTGTCCTTCGAAATCCGCTTCGAGCCAGGGATTCTGTTCAATATTGATCGAGTCGAAAGGTCGGAGTTCGCAGTCGTCGTCAGGAACATCCGAGTCTGAATCTGACTCCTGGTGAGCCTCAGGTATGCTTGACGGCGAGTCGTTGTTGAGCCTTCCAAGAGGATGCCCAGCTGTCAGTCCGTAAAGACGCTTCTCCGATGTGTCCAACGTTTCGACCATGATCAGCCCGCCAAACGTGGCAGCGACCGAAGCAGCATATCGAGTCATGTTGATTGGCATGCCACAGAATGTCTGTTCGTGCCACGAGTCTGTGAGAACATGGACATCCCCGGCTGCGAGGCGTAAAAGTTCCTTCCCAAGAACAAAGACACGAAAGTCGGGCTCCAAATCGTCGACGACGTGCTGCTGAGCGAAGAACTTTTTGACCGTTTTGGAAACCTCCTTGCGACATTGAAGGACAATGTGGAGCTGCGCCGTCTCCGTGCTGCTGCCCAGGTATTTCAGTTTCATGGAGATGTCTCCAGGTTTCGACCACTTCCTCGAAACCTCGTCAATCAGAGGCTGCGTATACAGGACTTTGAAGTCAAAGAATCGCTCGTTCAGCCGAGCGGGGATGGGTTTGTTGAAGTACTTCAGGTTGGCATCGAGTCGGTCGAGGCCAACGAGCTGGGCCTCGTGCGATGAGGTGAGGGAGACATAGCCGGAGTCGGTCCCACCACTCACGGGAGGTTTTTTGCCTGTTTCGGGTGCGTCATCCAAAGGGGTCATCGATAGATGGGCTCGTATATCTGCGAGCTTCTGGTGCTGGTCAGCCACGTCCAAGTCTTTGGCGCCGTCAGGATATGTCGACATGAAGGCAACCTGAGGAGCTCTCATACGAGAAGAGTGGTGCTGCCAGCGTCCTGTCGATGTAGTTTCAACGAAGGGTAACAACTCGTTTGAGACAATGATCACATCGAGGAAACAAAACGACCGAATGCCTGAGGGGCGAGAAAGAAGCAAATCTGACAGGACACTGTACTGCCCCGTGTCTCTGCAAATGTAACGTTACGCTGCAGATGAGTGCGGCAGTGCTGAAGCCTCTTGCTCACCGCCGCAGCTGCGCCGCAGCGTCGTGTCGAAGATCTCGATCATCGGCAGAGATTGTGTGGCTACTGTACCTGCCAGCGCCGGCAGACCTTCTGGGGACCCCGGAGCCAGCCGGAGGCAATGGCTATGCAGTGGAATGGTTTGGTGCCATGTCAGACTTGGAATTGAAGTTGTGATATGTACTGTACGTCTATACGGAGGACTATCTGCCTATACATATACGGATACATGCGGAACAGGGCAGAGCCGCAGCCTCAATGTCTTTAGGCCCCCGTGGTCTTCCGAGATCAATACCTAATGGGGTTCCTCGCGTCCCTGTCCCCCTCGCACCAGTCCTAAGCGACCTCTCTAGAACAGCACTTAGATCCTATTCCATGTCCACACCAGGCCTGGTCCAATACCCGCCATGACCGAGAAACTCACGGATGGAAAGCTGTTTCCCAGACTAGGCCAGGGTCTATGGTCGTGGCATCTCTGCACAGGCTGCGCCAAAGGGCAGACTTGTGTTACTCAAGAGTGTCCCTCCTTTCGAACACCCCGGCTCCGGCGGTATTTGCAGTACCTCGAGGCTATCCTAACAACCTATCGCGAAATAAGCCATGCAACGACGACATTGGTTGACACTCACCAACATCTCCTTGCCGTCATCTCGACTCTAAGGTCTTATCCGGACGCAACACAGGCAGAGCTCTGTCAGTCGGCATTTTCTGCAACCAACCCCAGGTCGACGCCCTCCGACCAAGTTCATGCATTAGCACTTGGCGTCAAAGTGCTGCTCATGATCGATCCTTCAGCGTTGCACCATTCCTCCGACAGGTTAGAAAGGGGAACCTTCCGTGTGCACTGGAAGAGCGATATGCCGTTTAGCAAATTCATCCAGGATCTCTTCCCCGTCGGACACCACCATGTTCTTAGCAACGCTAATAGCGAGCTTTTTGTGGATATGAAGTCGGAGCTGAAGGCTTCAAGGATCAGAAAACGACTCGGAGTTACCATCATAGCCACTTCAGATATTAGGGACCACCTACATCTAGACAGAAGACGGAATGTTCTCGAGGTCTACCACCACGCTGCGTTTCTCAAGGAGCAGTTGAGGGTGACAAAGGATTCACCTGACCGTTCGAGCCCATCGTCATCCATCAAAAGGTAAGCTTCGTCCGTGGCTTGCTTCTCCCTTCCCACAGCTGATAGTGGTGTATCAGAGGGGCGCTACCGCGACAGTTGGTTCTCGAAGTTCTAGACTCTCTTCAAGGCGTGCTATTCCCGCTGGCGGACCCGAAATCAAAGAGGCTCCTCCAATCGTTGGTTTCCACTGACTCATTCGACCCGGACATCCTCAACTTCGAGTTCAGCTCGATAAGGCGGATGGGCGAAGAGAACATCCCCTATGTCTACCTGGCCGACAGGCTTTCGGGTCTGTATAATGAGCTTCAGAGCCCCCGACCGCGTGGTAGGCTTGAACAGAAGGTCGAGAGGAAGAGCGGCGCCAGATATATGATGATGGCCACATTGATAGGAGTCTTGATGGCCGTGTTCCTGGGAATGGCGTCGCTTGCGGTGAGCTCGTATCAGACCTGGATTGCATATCAGGCGTGGAAGTATCCCGTTGTGCCACCCAGTCACTGACGCCGGTCGAACGAGGAGATGATCAGGGGTGAGAGACTCCAAAACTATTACTGCTGCAGCCAGGCTGGCGGAGCTGATCAGATCCAGGGCGGATGACACCCGGCCCATGTTCTATCGCAAGTCTGGCTTTGACAGACAGCGGCCAGAACTATCAGTATCAGGTCCATCTTCTGGCCAAAATGGGGTAACATCGCCTATTTAGAAAAGGCTTGAATATCGCTTGGAACTCTCACTTGGACATGATTTCTTGCTCGGTCAGACAGTCTCCACAAGGACGTAGAGGATGATAGTTAGACGACTATGATGTAACTTTCCAAGCCCTCTGTCTTCAAATGTGGGCCGTGACTAAATATCCGACCGGTCTGCCTAATCGTCCGACCAAAAAGTGGTTAAGTGTGGCTAGAAAGCCCCTATCAAAGGACTGGAAGTAAGGGTATTTACCCTTATTATGAGTCTAGGCATTGGCCTTCGTTAGACCCGGTTGTTGGCTCCCTTATTGGCCTAGCTGGCTATAGGTGACCTGGCTGACTCAACCGATAGACGTTCTTCGCGACAGAATTCGTCGTCAACTAATAAGAAATGGGCAGAGCGCCATCATTCAATCAAGGCCAAACAGCTGGAGGTAAGACGCGTCGACGCTGACGAGGCTTCAGTTAGACGCATCGTGAGGCGTGACGAGCCGGCGTTGAAGGCGCTGGGAATGAGAGAAGCCCATTAGAACTCGCCTCCCGATGCGGAACTGGCTAACATGTCTCTTATAGGGGAAATTGGGCAATTGGTGGTGGTGTTAGAGTTATAGGACTATGAACGTCTATAATGTACCTAAGTCGCCCACAGCGTGGAACCACCTATAATTGAGGTGAAGCCTCCCAAAGTGGCTAGGAAACCGCCATACCGCCCCTCGAGCCACCTAGATTGCTGTTCCGCTTGTGCCTACGGTTAATTAAAGCTGCCACCATCGACGAAACGGCCAAAGCATCTGTGTTGTCTCCTGGTTAGACATCCTAGAGGATCATTCCGGAACAATTGGGCCACTTTCCAATCCGTCCTAAGGGCCAAGCTAATCTTCACCACCGCCAATCTCGACGGGAGGCACAGGGATATTTTGAGATCCACCGGACTCGGACGAGGAATCAGGGAACTTGGGCTGGGGAGGGGAGTTGAGGGAGGGCGGGAAGTTGACGCCCTGGTTTGTGTCGGGGTCTTGATCTGGAATCGGAGGTCGGCCGGGAACCTGGAGGCTTCTGTCTGAACCCTGGGAACCTCCTGCTGTACCCTGGGAGTCTCCGCCTAGAGGGTTGGGCTTCTTTGAAGTCGGGGAGCTTTTTGGCGTCTTGGTGCTTCCGTCTGAACCCTGGGAACCTCCTGTTGGACCCTGGGAGCCTCCGCCTAGAGGGTTGGGCTTCTTTGAAGTCGGTGAGCTTTTTGGCGTCTTGGTGCTTCCGTCTGAACCCTGGGAACCTCCTGTTGGATCCTGGGAGCCTCCGCCTAGAGGGTTGGGCTTCTTTGAAGTCGGGGAGCTTTTTGGCGTCTTGGTGCTTCCGTCTGAACCCTGAGGTTTAGAGCCGGCCGGAGACTCTAGCTGCATAGACCTTTGGCTGGTGACGACGGGAAACACGGGCATAGTATCCTCCTCTCCAAGGCGATACTTGGCAACCGCATTCATGTGCTTCGACTGCTGGGGGCTGAAGCCCTTCACCGAGCAGGTCGAGTAGTCCATGACATTGTGCTGGTTGGCTCCCCGCACGCAACCGCCGACTTGTTCCCCGGTTCCGGCATCGACTTTTTCGCCCGTGCCATCCTGCTCGGTCTTTTCGTTGCCGTTAGTCGATTTGGCCTGTCTGTTGAAGAGGACTCCCATTGCCCTCCCGAACAGCCTTCTAGCTTGCCCTCCCCGTGGCCCTCCCGGCCCTCCCGGCCCTCCCGGGTTGGCGCCCCCATCCTCGTCTGGGCAGCCTATCGTCGGCCCTGCCTGCGGCTCAGTGTCGCTGAAGTGATCGTTGTTGGAGCAAGTAGGTGGTCCCCCCTGACCTCCGAGCTGCCTCCGATTGAGGTCCTTCTCGCCCAAGCCTTCGGTGAAGGGGTGCGGCAGGCCAAGTCCGTGAGCGATCTCATGGGTGGCGATGCGACTGTCACTTGTTCCAGTCGTGGCGCGACCTACGAGGCGTTTCACCCTGCCAACCAAGGAATTGTCTTCGATGACCGGAAGCGCCGTGACATCGACGGCGCAGCCATCGTTGTTCGGGTCGATGCCCTGATTCGGCATCGGCAGCATGCATACCCCCCTTGTGTTACCACTCTGTTTGCCCACAATGAGCATCTGGATTGTGTCCACGTCGCCTTGGCGGTACTGGTTGATGACGTCCATCCACGGTGACGAACCACGCGACGGGCCACCGGGGCCTAGTCCATTGCCGCCGGGGCCTAGTCCATTGCCACCGGGGCCTAGTCCATTGCCACCGGGGCCTAGTCCATTGCCATCGGGGCCTAGTCCATTGCCATCGGGGTCTACGATCTGGCGTCGACCGAGGCCTGGATCTCCAGAGCCGCCCGTGACGCCTGGACCACCGCCTGGACCGATTGGCCCCTGTGGGCCGCCCGTGGAAGTTTCCGGAGACTGAATGCTAATGTTATCACAGTTCCCGTCCATCGGTGTGGCTTTCTGTTTTTTTTCTAGTTTAATGCCGGAGCCTTTGAAGTGCTCGTTTGTCAACTCGGTCTGCTTGTCCAACTGTGCCTCCTATACACGCTTGACACATCAGCGTTGAGCTCCAATACCCTGATACTCACGCCATCGCCGTATACATGTACTTACGGATGCTTGGCATTTGCCGCCGGGGCAGCAGACAATGTAGTGGATGCCGAGGGTAACAACTGAAGAGTTCCCCGAAGTAGGCGGCGTCTGCCGCTTCCTAAGACCCGGGTTCGTATTGGAACTTCTATAGTTCATGGCCTCTTCCGGCGGCTGCGGAGTTCCGCATCCAAATATGATTGGCTTCTCTCCCATGGTGCCGGCCATGACGGTCGCGGCCATGGCACTGGTCAAGATAAACTTCTGGGCCACCATGATGAAGAATGGGTAAACGAAAGGAAGGGGATAAAAAGAGAGATAACTGGATCTGGTACAGAAGGTTGAGTTTGAAGAGAACAAAGCCTGTCCAGAAGAGACGTCAAGTCACCAAGAAAAGAAGGTCAGGATGGATGCCGCGTCTGATCCTCCCTTCTGTACGTAGGCTGTCATTACCCTTTATACATTCAAGACTCATACCATATCCGCCGTCATCTTGACTCGGTGGAACACCTGCCAAGTACATGGGATGACATTAGGAAGGAATCAAGGCTTGCTAAGAGACCTTCGAAACGACCATCACCTCAATTTAGGGGACCAAGTGGCGTCTGGCAAGGATGCCATCACCCAAGGAAATCAAGGCAGTTCCCGGGGTGAACACGACGTCAGATGGAACTACGGCAAAAGAAGTCGATCTAATGGGGTTAGAGCTTAATAATTACCAAGAGCCATAAGCCCTAGTCTAATCTAGGACGATAAGAGGTGTCCATGCCAGCTCAACGTCTGGTTGACTCACCACGTTGAACTAAGCCGGCATCCCACGACGTGTAAGGTGGGGACCGCCGACAGTGGGCCAGGATCCGTCCGTACAGTTCGAGTTCTGGTTGACTCTCGCCATGGTCGCGAGTCGACGTCCATGACTTGCAAGCCTGGGACGGCCGACAGTGGGTCAAGCTAAAGGCGGGATTTGAGTTGGGATAGCCAGTCTGCACGTTGACGGGTGAGTTGGGATGACAAGCATGAATATTGAGTTGTCGGTAGCCACGTCCGATCTTCCGATTACAGAAACCATACGCGGCGGGAGTTTCAGTTAAGCGGATCATCCGCAAGTGCATAGACGACCGGGACAGGGTCAGGTTTGAGCCTCGTCCGACTTTACTCAACGGAGGGATAGACTCATGGCTGTTTACTATACTTGGAATAGTGCCCAAGTAGCTTGGTTTCGGAATTACGGGGTTTTATAACGTAGGCAGCCGGCATAATATGAAGACACTATGCTGCGCCTCGGACTGTGGACACACATAACCTGACTCGGGTGGCACCGGTCAGGTTATTTAGGGGAAAATAGGCAACTGGTTGCCCTGCCCCGGCCAATCGTGCGACCGCGGGTGAGCCAGCCAGGCATCTCTGCAGCTGGGACGGGAACCCGGCAAAGGATTCGGGCGGCGTCTTTAACGAGCCTGGAGTAATCGACACCATCTCAAGGAAGTCGCCCGTGAGACTACCATAATATGGCACGTCTGCTGCCCCTATCAAGGGCTACTTCTATATATATTCCACGGAGAAGCGTCGCTCAAGGCGGCTCTCAAGTAAATTAGGCGGACATTGTTTGCCCTTGAGTTTGCGGCATGGCTTCATGCTTCGAGCTTGCAAGCCCGTTATCAACATGGAATGTCCTTGTGTATGGAGACGATATTTCAATGTTGTATTAATTCATTCATGCCCCCCTATTGTCCCCCAGGATGCCCCTTTACCCTTGCGATGATGACCGAGTTGACTATTTCTCCATAGGGATGCAATACTAAAGAAACGTCCAGCCGCTGCAAAAGCGCCTCACTAGCCACGTCAAACTCCGAGTACAAGCAAGTCCTGAGACCCCAACTGGACCGAATGACGATCAACGCCCCTGCTCTCATCGTGCCGACAACTTTGATTACAAGCGCTTCTTTCTCGGCTTGCGAGCTGCCCACCAGCGCAGCCAAGTAGACGACGTCGAAACTCCTTAGATCCACCGCCTCTGAGCCTGCTTCAGTGCAGAGGAACTCGGCGCCTGCGCCTCTTTGGCCTAATTTCTTGCTGAGACTCTGAGAGACTGCGATGGCAGCACCATCATGATCGATGTTGAGCACCGTGACTTGCGAGGCAGAATGTGCGTCGGTGCTGGTAGAACAAGGCGGTGATTCAAACCCTTTCAACCCGTTCTTCATAGTCTCCAAGATGCAAAGCGAAGTCATGGGTAGTGGTCCCGAGCCTATGAATGCGACCTTCTGAGGAAACGGGTCCAGGGAGCAAATGGCGCAGAGCTCTAATCGCGCCAACTGTTCGTAATTCCCGTAGTAGGGGAAACTCTTCAACAGATGATGGACCTCGTCGGCGTCGTTTCCTGAGCCAATCTTCTCTGCCCAGTGGGACTCGAGACAGCATTCCGCCCGGGCGCATATCGACCGGATAGAGGGAAGAACTTCTTGCAAGCTCGGATTCGAAAGAACCTGCGAGCCTCATGGGCGAGGTCGGTCAGGCACTCGACGAAATCAAAGTCTTCCTTGTTCGTACGTACCTCTCGAGTGACACTGAAGTCGTGGACTTTGGTACACACGCAGACGAGCTTGGTTAGGAGCTCGTTGACCGTCTTACAAGGGCGGAGATCGGTCTCTTTGCGTAACTGGGAATGAATCCGCAGTATGTTCTGTACAATCTCATCTGCGGTTCCTGCATCGCCTGTCTTGCGAGTGCTGTTGTCCCGCGAACCGTTTTGGCCGTTGCCTCGCCCGCCGAGGCCCAACCACGAGAGCCTCTTCATGGTCCTTGGTAACGCTGTGGGTTTAAAGCAAAGATAAGACAAGCCTCGTACGACATTTCTCAGGCGACATTGGTCGGAATATATACGCGGTAGCTGACGCTCGAATGAGTTACGCACGGACGGGCAACAGACATTCACTGTCACTGGAATATGGCAGCTCGCCAGGTGCCAGCGACTTACGACATCAGGGTTCATTTCTCTACAATGGCAAGTGAAGATCATGGTTATTGTCGTGACGCGGAAACGACCTTGATGGCCTACGTTTCGAGACGTTACTAAAGCCCTTGCACGACATGAGCATGATAACACGGCATGTTGGTAGCACGATGTGTTGGCTTGTTGGCGGTTCCCCTTGGTCTCAACAAAAACTCCGGCAGATAGCTTTGCTTTTTAATACCGCTTCTCCCTTCGTCGAGTGCTCATCCGTTCTCTTCTCCATGTAGCCGTTGAGCGGTGATGTCTGGTCTCCCTGTTTCCATCCATCATGTCTGCAGACAAAGCGTCCACGGGCATTCATGTCTTGCCCAATGTCATTCAGCGAGTCTTCTCAACAAAAGTGCGCATTGCGCCCCCATCGGACGACTGCAAAGGTAAGCTACATACCATTGTTATCGTTTCGTGTCGACTATTAATGACGACGATAGATGAGCGCGAGCTGGATCGACGCTGTTTCTGGGATATCACACGGTTATACGACCACTTTATCGTTATTCACGCATTGCTGTGTCCGTCATCTCCTCCTTCCAGTAGAGAACATGTCGAAGGTGCCTCTCTGCAGCAGGTCGATTCTTCCGGCCTCTTTGCCTGGGCCATGAACAAGGCGCAACAGTCTGCGTGGTCGGGCATATCAGTCTTCACCTTTCTTCTTCCCAATAGCGGGTACGCGACTCGAGCCGACTACTTGCAAGTTCGTCTGCAAGGTTGTCTGGGCGTGATATCCATGTTGGACGGTCTGCCCCCGCTTGGCAGGTTCGACTCCCTCTGCCAATCCTCAACTGACACAGTGATTGTCGATTCGGGCGAGGCTCTGCTTCAGCTCACTGAGCAAGCCGCCGCCGTTGTTCAATGGTCTGATCTCAGTGGCGTGGCTTTGGAACCTGAGCGACGTGCGTATCTGACAAGGATCACGCAAGAGCTTCGATGCCGCTTGAATGTTCCATGGCTATGTCATGAGCCAATTCTCCGAAAGCGAGTAGCAATCGTCAGGGGACGTCCCGATCTGGTTACTGGAGGCCCCGTTTACCACGCAGCCGAATCTCTTGGAGTCGACTTGGTTGTAGTTGATGACGAGGGTCACTGGCTGCAGTCCGACACGGATGAGAACAAGAAGCATCGCGAAGCATTCCTACCCACAGACATGACGGAGGACTCGGGTGTCGTTGATCGCATCATCAATTCTTTGCAAAGCTATCCACTGCCGATCCATGGGATATTCACTCTGTCGGATAACTTCTTCGTCGTTGTCGCACAAGTCGCGACGGCACTGGGCCTTCCAACCTGCCCAGTCTCTTCTTTCGAGGTTGCCGTGGACAAATACTTGTCTCGACTTGTTCAGAATTCTCCTGGTCATACCGCCAGGGTCAGTTCCGCCGACGAGATGCTTGCCCTCATGCGAGAGCCGAAGGCAGGCAGCCCCTTCTCGCCGACATTCCCAATGATCGTCAAACCAAGCAAAGGGTGGAGCTCCGAGTGCGTTTCCAAGGTCAACTCAGTCGATGATCTCGTTGTGGCTGTCCAGAAGGCAACTGGTCGACACGGAGGCTCGGCTGTTGTCGAACCCTTTTTCGACGGACCCGAGATTGACGTGAACTTTGTACTCCTGGACGGTCAGGTCCTTTTCTGCGAGATCGCTGATGAGCAACCAAGCGAGGCGGACGCGTGTGATGCGACGGTCAACGATACCTTCTCGGCAGAGGGTCTCACTCTTCCCTCGGCACTCCCGCATGGAGAACAGGAGCTGGCGAAGTCTACTCTGCATAAGATTTTGGTGGATCTCGGCTTCCGGACTGGCGTCTTTCACGTGGAAGGGCGCATGGTCAACTCGCGATACGAGTACCGCAAGCTCGACGCAGGTCTCACAGACCTTGTGCCCAAGCCAGCTCATCGGATGCCCAAGCAAGAGCCATCATGTCGTCTTCTGGAAATCAACGCACGCCCTCCCGCGTATCGAGTCACTCTGTCTACAAGGCACACATACGGCGTCGATTTCTTTGCCGCTCACATACTTGCCTCGATCGGGGAGCGTGAAAGGCTCGCGCTGGCGGCCGTGCCGTTCGACTTCGGACCCGCCGCGTCAAGCAGGGCACAGAACTCTCAATGCTGGTCACGACTGATCTACATTTCTGCTCCGACGGAGGGAATCGCCAAGTCTGAGGCGCCATGCGAGGAACTAAAGAAGCGCCGGCCGGACCTAGCCAAACACGTCGTGCTAAGCAATGACTATCATAAAAAGGGAGACAAGGTCGCCTTGTTTACGAGCGGGGCCCGCACTTGTGTTGGACACGTTCTTGTCGGCTCTGGTACAAGCAGGAGAGAGGCGATTGAGATTGGGGAGCAAATACGTCGAGATTTTGTATTCGAGGTGGAGGACTCGGCAAGGCCAAAGGATGGCTAAAGTCCGACTCATCCTTGGAAGATTTGCTCAAAGTTGGGGCCAAACCCTTTTCACGCCAAGTCAGGTCTAGTAATAAGATGATGAAAAAAGACGCAGCCTGCCTCGGATCCCGATCCAGCAAGGATGGGTCGCTTTGGAAGGAATCCCCAATGAGAACATTGTCAGCTTGTGATGTGTCTTGAATGCGGAGACAGCAGGCGTAACGGCTGATTCGATGACGACAAGAAACGACACGAGAAATGGAATAAAAAGGCTCGAGGGAATCAAGAGCCAGTTTGGGAGTATCCCAGATTACAAAGAGGGGAGGACTGAGCAAGCAAGAACGAACGCACTCCAAAGACGACAGGGCGACTGTCTCGCCATAATTGGAAACTGGGCATCTTCCCATAGCCTCAGTTGCCAGTACAAGGAGACGAAGGCGTCGTGATCTCTACTTTCAAAGGGGCCCGAAGACTCGGAATTTGAATTCAACAGCCTTAAGCTGCGCGACTTCTTCTCCGGCACGGACAACCGCGTCTTTTGCCAATTTTCCGATCCAACAGGGCAGCGAGTCAAACTCGACAGAGTTGTTCGACATGCCTAGCCGCGGGCAGGTTGCTGACGTCGCGGTTGATCTCAGCTTTGTGTCTGAGAGCGAAGAGGTGCTCCTGAGTCACCTCGGAGGCCTAAGTATATGGCAGATGCCTATAGCTACCATGACGCTCCCCTTTGCGACTGATAATTCCAAAGTTCACAGTAAGTCTGGACGACCCCTCGCTCAGCTCTCAAGTCTTGGCTTAAACTTGGATTCTTCTAGGCATTAAGGTGGAAATGCACCACGTCCAGTCTAACCTGCGCTTACAAAATGTCAGTTCGGCAACTGAAAGAATGGTTCGGCACCAAGGAGCTTTTGCCGACGAAGCCGGTCTGGAGCACAGACTTCCGGTAGTTGTTGGTATGATTTTGTGTCGTGAAGGCGGCATTAATGAGTTGACGACAGGCCGTCGAACTGACTTGATGCTGTGGGCATCACGAGTACATGTCCATACGCAAGGCCCAGGCCCAGGCAGCCAAGCGCATAATGCTACTCTGTGGGTGACTTCTTGGCGCTCGATAAGCTGTTTACATATACATGCAAGACTTGTATGTAGTATATTAGGCCAAGAAGAATTGGATAGTCACCGCCGAAACCTCAAAGTCAGTAGCTGAGTCGGAAAATGTCAAGACGGATATCGTTAGTCGTGGCCCTGGCCTTGACGGGGGAGAGTGGCAGCCGCAAGCAAATTGTCATTACGACAGTGGGAGCGTTGGTCAAGCTCCCGGTCCGACCAAGGGCTTCGAACATGGGGCGAACGAGGACTGGAGTTTCAGTCCCGATACAAATATAGACCCCACCTCAGCCCCCGAGCACGAGATAAACCGGAGTGTCGGGCAAGGGCCGAGACTAGGACTGTGATGGAAGGTGGGGACTAGACGTATTTCAAATAACAGCACGGAGTATAGAGAGCACGTTACGTTACGGAACCGGGACTTGGCCTGGGCGCCTCTTGATGACATGTCAAGGCAACTCACCAAGTCCGTTACTAATACCACTGGAGTTGCCAGCTCTTCTAGACAGATTCGTATCTTAATAGGCGGATGCGCTAAACGTTGCTGCGCCTAGCGCGAACATTGAAGCTGGCGTAAAACGATAGTATAATTACGGTGACTGTGAGGAAACCACTGGGTTGTGCAGGCAAAAGTGAAGTGACACTCCAACAGATGACCTGGCAGTGGACCTTATATGCCATGGAGGTGCTGATGGCAGTTGACACCGGCCTGACCGTTTTGTTTCCGTGGCCCGTCTTGTTCCATTCGAAAGCCGGAAACCCGTAAATGCCTAGTGCGAGTTCTGAGCATGCGTGTCAACAGTCACCCGACGGTCGTGCGAGAGACTATACCTTCAATTTGAAAGTAGGAGGCAAGCAGAGGCAGGCGGCCAAGAAGACGAGGGGATATATTAATTAACTATACAACTACTGCAATGTACCTATTTGTACAGGCCCGAATCGCTAGGACCTTTATAGTGATGTTGATGTTCCGCTAATAATGCGGCGTTCTTATTGGTTTATATCCATAAGTTACCTTCCCGCAGCCAAAGGGATCTAATCAATGTGCCCCCGTACAATAACTGGTGAATATGTTATGTAAGCATGGCGGACATGGGGTACCTTCGGTTAGGTACCTAGGTAGGTACCTATCCTCGGCTTCACATCACCTCCACCTCAACCTCAGCCTCCATCACCGACTCTCGGCGCGACTACGAGGACCCGACAAGCCAATACACATAGCCGTCGGCGACATACATGCCCCAAATTGCTGTCGACGACACCTCCAGTCCAGCATGCGAGGCCCTCCCGTCCTGGCGGAAGCCTCAGACAAGGCGTCCACGATGTCATCACCATCATCACCATCATCACCATCATCACCATCATCACCATCATCACCATCATCACCATCATCACCATTAGCCTCATCCTCTCGACGCGCATCGTGGCCCCCGCGCCGCCAACCCCTCGCCCTCGTCGCCCTCGCAGCAACAGCCATTCTTCTCCCCCCGGCCCTGCTCCTCGTCCTCCTCCCCCGCTCCCACAACATCGTCCCCCCCGCCATCCGCATCCCCGTCTCCATCCTCAGCTCGGCGCCCACTATTCCACCACCAGCGCGCTTGGACAACGACGACGACACAGCGGCAAACTGCCTCCGCGGCCGCTGCAGCGCCTTTAGCTTCGACGCAGCCTCGCCCCCCCTCCGCCCGGCATGGATGTCCCGCCTGCCCGACTCGGCTCCGCTCACCGCCCTCAGCATCCCCGGCACCCACGACACCATGACATACGGCCTGGCCGACAACGTCGAGCTGCAGTGCCAGAACTGGAACCTCAGTGTTCAGCTCGACGCGGGACTGCGCTACTTCGACATCCGCGCCCGCCTGCGCGACGACGAGCTGCGCATCTACCACGCCGACGGCGACACGGGCTTCGACCTCGCCCACGTGCTGCGCGCCATGTTTGCCTTTCTCGACGCCAACCCGACAGAGGCCATCGTCATGCGCCTCAAGGAGGAGGGCCGCCCCGTCGGCACCAACAACTCGCTCTCCTTTGAGCAGGCCTTTAACCGCTACCGCACCCACGACCCGCGCACCGCCCCCGGCGCCGCCCGACACCTGCGCCTCTACGACGGCGTCGCCAGGCACGAGCCCATCCCCACGCTCGGCGCCCTGCGCTCTAGGATCTTCCTGCTGCAGGAATTTGCCAGCCCCGACGCCGGGCCCTACGGCCTCAGCTGGGACGGGCCCCAGATGGCCCTCGAGGACGCGTGGGTCGTGCCCGATATCTACCACCTGGCCGACAAGTGGGTCGCCATCCGCGGCGCCCTTGAGCGCGCCGTCACCGAGCCCCTGAACAACACCCGCTTATACCTCGCCCACGTCTCCGCCTCGGTCGGCGTCCTCCCCGTCGACGCCGCCGCCGGGCCCTGCAACCGCTCCGTCACCGGCATGAACGATATGACGGCCCAGTGGCTGCTCGACTTTGACGGCCGCCCTGGCGTCACGCCCCGCACCGGCGTCGTCATCTTTGACTTTCCCGGCCGCCGCGCCATTGACGCCGTCATCGCCTGGAATAAAGTGCCCTCCCCTCCCTTGAGTCGTCTCCGGCGAGCACAGAGAGCCGTGTAGATGTGTACATACAACATGCGTACATACATACTCTCAAGCCCTTGCTTGAGAGTTGCGAGCCCGGTCCGCACGATTGGAATCTCTTTTGCCCGCCGATACCACCTTTGAAGCTATTCGCGAGTTATCAATGCCGCTTTTACGCCCCAGTCTTGGTGTTGAGGCGAGGAACCCAGTCACGCTAGGGGCAACACCAAAGACACACACTGTGCATCCCTTGAATAAGGAAACAACTTAATAACACACCCATAATAACTTTAACCAAGGAAGCCAAAGGAGGAGATAGGTACATGGTGAGGATCAGAGAGAGCGCGGATTATACCGTATAACTACAAGAAATTAATTCATGGGTCAAGACTCGTAAGATATAGTAATTTTTTAACCCTGAAGGCACTAAGGTGCTGATATAGCTCCAGTGGCCCGACTGGGAAGAATTCATCCGGACCCTTGGTAAAGACCTACTCAAGGGGACAAGAACACCATTTAAGTGTTTTAGGGGGCCACTTTAGCCCATACTACTCTTTAAAGAATTAGATCAAGAAGCTTAAGATACATGTCTGGCCATTAGAAACAGAGGAGAAGAATCTTATCTACGAGTGATACGCAACTATCATTAACAAGAGAGGCATCGGTGACTGGGGGGTTTGGGCAAAACAACTTAACCAAGTTACCATGGACTTATTGGACCTCAAGGTCGGCACAATCAACAATGTGAGAATTCATCAGGATGTTCTTACAGCAGTCGATGCACCGGACCTAGGCTGGACTATAATAATGAGGGCAAACGACATGCAAGATGATCAACACGACAAGGAACAGCTTCTCCCAAGGAACCTGCCAGCTGCCCTCAAACAAGAATACAAACACAGGAAGAAAATGAATGGCAGGGACATTGCCAACCATGCCTCAGGAGGACCAGCAGCAAAGCCAGCCGCTTCCCCTCCACCAGGCATTTACACTGGGTGTAGATCGTATAGGAATAGGGCTTCTACTTGGTGGGAAGCATGCTACACGGCGCGTGTCTTATACAACAAGAAACCCCCGCAAGACTGGAACCCAAGAGAACCGGTCAATGCTAGTATTGAAAGTGATTTAAAGACCACCTTAACGAGGAGGCCAAATTCCCTTGCCTGGACCCCTGATAACTACCCTAAAGGAGAGGGGCCAGCAGACATCGTGATCAACAACAGGAGCCCGGGGGCTGGGACTGGGACTGCAAACACGTCTCACTGGCTAGGGTCAACGTCGCCGACAGGGATTATTAGTAGACAGACTGATCTACGATTCAGGGGGGGGTGTTAGCCTCTTTGACAACCTCGGATGGTTCAAAGATGGATCATTCAAATGGGGGTCTGACGATGAAGTCCAAGCCAGGGACTAGCTTCTCAAAGTCCGAGGAACAGGCCCAGTCTGCATCCCAACAGTTGACGGGGGAAAGAAAACCCTCGCCAACACCTCCTTCATCCCTGAGATGCCCAGCAGCATCTTCGCGGCCAAGTCGGGGATATACTGGAACCAGCTTAAGGGGGGTCCCTAAATTTAGAATACACAATAATGACGCCCCTAATGTGGTGCCCCTATTTGCCGGTTATGCTTTCCCCAGGGCTGGAAAAGCGTTGGTTGCGCAACTTGATTGTAGACTTCAACGTGAAATTACAATTCGGAAGAAATCGTCGTTAAAGCTGCCTCCGCTCCCCCAACCATGTAAGAGCTGCAGCATGCACCGTAAAGGGGCCACAAACCGGTGGGAAAGCTGCTTCGCTGCACGTGTTATCTCTAACACGAGCCCCCCTCCCTAGGGAAGGTAGGGGATGAAGCAAGGAGCAACGTTGAGAAACGGCTGAAGGACTATCCCAAAGAGAAGAACAAGATCCTTGCACGGAAGCCAGACGGCCCGGTTCGAGGGCAAGCTCTATTTTGAGCCTACAAACAGGGACTTCGCCATGCCCTCAACCAAGGAAGCCAAAGGGGATGATTACATCGTCAAGCTCGAGGGCTTGGATCGGCCCCCCATGGACCAGCGGGGTCGAACCATGGACTGAAATCTATGAGATACGGGAATTCATGGGTCCTGAAAAGGGACGAGTGGCTTATACAGCCCCAGCTCCCTGACGGACGAATTCATCCTCCCCCTAGACAGGAGATGGCACCGATGCAGCCTTCCAAGCAAAGAGGGCTGCATGCAACGGAGAAGCCAAGATGCCAAAGACCGCTTCCGCAACCTTGAGAGGAGGTTTCAGGAGCAATTCGACCGCTACAAGGTCCGGCAGAAGGCAATGGTGTCAATTGAAGAGCTGATCAGGAAGACGACAAGGGAGGGGCTTCAGGGAGAAACCCTGGTCTAACAGTCTCCTCGTGAGAAGCGCAAGCAACGAGTCCTCCCTTCAGTCGAGGAAGAAAATACCCTCATTGACGGAAGACATGCAATCACTGCAAGAGGCATCCCGAGACTGGAAGGCGGGAGCAGAGCAGTTTGACCAAGTGATGGTGGATTCAAGAGACTTCAGGGTCTCCACGATCAATGCTATAAAAGCCCCTATTTCCTCTGCTTGAGATATACATACATACATACATACATACATACATACATCGAACCAGGCAGGCAGGCAAATATGCCTCGCCCATGCCGCCAAAGACAGGCCAAGCCATGCACGCCCGATCCTATCCAGATCAGATTTGCCAGAAAGCCGCCGCGCTTTTCCCCCCGTCTTCTCCATACCCTCTCGCGGACCTCTAGCCAACCAGCCGCCCCATTCCCGAACCTTTGCCCAAAAAAACTCCATTGTTTCTCTTCATGTAGCCAGCCCAAATTGTGCCTCGTCTCCATTTGTACACTCGTAGACCAAGCAGCTCTTCTCGCTGCCCAGTCCTCCCCTATGTTCGTTCCTCTTCTCCCCACTTTGGCAGGGGGCCTTGTTGTAAGTAAGCTTGGCTAGGGCTCCTGCTGCTCCTCGTCTCCCCCGCCGCGCACCGGACTGCTTCCCCGGCTGAGGCTCTCAATCGAGTCCACCATCTGCAGCACGCGCGTCCGTGGCCGCGCAAGCGTCACCGCCTCGGCCGTGTAGACGGACCCCGACAGCGGCCTGACCGACCCGTCCGTTGAGTGCGACAGGCGCGGCTCGTCGGTCTGATGGCTGCGATGGCGGCGGTGGTGGTGCGAGGGCGGCGGCAGTAGCAGCGGCTCAACGTCCACGTCCTCGTGTCTCCGCTGATCACGGCCCCGGGGTTGGTCCGGCGACGGGTCAAGCGATGACCCAGACTCCTGACTCGACGGGTCCGGGTCCACGAGCTCAGCCACCTGCGGCTGGTGCTGCTGCAAGGCAGAACCCGGCACGCTGCCTCCCTCGTCGGTCTGCTGCTGCTGCCCATCGGCGGCATCGTCGGCATTGACCACGCGCAGGCGCTCCCTAGGCACCGTGAACATGACCTGCACCAGACGCTGCTCCGCCGCGCGCTCAATGTCCCAGTCATTCTCCGGCTGGTGCTGCTGCGCCGCGGCGCCACTGCCGCCGCCCTGGGCTTCCCAGTCCTGCCGACCCTGCTTGCGCCGCAGCAGCTCGCCGCTCAGCCCGACGAGGCGCGATTCATAGTCGGACCCCGTGCGCTCAAACGACGGCCGCCGCGGCGATGGCTCATCGTCGTGCACCAATCCCGCCGCTCTCGTCGACGCGGGCGAGGAGCTGCTCGACGTCGAAAAGACGCGCCGCAGCGACCCGAGCCAGCCACGCCTCGGCGACGGCGGGGGCTTCGACTTGGACGGGGAACCTGGCTCGTCGTCGTCGTAGCCCGTCGGGCTGCTCGGCGTTGTTCGTCCGCCCGCGCCGTTGCCCAGGAGCAGAGAGGGCGCCTCGGCCTGCAGGGCGCCGAAGCCGGACCGTGCCGTATTGTAGCTGCTCGACGAGGAGCTCCCCGGCTTCCGCTGGTCCGTGCTGTTGCCGCCACCTCCCGCGAAGAGGGCCGGAGTGGCAAGGAAACCGGCGGCTGCGGCAGATCTCCTGCCAGACATCGTTCTCCGTATACTGTCGGCGGCGACGCTGCGGTTCGACTCTGACAGGTTAGACCCGGTGCGCGACTCGTCGTCCCAGACCCCGACGGAGCGGTTCGAGTTGCGCCGCGTGGGCGAGATGCGGCCCTGGCGATGGTGGCCTCCGTAGCGCGCCAGCAACCCGTCGTTGGCGTCCACGTCCGACACCCAGTCTTGCACGTCCGGGTCGTGGCGGGGCGCTTCCTCTGGGCTCCCCGCTCGGCCCGCCGCCGGCGACATCAAGCTCGGCGGAAAGATGATGGGCGGGGCCGTGGCCGTCGGTGTCACAAACGGGTCCGAGAGGATGTCCGACGCGGGCGACGCCAGGGGTTCGTTTGCCGGCCGCTGTTGGTGTTGACTGGGGAGGTGGTGTGGATCCTCATGGTGGTAGTGGTGTAGGCTGCTCTCCTCTTCGTCGTCTTCGAGAATCGGATGAATGACACCGGGCGGCGAGACAAAGGCGCTGAAGCGACTCTCAGCGGGCACGTAACCCGCGCGCTGGCCCCTGGGCACCGGCTTCCTCGTGATGACGGCCGGGGCCGGGTGCGGTCCCTGGCCGTCGCCCCTCAGACTTTCGTAGGCCAGAGCCGACTGTCCCGAATGCTGCTGGTGCGGATCCGGCCCGCTGGCCCGCCAGTCGCGCCGGCCCCAGGAAAAGTAGTCGTCGCGCTCGGCCATGTCGCCGCCGTCGTGGAGGAAGTGTGTGGCGTCCTCGGCCATGGCCCGAATCGCCGCGTCGCGCACCGCCTTCTGCCGCCTCTGCCGCCTCCGCCACATACAGAGCAGCACGACGAAGCCGAGCACGACGGCCACGCCCAGGCCGAGCCCGATGCCAAGACCCAGGCGTCTGGCGGTGGGAGCGCTCCCTGCCGCGTCGGGGGCTTCGTGCGCAAGGGAGTCCGCCCTGGGGTTGCGGTACGACGAGACCCAGGCCATGGACGTCAGGTTGAAGAAGCGAGGGGAGGCGGCGGCGTCCTGGCGCTTGGCCTTGGAGCTGGGCGGCCGCGTCTCCCACCCGCCGTAGACCATCATGACGTTGCCGGGCAGCATCGCGGCGCCGTGGCCGTAGATTCCAGTACCGTCGGGCTGCTGGGCGGGAACGGTCCAGCGCCACGAGCTGTACGTCTGGTTCATCTCCAGCACGGCCAGCTGGGGCTCGGCGGCGGTGCTGACATCGCCGACCCAGCCGCCCAGGACGGCCATGGACTTGCCGTCTTCGCTCAGCACGGTCGTGTGTCCAGACCGGCTGTCCACGTCGGACGGCACCTGGCGGATGGCGAGCTCGCGTCCAGGGGCAGGGGCGGGAGGCTGAATGTTGACGTAGGACCACGATTCTTCGGGGAGGCTCCAGACAGCGGCGGTGCTCATGTTGATGTAGGCATTTTGGGTGTGGCCGCCGAGGAAGACGAAGCTGGCCTGCTGGGTGAGGGAGCCCGAGATGTTTGTCATGGAGGGCGGCAGCTGGGTGAGGGTGAAGCCGGCAAAGGGGGCGCGGGGCCCGGCGACGGAGGCGACGCCGAGGGCGTAACCCGCGTCGGGCTGCTGGGAGTCGGGGGCGAGGCTGGTCATAGTCTTGGAATAGTTTGCGGCCGACTGCCAGTTGTTGGGCTCCGCCTGGGGCGAGGCGCACATGCCACCATAGGTGTAGATGGTGGGCTGGTCCATGGACGGGGCCAGCCTTGAGGAAAAGGCAAGGGTGCCCCCGAGGAAGAAGGGACTCTGGGGCGGCTCAGAGCCGGGCGTGGACTTGGCCTTGGTCATCGGTCTCTTGATCCATCCAGCACCACGGTTGCCAGGGTCGAAGCTCCAGACGTCGGCGGCATCTCCGTCGCAGGCGCCGGCGTGAACCATGATGGTGCCGTTTCCGGTCCTGACGGCGCCAAAAGCCGTCGTGGGGCCGGCATGGTTGAGAAAGGGCAGCTCAGCGGTGACGGTTTGGGGACGGGTCGAGGGGGAGAGGTCGACGGAGAGGTTGAAGGCGAGAAGCTGCACATGGTCCTCGGTCTGGGCGAAGACGTAGGCGACGTCTCGGCCGCGGCAGGCGGAGTCGTTGAAGCAGGCCGTCGGAGTCAGCAGCTGGGTCGGGACGTAGGGGAAGCTGTGGGCGGCGGCTGGCGAAGCGGCAACGAGGGCGAGGGCGAGGGCCAGGAGGCAGGCGGCGAGGGGGCGCCGGGGCGGGCGGTGTTGTTCGGGGGGGGCCATGTCATGGGTGAGGAGGATGAGGCTGCGGCTCAAACCATGGCTGCGTCGTCGTCGTCGTCGTCGTCGTCCGTCGTCGTCGTCGCGTCTGGGTGGCTGTAGTCGCCTCTCAGAGACTCGCTTCTGACCGGCCTTGGCTCGTTGCCTGGCAGGCGCTGGGCACCAAAGGCGTTGGCGACGGCGGTGCGCACGGCGGGAGCGTGTGCTTGGAGGGGGTGGAAGTGAGGCGAGGCGAGAGAAGAAGAGGCTATAGAGAGTGAGGGGGTCCTGGGAGATAAGGGAAGGTGCGCGCGTATGCATGTATGTACAATAATGCAGGCAAGAGTGACTCTCAAGATGCCGTGTGATTCGAGCTTCCAGCTGACGAACAGGGGGCGCCTCTATCCTCCTATTCTATCTTTGGCCCTACCAGGCCACCTTGACGCTTGACTTGCAGTTGGCGATGACGGGCAAAGTTACCAGGCACCGGGGTTAGAGGCGAGAAGGGGGACCAAGGCCTAGACAAGCGGAGGAGAGAAGAAAAGGCAGAGGAAGAAGAGAGTGGACGGAGGGTGTCGTCCGCGTCTGTGCCCAGCCTCGCCTCTTCCCATCTTTCTTCCCGCCCTCCATCTTCCCTCTCGGAAAGAGTCATGGGGCCCCTAGACCAGAACCAATCCGGCGGGATGCATCTCTTCCGGCTCTGCTGCTGCCGTTGCGCGTGTTTTTTTACGCCGCGCGTTACCAGGGCAACTCTCTGCCTCGAGGTGAGGGGTGCCCACGGTGCGGGGCTTCGTCTTCCGCCCCCAAGTACTTTGTACTTAAAACGCATGCTTCTGTTTACATTGCGACCCTTGAGGCTGCTGGCGCAAGTCTTCTCTCCGAGCACCTGGAAACCGGTTTTCGGTCCTCAGTGCCGGGAACGAGTACAAAGTATAGAGCATTGATAAGTTAACTTACAGCTGGAAAGGTGGGGTCACAAGTCGGGGGCGGGGATGCCATCTCAACCAACAAGCAAGCGGCTGGGCTGGTTGGCGTTTTCCATCACATCCCCAGACGCCACAAGCTTATTGTAGTTGGTTGCTTCACGTCGTCGAGGCGGCAACTACGGAGAACTGCCTCCTCAGATCCATGTTGCGAGTACGAATACAGAGTGGGCATGCCAACACGGGCATCAGGAGAAACATCATGGCCCGAGGTCCGAGAACAGGTCATCTCCTCGAGACAAAGTCCCAGTAGACCCCGAAGCTTTCACACCTTCACTATTTCTACGCTACGTCGCATGTGGACACATCCTCTCCATCTCCTCGGCGACAGCACAAACCTCTCGCTTTGTTGTTCTCTCGCCTTTTTCCACTCTTCAACAGACTATGGTACCACCTGTGAGGGGTGCAAGGACTTCATGAGACACGAGCCGTCTAAAGACATGACACTCAGACCTCGCCCAGCCAGTCAAACAAAGTAAAAAAGGAACAACCAGAAGAGACGCGTATACGTATATGTCCAGTGCAATTCGTCGCCATCCACCTGCGTGAACCATGGCCCGTCATGCAACCGCCTCAAGCCTATACAAAACCAGGCTTGCTCCGCGCAACCGGTCGGTGGGATCCATGCATGCAAGCTGCACGATATTGCAACATCGACGCTGACTGTCCAATCACTCTGCACATCTTGCTTAGATGGCTGACCGAATGGTTGGACCAACCCAGCCCCCGCATATACAGTACGCAAGCCACCGTCCCGGCAATGGTCCGTACAAGTTGCGCAAGGAGCTGAGCAGCAGCAGTCCGTCGCAGGCCTTGCAAAAAGCCCTCGACGCAGGAGGGTGTAGTGTGCGAGTAAGCACCGGTCCAGCCAAACTGGCCAGTAAACACGCCGGATTGTACCGTCCCGTCCGTGAGACGATGAGCCCCGACGCGATGGATCACAAACCCCGGGCAAGATGAGAGCGTCGGCCATGTAAACGTGTACGTGCACATATACGCCATGTTTCCTCCACTGTGTCCATCCGAAGATGGAGTTACGCCGGATACGATTGTTGAATGGGTCCCCGGTGGGGGAAAAAAACCCATTTCACGGGGCCATGGGAAGTGAGAGGAAGAGTTACGTACGACGACTCAATAATGCCTTGTAGATCAAGGCCAAGGCGCAGGACCACAAACGTCGAGACGAGACATGACACGAGGCGTTTGAGCAGCTGAACTCGGGACATGACAGTACTGTGGTTCACCCTGCAAAAGTATCAGACTTCGGATCCGAGACTCTGAGCCACATATATTATAATGCGAGAGGACTTGGCGATCACAATTATAAAGTAGCTGACGGAGGCGGTGATGGGGGGAAGAGGAGAGCACGATTGATGAAAGAGAATCGAGATTGGTTTAATAGCTTGATACTTTGAACAAGTTGTGGCCACGAGGCACAATATTAGAGTAATAAGAAACTAACCACAAATATAGTCTGCTGCCGGGGTATTGTCACCGTTCAACCAAAACGTCCAGCCATCCGGGCCGCGCCCCGTCACACCCGTCATTCATGTTCAAATCCAACAATTGAGGCACTTTCTCTGGCGTGCTCTAGTAGTAAACCTTTTCCACCCAGATGGGCGGCCGTGCGCCCTCCGTGTCCCATGTAATATTGTTCTTCTCGTCCAGAGTGGCGCCCTCGTCGGTAATGGGAATCACCTTGCTCGTCAAAGCAACCTCCTGCTTGGACACGCCAGCCGGGTCCTCGGGTATCCACAGCGTCGGCGTCTTGCTCGTCACTGACGGCGGCAGGAAGGCCGTGGCCTCGACCTCATCCGAGTACTGTTGCTCAAAGTCCATGTCATCCTCGCGCGGGACAAGACTGCGCAGCGTGGCGTAGTCGGCGTACTTCCAGGGCATAAAGAACCTGGCGATGAAGTTTCCCTTTTTGACGACGCCGCTCTCGCCCGAGTTGGACGTGGCCAAGCCCGCCGAGTTGCCGTGGGCTCCGTTGGTATCCTTGCCGGCATCCGTCGACTCGACATCGCCGGCCCGGATGGCTTGCTCCTGGGCCTGCACGCTGCGCGGAAGTCCGTACAGGAGGGGATCCAGGTTCTTGGACATGGTGATGTTGAAAAGGATGGTGAAGACGAGGAAGGCGGCCATCAGGATGGCCGGGCCGATGGCCTTGGACACGGCAAATAGACCAACCATGCAAATCTCGGCCAGGTAAACGCCGACAAACAGCTGCTTCAACGCCCGCGGGTAGATCAGGCCCTGCGTGTCGACGGCCGTCTCCGAGACGAAGAAGATGTTGTAACGGAAGGCCAGATAAAAGAGAGCCATGGCCAGCGTCGACCAGAAGAGCATCAGAGGGGCAATGACAGAGTAGATGAGGCCTAGGGGGCGCCCGCGGTCAGAAACGATGGGCACACAAGGTCGGGGCACTGCCAAGCACTTACTGATGCAAATAATGTTGGTGAAGACGGGAAGGAGGCTGCCCCACAAGATGGCGCTCAGAGTCGTCCACTTGGCGTACATGGCGCGCGGGGTGCCGGCGAGGAACTTGTAGAGCAGTTTAAAGATGAAGAAGCCGACGACCTGCGTGAGGACACCCGTGGCGATGGTGATGCCCTGCAGGATGAAGTACGAGATGTAAAAGTTGGACGACGTGGGGAGCTGGCTGCCGAGGATCGTGAAGACGCTGCTCGGGTCCTTGGCGATCTGGACAATGACGGTCGAGGCCGAGTCGAAGACGGTCCGGATCAAGAAGACCTGCACGACCTGGAAGACAAAGTAGGCGTTTTGGGTGAAGAGCTCGGCCTGGGACAGCGTCGGAGCACCGGCGAGCTTGGCACAGCCGCGCATGATGATGGGGACATAGGACATGAGAATAGCCAGGGCGACGGACGGGAGCAGGCCCGAGACGACACCGAGGATTGTCTACGAGAGCGAGTCAGAAACGGTCATCATAGGAATAATGAGGCTCAAGGGAAAGCAATAGGGGGTTTGGATAAGGGCAGGGCGCTTGCTTACCGGGGGAATCTTGTCGATCCACGTCAGACCAGGCAGGCTCTTGAGCGTGTTGACCTGGGCAATGAGACCGACAATGGCGACGGGGATGGCCCAGAAGATGATGAGGGCTGCGACGAAGGCGTAGATGACATATCGGCGGATGACGAGCTGCCACCAGGGAATGGACAGGTTCTTCCAGACGACCTCCTGGGGTTTGATGCCCACCGTCTTGGGGCACATGTGGAGGGCCTTATGGTGAGTGAGGACCTGGAAGGCAGCCTGGGCGTCGGACTGGGTGTGGAACTCGACAAAGACGGCGTTGACCTTGTCATAGTTGCCGGCAGACCACTCGGCCTGGGCCTGCTCGGTGGCAGGCACGAGGCGCTGCAGCTCGGATCGAGACCACTCGATGGTGTCGACCTTTTTGCCGACGAGGCCGAGGGGACCGAGGCGGTGCGAGGGCCGCTTCTTGTCTGGGACGTAGCGGGCGGCAATGTTGCCCGTCTCGGCGTCATCGTGGTCGTTGCCGGCGTTGGGGGCGGCGCCGCCCTTCTTGGCGGCCTTTGCGCGGGCCTTATTGACCATTTTGATGAGCTTGACCTCTGCGCCCTCGAGCTTCATGGCCACCTTGTCGCGCTCCTCAACCATTTCGTCGAGCTTGTCGGCTTTGCCGGCGATCCAGACGTGGCGGACTGAGTTATTGAACATTTGGCGTATGCGGGCCTCGTCGAGGTAGTTGTTGGGGACTGTGGTAAAGAGGACGGTGCGGGCCGAGATGCGCCTGGTATAGTGGGGGGTGAGCATGTAGGCCTGGCGCAGGTTGATGAAGAAGATGCATTCGCGCATAATCATATACATGACGAAGCCGTAGACGGCCCAGCCAACGAAGACGTGGGCGTAGTAGCGATTGGGCGACCTTTCGACCGAGACGTTGCTGTAGGATAGGATCTCGAGCTGGCTGAGGCCGCCCATGCCGGTGGCGTTTACGGGGAAGAGGATAGGCCAAGTAATGCATAGACTGACGAGGCCAATGGTGAAGGCGACGCGCAGGTAGCGCAGGAACAAGTAGGCGTCGAGCCCCTGGTGGGTGAGGGCATGGGCGTCTGGGAGCTTGGAGAAGGTGCCGATCCAGTTGAAGAAGCCGCTGGGCAGGTCGGGGCTCCGTTCACTATGGCCGTCAGCGCAAGGATCCATGGCACAGTTCGAGGCACGTACTTGTGCCGTAGCGAGCCCAGATATGTCCTGGGCGCGTAGTATCTGCGTTGAGATCGCCTCAAAAAGAGAAAGATGGCAATGTAGACGAGCGAGAGAGCCAGCACAGGGATGAGGGTGCTGATCATGCCTGGGAGATCAAGTCAGCAACAACAGACGCATATAAAGAAAGACTCGCACCACTGACCGGAGACGGACTGAGGCTGGTTCTCGTCAGGCGACTGGCCGCCGCTGGTGGCAGCGCCAGCGTTGGAATTGATCCAACTGATAAAGGAGCCCATGGTGATGACGGCTGTGGCAGCTCGAGCTGCGACGCTCTACGAGGCAGGTGGTTGTGTCGTCGATGCTCCGAGGCTGGAGTGCGCGATGGTGGTGAAGTCGGCGAGGAGGGGAGCGAGGGGAGCGGAGGGGAGCGAGGGGGAGAAGAGGTGTGTGCAAGAGCGCCCAAACGAGTACCTGACCTTGGCGCGCATGCATTCATGTACAGTACATGCAACGAGGTACCTTTTTCTTGACCTCTTGGGCGAAATTAATAGTCGTTGGACGCGACCGACGCAGGATATGGGGAAAAGAGTATATTAAAGAAGCAAGGAAAGGGGAAAGGGTGGATCGGGGTTGGGCAAGGATGAGGCGGGTAGCTGGGGCTTGTATATGTAACATCGGTATGATGGAGCTCTGGGGCTTCAGCCGGCATGGAGACAACTCTACTGCAATGGCGGCAGCCGGGGGCGGACAACTGAGCTTGACAAGGGGGGAGAGAGAGAGAGAGCGATAGACGGAGAGAGACCGAGAGAGGGTTTGACGGGAGTCAACAAAGTGTCTCAGCCCCGGGCCCCGATCAGGCCAGGCGCGTGGGCCATGGTGCGCAGCCGAACGCAGCAGTCGCGGCAACCTTATTGCCGACTTTACTCCATCAAGCAGCCGCTCTATCGAGGCAGTTGACGTGGCTGGTGATGGACAGCTGCCGGGGTGTGGCTTGGTTGTCCGTGTGTTTTTTATTTGTTGTTTTGAAGAGCAGTTGCACATCAAATCACCCAGAGAGCCAGCTGAGTGAGGGCCGGCAAATGTGGCGGGCGGCACGACGTCAAATCTCCATCCCTCAGTTTGCCGACTACCGGCATTCCTCGACAAGCAAGGCCACTTCCTTGCATCTTGCTCTCAGAGTTAAACACGAAAAAAAAGAAGAAAAAACCATGCCTCCTGTCCCATTTCCCACGCGCAATCTCTCGCCGTCTTGGCTTCCGAGTGAGTAGGTACAGTGCGGCTGGTGCTGGTGTTTCCACTGCCAAGGTACTTGGCCCACGGCCAAGGCGACACCCAAGTGCAAGTACCTGTTCTAGCCGGGATAGTAAGGTACATTGCACCCTGCCATCGCATCCGCTTCCAGCGGGCCACACAAGCGCAATGCCGCAGCTCGCTGGCCAATCAGCGCCTGCTTGAATCAAGCCCGCCCTCCCTCCATGCACGAGCCCCCCCGGTTCAGCTGTACAAGGAGCATAACATGTGCCAAGCTTTATTAGTGCCGTGGCTGTCTGATGAGGCATCCCGTTAACTAACTACCCATGATCCATCCCTTCGGCTCGTGGCCTAGAATCGAGAGACCTCACACAATCACACAATAGAGGCACAGTATCCGTACAGTACCAATCTCTGCTGCAGATGTCTCGGCTCTCTCAACAAGCCTCACCGAGCACAACCACCATCATGGTGATGTCAGAGCCGCATTGTTTTCTTCCCCTATGGGACATGGCACCTCGCCCGCCTCCGTTGCCGACGAGACAAATTTGCCGAAGCAACCAACTCGTTGCCCCAACCAACCAATCGTAGGTATCCGGAAGCACTCACAACTGCTGCTTCCACTCGGCACGACATCCGAACGAATTGAAGATTGCAAGTCTGTACAGTACGTACGAATACGTGACATGTCGCCACAAGTCGTGTCCACTGCATGCAGCCATCGTCACCTCGGCCAGCCAACATGCATGGATCGACATGCAGACTGCACACAGACGCATGGCTGATGCCTCTGAGTATAGTACAGGCATTCACGTCTCATGGCATGGTCTCCCCAAGTGACGGAGCGAGCGACAGAGTTGCCACCTCTCAACGTTGGCGCAAACTCAATCATCCCCATACGCGTGCGGCGGCGTTTCCCTTCTCTGACGTAGCAAGCACCAGCCGGCGCCGGCCTCGTCCGTGGCCATGACGATGACGCTCGAGTCGATGATGACGACCAACATGGGCGCTCGGATGCTCCGTTATGCAACACTGCGCCCCAAGGCCATCTATGTACTACCGTATACACATTACCGGTGCCTCTACCGATATTGACTGTCGCACTGGTGGACAACGGTAGTTAGCGCACCACACATGCGACAAAAGAAACTCATGTTTGCCAGCCAGTCCAGGACCAGCTGAGCATAATCGGGCATCCATTCAAGTGGCCCATTCCAGGCCCTCGACGACGGCGGCACAGAGAACACCTGCCCACCCTACCTAGCCGAGTCGGTTTGCTTGGAGCGAGACGGGCTCCCTCCCGTGCTCCGCTAGTTCTGTAGGTCGTCCTCTCACGGCCCGCCCGTCGCCAGCCTCCTCCACCACACGCGGCCGACTACAATGACGCGCTCACTCAGCTGCCAATTTACCGAGGTGGGGCGCGGAAGCCGAAAAAGAAAAAGAAGAACAGGATGAGGGAGAGATCGGAAGGGATGGCTACCCGTGTTCAGTTCATAATTCATATACCTAAGCTCCATCAACATATCATGAGCTCGAGCGTACGGCACCATCCTCTTCCAATCGTAGCGTACAATGCATCAAGAAAAGAAAACTGTAAATGAAAGGTGGGAGAGTCAAGCGGCTACTGTACGGTATTGCTCGCGAGGCCACCAGGGAGAGGCAGACAACGGGAGCGAACGAGGCCCTTATCCCTGTCTGCCAGCACCCGATGCCATCTGAAACCCTCCACACGCTGCCCGATGAGCTGAAAATCTAGGGGAAGCATGCTCAGATCGGCAAGTCCATCCATGTCCACGGCACGTGACGCTATCCGTGATTCGGATAGCCTTTTGCTTGCCGTTTGCATCCTCCGAAGCCCAGCCGCTCCTCCGGCCCAGCCGCCACATCGCTTCCCGGCGCGAGTGGAGAACCCTGGCCGGACATGGTGGGTTCCTCCGGCGAAGGTCACGACCGTCTTCCGAGTCGACCCGATTGCCCGACTTCGGGGAGATGGCACCATGTCAAGTCGTCATTCGTCACGGCTTTGCACACAAGCATCTTCGATTCCATGTTGCAGAGCGTCCGTGCCGACACGGACAATACAAACATCTTCGAGTCCATGGTGGAGAGCGTCCGTGACGACACCAACAATACAAGACGATCCATCGCCACAGGAACCTGTTGGCTGGGCCGCATATGCGCCTCGTACCAAAGGTTCATGGATCTGGCTCCCACCGCTCGTCAGGATCTTCGGCTGGCGGAACCGAGCTCGCTGCCTGCCCTAGCACGACCCGGGTCCATGGGAGGGCATCGCTTGTTGGTCCAGCGCCTTCTTTGCCAAAGACGAGGCCGGCTCCCGCACTGCGGCCAACCGATCCTGCCGTCACTGCTCATGTCCACCGACTGTCCACAGCTTCAGCCCGCTGCCTTGTTTATCACCATAGTACCAGAGTCTATAAGCCAAAAATCCAAGTCGTAGCATGTGCCAGCCAACTTGAAGAATACATGAGCGCAAAAAAGGATGGGTGGGACCTCATCGATTGGGTAGAATGAGATGCCCACGGGCAAAAAACAATGACAAGACTGGGACTTGAACCCAGGAGGATTGCTCCACCAGGAAATTGATGCCAAGGATGACTGTCCTTAACCTGGCGCCATAACCAACTCGGCCATCTTGCCATGTGACGGAGGTGTAACACTTAGTCAGCTGCTGTTTACCATGACGGAAATTCTCTCTATACATGCCTTGATTGAGTTCTTTCTTTGAGCCAAAGGTGGGCGGAAGAAGCCCACATTGCCCTGTTGCGGGTGAGAGAGGCTGGTGAACAAGGTACGGCAAAGCAACACACCCAGTCTCAACGACTAATTGAACACTAAGGAGCAATCAGAAACATGTGTCTCAAAATCATAACTTGATTTTGTCAATTGTCTGTAATCCTCAGACTTGTGGTGTAAACGAGTCCATCCGGAACGGTTGGCTGCCAGCACGAATTGCAATCCATGTAAAGTTGCTCGCCCACCACTACAGCTACCACACAGGATACATTTCTCCAAAAACAAAGTAGACTGCATCATGATTATCACTCTACCACCCGCAAATATGACCGCCGCAAGTCGGCATAATTGAGCACTTGTGCGTGAGCATTCTGTCGTGGCTGGAGGTGCAGGGTAGGTAGACTCACAGGGGTCGCGGCACCAAACGTCATGTGACTCGTCCATCCATCGTCACGCCTCTTTCCATGGCATGCAAAGACCGGACCGGCTTCGTCTCCCCTCCATGGGCGTTCTCGCGATCGTCAAGGGGTTCCGACAAGCGTCATGAAGCTCTCGGGCAGCCAACTCGTGCGCGCCCTGCCTCGGCCAGGCCGCCCTCCCTGGCCTCAAGCCCGGAGGAGTCTCCATCTGGTGCCGCCCTTTCTCCTCGACGACTACATGCCGCGATATCAGACCCTCAGCTCCCGGGGCGCGGCAGAGAAGCGCTCCACGGCCTATGCCCACCTCCGCAACTGCAACCTGTGCCCGCGCCGGTGTGGCGTGAACCGCTACGAGACGACGGGCCACTGTCTCATCGGCGACGAGGTCAAGGTCAACGTCATCGCTCCCCACTTCGGCGAAGGTCAGTCTGTCGTCCAGGACCAGCCCTGACCGTCTCCTAGCGACCAACAGCGGTCCTCGGCTGACCAAGTTCCTCTCCGGTCCGCTTGTTCCCTCATCTCCAGAGCCGTGCATCCAGGGCCACAACGGTAGCGGCGCCGTCTTCATGAGCGGGTGCAACCTGCGCTGCGTCTTCTGCCAGAACTTTGACATTGCCCACCAAAGAAAGGGTTTCGACCTAACGCCCGAGCAGCTCGGTGAGTGGTACATCAAGCTGCAAGACGTCGGCCACGTCCACAATATCAACATTGTAACGCCCGAGCACGTGGTCCCGCAGGTGGCGCTTAGCATCCTACACGCTCGCGACCTGGGATTGCGGCTACCCATTGTCTACAATACCTCGAGTTTTGACTCGCTCGAGTCACTGCGTCTCATGGACGGCCTGGTCGACATATATCTGGCCGACTTCAAGGTGTGGGAGCCAAGCACCTCCAAGAGGCTGCTCAAGGCCGACGACTACGCCGCAACCGCCCGCGAGAGCGTTTGTGCCATGCAGGCCCAGGTTGGCGACCTGTGCTTCACTGCAGACGGCATCGCCAAACGTGGAGTCTTGGTCAGGCATCTCGTCATGCCGGGCAGAGAGGCCGAAGGGGCCGAAATAATGAGGTTTCTGGCCACTGAGGTGTCGACCGACTGCTTTGTGAACATTATGGAGCAGTACCACCCGGATGGTCACGTCGGCAAGAAGAAACGGGCTCACCAGCCGGGCTCAGGACAAGACGACAAGTTCAGATACGCCGACATCAATCGCGCCGCCACCGGAGGGGAAACGTCGTCGATCCGCAAGGCTGCCACTGACGCCGGACTCTGGAGATTCAACGAGGCGCCACGCCATGGCGGCTTTGCCCTTTGAGCAGGCCTTTGTTCTCTATTCATCCCCACACTAGCAACCAGCTGAACGGAGCTTGACGAGTAGTCTATTCTGGCGTCGCAGCCGCACGTGGCGCTCTCGACCAACTCGCCTCCGGCCAACACGCCCGGTGCCTCGGTGTCTCTGTAAGCGCGGCATTCTTCTTAGCGGAGAAGGATTGTTGGATCACATAATGGAAAAGCGCGGGTGCAGTGGTGTCAGCTGCTGTCCCTAAAGGAGAGTGACCCCTTGTTCTCTCGTTTCTTTCAATGGAAAATTTAACTAGGGTAGCCGACGTTGGCTAAGTCAAACCGACCGTACAGGAGAGAACAGTCTTTTGGACGAGATGATAGTTCTTGTCCCCCGCTGGGTAGCGTGGATGAGCAAGCTCACATCCTTGGGTTCTTGGCGCGCACAGCAACAGAAAACAGACATCAGAGTTACGCTTTCTTTGACCTTTTCCATGGACATTCCGAACCACGCCCATCCGATTCGGTCGAGTGCGAGGCCGTCCCACCGTCCATTCGTGGCATTCAGCACGACAACACCCCTCCCGTCATCGCCACGTCGGAACGGCCTGGGGAGGGGAGGGCACTGTATTGATGCGGGCCCACCGAGTTCTGCAAGTGGGCCAACGTCGAGTGATCAGTTTCGTCGAAACCCGAGGCGGCCACATGCGACTTCAATGTCTGATGCCATCTTTCGGCCGCGCCCGTATGAGGAAATCTACGCCGAGCAGGCATACCTGGCCACCTCGCTCCAAGTGCAGTCCAGCAAGGCAAACGAGCTGCTCCGGCAGTACTCTTTGCTGGAGGAGGAGCTCGAGAACATGACGGCGAGCAAGCAGCGGCGCAGGTTACGCAAGCGACTCAACCTGGTGCGGTCGCAGCTCACCGGGGCGGCAGAGCAGGAAAAGGCCATCTTTATCAGACTGAGCGAGGTATACATGGAGGTGCACAGCCGAGACGCGTGGGCTCAGGCGAGTCGGCCGAGGGTAGTGTATCGGGGAGTCCTTGGCCAAGCTCAGAACCATGCCGCGATTCGGGGATCCTCGTCGTGCAGCAACACGAGGCCCTCGACATACCTGAGCGGAGCGTCGCCCGAGTTTGTGCCGAGGAATCGTAGGGCCGTGCAGCGGCCTGCAGGCGCGCAGGCGGTGTCAGAGGCGGGTCAAGCGAGGCCACCAACGAGCTCACCAAGCGTGACATCGGCGAGAGCCTCGGAGTCCGGCGACGCTGGCCTCGATGTGAGTGACGGGGACAGCGGCAAGTGCCCGCGCGACCGTGGATTGGGCTTCCAGTACAAGGCGGCCGCAGGGCGAGCCAAGAGCGGGGACGGCCGGGGCAATCGGCTGAGTCTACCCAACTTGGAATCGATATGGCCCAATTGACGCAGACGATTGGACGATGCTTGGGCCTTGTCAACCGTCTTGCATTGTGTACGGGACTGAGAGATGGTCTATCCTGGCCCAATACGTAGCAAATCGATTGTCAAACCAACCATGCGACCGCCGCCGTTGATGTTGCCATGCCGAACCGAGGTCTATACAAAAAGGAAAAGAAAAGGGGTATTTCATGCAAACTCCCCAAATTGCCCATCGTCGAAACCCATGTCCCGCAGCGAGCGCCGCTTGCGCTTGACGTCTTGGGCGCTCGGGGGTGGCGGTAGCGCAAAGGCGCCCCCCGAGTCGCTCGGCTTGGCCGACGGGGGAGGAGGGAGGGCAAAGGATTGCATGTCGGCGGCGGGCGTCTCGTCGACCTGCTGGGGCTGCGGGCGGCGGCGTCCGAGCATGGACTTGCCGATGTTGACGGTGATTGTCTCACCATCCTTCAGGCTGTAGTCCTTTACGTTTTCCTTGGCCGCTGCGGCCGGGTCCCTTGTGGAATGCTGCTTGGCCTCCCAGCCGAGGCTCCTCCTGGCCTCTTGCAGGGCGACGGCGAGGTCGAAGGCGTCGGAGCGCTCCTCGAAGCCGATGCCCAGGACAGCCTTGCGCCCGTCCTGGTCGCGGACGGTGACGGCGAAGAAGCGGCTGCTGTCGAGGACGGGCTCGACGGCGGCGCGGTCGGTGTAGGGGGCGGCGGCAAAGAGCTGGGCGGAGGAGGGGTCTTCGAGGACGACGTCGACTTTGAGGCCCGAGGCGGCGGCGGCGTCGTCAGAGGAGGAAGAGGAGGTGGAGGAGAGGGCAGTCTCGACGACGCGCAGGCGGGCGGTAAAGATGTGACGCGAGGGATCGGCGGTCCACGAGGCGGCGCTGTGGCCGCGCATCGAGGGCAGAGGCGGGATGTTGTAGACGTGGACGGCGCTGGCGAGGAAGAGGACGCGCTGGATGGCGTCGGCGGGGAGCGGGCGGCCCGTGGCTGGGTCGAGGAGCTCCATGATGATGTGGCGATTATGTTTGGTTATGTTTGCGCGACGAATTCGAAAGGCGGCTATGGTTGTCGATGGGAAAAGGGGGAAGTAGAGAGCAGGAATGGACGATGGGTTGAAGATGGGAGAGCTAAGAGTAGCGGCCTCGAGTGGTGGAGACTTGGCGGAGACTTAGCGGGCGTTACAGGGGGGAAGTACCCGCACAGCGTCTCCTTGGGGAAGAGTGACTTGGGCCCAGGCCCGGGATGGCTGCAAGATGCCGTGTCCAACTGAGGCAGAACCAAGGACTGAAGTTTGGCCGTCTTCCTCTCAAAACTTGCATGGCGTGGCTAGAATAGAAGAAAGAAAAGGAAGAGGAGGAACCGGCTGGATGCTTCAGCGCATTGTTCGTCGCCGTAAGCAAAATTTCGGCAGCAGACAGACAAGATGCAGGCCAGCAGCACTAACAGCCCCGATTCTACGGGGGACTCTCCGGCGCCGAGAGATGCCCCGCCATCTGCACCGACAACGGCCCTCTCAACCGTGGCTCGCCAAGGAGGGGCCCGCTGACTCATCGCAAGCCCTCAACACCTGCAAAGTGACGGCGGCCTTCCGATTCTTCTGCAGCCTCAACATCACATCCCATCGCGCGCAGCCCAGCCCGTCGAGGCTCGCATCTTTGATCATGGCTCCGAAAGACGCCGCAGCCGGTGCGTCTTCATCTGTCCCTCCTCGATACATCCGTATCGGCTCCCAAGAAGCCCCGCTGACGCTGCAGCTGCTGCCTCAGGGTCGTCGAGTGAGCTTCCGGTTCGCAAGCCGCTGCCGTCGCCCTCGACCGACTTTGAGTGCGTACCGCCTCTCTCCTCCTCTCCATAGAATCAACAAAGCTCAACATGATCTCAACGCATAGCATCGTCGCGACCTACCGCCGCCTCCTCGCGTCCGACCCCCACCAGACCAAACCCGTCGCCGCCATCGAGTCCCTCATCGCCCTCCTCAACACGGTCCCCTCGACCACCGTGTACGAGACGCTCGATACCGTCAAGCTGCACTCGGACCGGCTCAAGGCCTCGGTCGCCAACCCCGTGCCCCTCACCGCCGGCACCGATCTCTTCCTGCAGTACCTCGTCGCCTCGCTTAAGCAGCAGGACGGGAGCTTCGACGCCGTGCGCCAGCACCTCGTGCGCAACGGCCGCCTCTTTGCCGAGCGCGCCATAGCCGCCCGCAACGGCGTCGCAGAGGCCGGGTGGCGCTTCGTCGGAGAGGACAAGTGCGTCCTGACCCACGGCGCCTCCAGGTCCGTCACGGGCCTGCTGGAGCGCGCCGCAAAGAGCCTCAGCGGCAAGTTCAGGGTCGTCTACGTGCGCGACGAGACGCGCGTTCAGGAGAGCGACCGCGTTGTCAAGCAGCTGCGCCACCTAGGCATCCCCGTCGCCGAGATCCCGGAGTCGGCCATTGCCCACGTCATGGGCCTGCTGCGGCGTGTGCACATGGTTTTTGTCGGCGCCGAGGCTGTCACGCAGAACGGAGGCATCATCTCGCGCATTGGCACATTCCAGATTGCTCAGCTGGCTTCAAAGGCGAATATTCCCTTTTACGTCGCCGCCGAGACGCACAAGTTTTCAAGAAAGTTTCCCCTCGACCAGCGGGACATAGGCTTCAAGCAGAATGTTCTCGATTTCAGCATAGACGCCGCCAGCAAGCAGCCCGAGGACGCCGTCGACTATACGGTGGGTTATCTATGCCCAAGGGCCTTGAACTTCCCTCCTGCTCTCTTCGCGCCCTTCCTGTTCCCTCGCACCCCTGCGCCGAGACCTTGATTCGAGTGCTGACCCTGGAAATAGCCACCCGAGCTCATCACCAACCTGGTGACGGAGAACGGCGTTCACTTGCCCGGCTACGTATTTGAGCAGCTCCTTGACATCTACGGCAGTCTTAATGGGTGATGGGCGAACAACAGGCCCCGGCGGCCGGCCCGGCCCGGCGGCATTGGATCCCTGACGCTCGCCCTTGTCGACGCACTGTCTGATGTGTTGCTCATTACCCCCTAGGCCTTTGAATGACATGCTTCGTTCAGTCATTCTTACTCACGCAGGCTTACGAACCATCTTCCGAGGACGACCAGGTTGGTGGAAAGCCCGGAAGGGGCTAGACGATAGTCGTCTCCTTTTACGATGGATGAAATGAGGAGGAAAATAGGCTCAACTGGCGCAGAGTTGCGCATCGCCGCTCCATGAGTCGGCATATGCGATCGACCTCGTTGAATGGAGAACCAAGCGGTAGAAGTATAACATTCATCGCGGAGCAGTTAGATATACCCAGCCACGTGCGTTTCTAGCCAAGGGATTCTTCTCAATGTCTTGGTGTGTGTGTATTGTAAACGAGCGTATGTCTGTGGTTGCTAACGTGCACATGCGTCAAGAGAATGGATGGCTCCGCCCTCGGGATGCTCCGAGACGTGTACAGCGAGGCAGCGAGGAGGCCCAACAATGCACCTGATATCCTGGTTACTGATCCCTGTCGTTCCTGAGTACTCTGGTCACACTCCGGACTCGTTGCCACGCAGACCGTCGAGGCAAAGACCGACCCGGGCATCACGGAAGGTCCCGGACGAGCCTGGCACCAGCCCAGGCATAGGGGTAGTTGCGCTGGTACCAGTTGACGAAGCTCTTGCGGCCGGCGATGCGCGGGTGGGTGGCCCAGGAGCCGCCGAGGACAATGTTGTGCTTGCCGTCAAAGAAGTCGGCCGTGTAGGCCGGGTAGAGCGACATGGGCTCGAAGCCCGGGTGGCGGCACAGGGGCGAGCTGGTCCACTCCCAGAGGCCGCCCATGGCCGCGCGCCCGCCAAGCGAGCCGCCATCGGCCGTCACCGGCACGGGGTGCCAGTGGCGGAAGCCGACGTTGGCGTCGCTGAGGTCGGCGAAGAGCTCCGGGGAGGCGACGCCGACGGGGGGGGATGCGGTGCCGCGGTCGGTAGGGGGGGTTTCCTCGACGCCGTCGTTGACGAGGTGGCTGTCGGCGATGCATGACAGGGTCGTCGTCAGCCGCTGCTCGGCGTGATTGCATGCCTGGGGGAGGGAGAGGACTTACCCGTTGACGGCCGGGACCTTCTTGGTCAGCCTGCTCTTGGTGGAGGCCTCTTTCTTGAGGCCGTCGACGTAGGCGTAGATGCTGCGCGCCTCGTCGACGGTCGGGATACGGCCGCCCATCCAGGACGCGCAGCGGGCCAGCTCGTCGTACGAGGCGAAGACGGGCCAGTCGAGAGCGTGGGCCAGGGGCACGAGGCCGTAGACGGTGCATACCGCCTTGCCGCGCAGGAAGGATGCGGGCAGCGCCGAATGGACAGCGTTGGCCGAGCCGTTGACGGCGGCGGTGCCATTGTTGTTGCCGTCGGCGACGATGGGGGTGGCGGAGCCGCTGGACCCCTGGCCGCTGGTCGTGTCTAGGCTGGACCAGGATGCCGGGATCTGGTCGATGTTGGAGTTGTACAGGTACTGGGCGTACTAGAGACTCACGACGCAAGAAGCCGGCTGGTTAGCTTCGTCAGGACAGGACCGAGGGCCGGCTCAGGGGCTTATACCTCTTCGTTGGTGATGGGCCGCCCCTGAGCCTGGAAAGCATGGACCGTCGCGGTGCGGGCTGGCTTCTCATTGTCCCTGGCAGCGTGTTAGAGCCTGTGTTGACAACGGGGGAACACGGCAGATGCGAATCCCTTCGTACCAGCCAAAGTGACGGGACGGATCGGTGCCGTCCTCCGGGTCGTCCATGCCGACGGCGATGGTCTGGGCGGGCACGTCGAACCACTGGTTCGGGACCCGGGCCCGGGCGGCTTCTTCTGCCGCGAGGGCAAAGTCGGGACGGGGCGCATTGGGGGGCGGCAGCGTCTTATCACTCTGCAGCATCATGTACAGCAGCGTCTCGAGGTGCATCAGCTCGTGCTCGAAGCCGACCCAGACGGCGCGGGCGACGTGCCGGGGCATATCGACCGCAGCGCCGCCGCGGCCGCCGTCGCCATAGAGGCGGCGCAGGCGGGCCCGGACGCGGACCTGGTAGTCGGCAATCTCGTCGACGGCGGGCCACTCGTCGGGCACGGCCGAGTGGGCGTGGCAGTGCTCCGGGTTGTCGACGTCCGGGTCGATGCCGCGCTCGAAGATGGCGGGGAACAGGCTCGGCTCCGAGGCCGGCTCGCCCGTCGCCTTGGACAGCTGGATGTCGAGAAAGGTCGGGATGTGACCCAGGTAGAAGATGCACGCGTGGCGCAGCTTGATGGGCTTCTCGTCGACCGACTGGCGCGGCAGCATGTCTCGCGTCACCGCGTCCCAGGCCTCCCACGCGGCCTCCCAGTCTTTGATGGACGGCAGCGGCGCCGTGGCGTAGAGCGACGGGTTCCTGTAGAAGGGGAGCGTGGCGCGCTGCAGGATGTGGAGGCCTACATGCGTGCCCGTCAGACGCTGATAGAACGGCTACGGGGTTCCAGGGGGGAGGAGCATGAGGCTCTCGGCGAAGAAAGGGGGCTCAGGGGGGAGAGGAGACAGCGACGACTTACCATACTCGTCGCCCCGGCGCCAGCACGCCACCTCGCTCAGGCCGGCCTGCTTCCACAGCTTGTCGGAGCCGTGCTTGGAGTACTTGAGGCTCTGCTCGATCTGGATGCGCTCGTGCGGGTCGAGGGCGGCCCCGAGGACCGTCATGTCCCGGAGCGGCGTGAGGAAGGCCTGGTGGCGGCCGCCGTCGCGGTCGTAGACGTACTCGCCCACGACCTTCCACTCGTCGACGCGGAAGACTTGCTCGCCGTAGATCTCGTTGGCGTGCGCCAGGCCGTTGAGGTAGAACCTGGACAAGGAGCAGCAGAGGCTCGGGGTCAGTCTGTCCCATGGCGCCGTTCCCGACGGCGGTGCGTTCAGCGCGAGGACTTCTTACTCGTGGGTGAGTCCCAGGCTGTCTGTTTGTTTCTCCGCGTCAGACCCTCTTCCTCGATGACAGGCAACGGAGCTGAGCAAGTTCAAGGCGGATACGAACCATTGTATGCGCGGCTGGCAAAGGGGCCCGAGTCAGTCAAGCTCCCTCGTCTCCTTGGGCAGCATGGTAAACAGGTGTTCATGACCGACGACGCTACTCAGGGGCAAGGGGAGTCAGCGCAAAAATGAAAGGAGACGGGAGACGCACTAGACTTTGTCCGGGTCGCAGCAGGAGTCGACGCCGACAATCATAACGTCGCGCTCGGGGCGCAAGAGCTGGGAAAAGCCCTGCAGGAAGTCGGCTGCGTCGTCGCGGTGGAAGTTGCCTGCGAGCCCGGGGCAGAGGAGCCAGGCCTGTGAGCAGAGGCGCATGGAAAAGACGACGACGGCAACAGCGGCAGCACACGCACCGATGCTGGACCCGATGTGGAGGATGCACTTGGGCCTCTCGAGAATCCGGGGCTGCTTGAGCCACTCGCGGCCGTCGTCGTAGGTGCCGAGCAGGCCGTGGCAGGCGACGTGGCGGAAGTCGGGGACGTGGGCCAGGGTGCGCTCCAGCTCGCGCTGCGACAGGTCGAGGGCGTAGTAGTCGACGGGCTTGGCCTGATCTTCAAGGGCCTGCAGCAGCAGACAGACCTTGCGCAGGTTGCTTTGAAAGGGGCCAGGCCGGGGGCGCGAATCGACGGCGGACGGCGGCGGCCATGGTTGTTAGTTTGGAAAGGATCCTGAAAGACCAAGGGGTGGTGGAGAGGGGGAAAGATAGGGGGGGTGGTGGAGAGGGGGAAAGATAGGGGGGGTGGGGGAAGGGGGGCAAGGGAATGTCTCTTCTTCTGGCTTTGTTTCTCGTCTTGTTTCTTTGCTTCTTTCTTTCTTTCTTCCATCTTCAAGACGTGGGGACTGGGGACGGACGATGGCAAGCAACGCGCACTAACCCGCTCCCCAGTTCAACAACCACGGCTCCCGCGGGGATCTTGCTCGCCAGCTCGGCCGCCGACTGTTTGAGCAGCTCGATCTCGTAGTTGGTCAAGTAGTACTCGTCCAGATAGGTAATCTGCAGCACAGGGGGCGTTGTGAGCGTCGTGAACCCCGGGACAGAGACGACGCGCCGACGCACCTCCTCGAACATCTGCAGGCCCTTTTCGTCGTAGAGCAGAAGCGTCGGCAGCTTGCGCGGGCCGTGGACGGGGTTGAGCATCGAGGCGACCTCGTCCTTGAGGTTGAAGCACGACTCGCGGCCGTCGCGGATGTCGATGATGTCGAGCGGCTGCGGCGGCGGCGGCGGCTGCTTCTTGGCCAGCGGCGCCGGGTCCGCGAGGGGCGGGCTGGCGGCGGCCCGGCGGCCAAGGACTGATTCCTTGACGGCAGGCATTGCGGGTTTTTTCCTCGGTTATCTGGTATGCCGTCTGGTGACTCTGTCTCGGCGGTGGAGCGAGCAGACTCGGGAGCTGGGCAACGGGGCGACGGGAGGGACGTTGTATATAAAAACAAAGATGAAGAATGACGACGAAGCTTCTATTCTAGGTACTAGATGATTAGAGATCGAGTCCGAGACATGGGCTGACGAGATTCGAGACCAGGGGGGGGGGAGCTTGCCCGGTAGCCGGAAAGTCAAAACTAATACGGAGTGAGCTGCGGAGAGGGAGGATCGGACGGGGGCAAGGAGGGCTTCGGCTCTACATACATATTACATGCCGCGTCGTAGCTCCCGCACTAGACGCAGGCAGAGGCAAAGACGAGGTACCGGATAGGAAACGCAGCGTGGGCCAAGGGGAGCAGCAACCCCGAGCTTCCGAGCAGCGGTGATGGATGGAAGCGGCGGTGCTACATACAACCAAGGACGGCAGGCCACACAAGTACACACATACAGCACTGTAGGTACAGTACATACAGGCATCCAGAGCAAGACGATGGCTGCTTTATTCCATCGAGTGCCTTGCAGCGTTGCACCTGGTGCTCTCCCTGGCTGGCCAATCCGGGGGCCACTCTGCCGGGGCCCTGCTGTCATGGGGCCGGGTTCGGCCCCGATAGCCATGGACTTGGGGAGCCGCAGAGTTGCGGCGCGCAGGCCGAGGTCAACGGCTACCAGGCTGGGCCGGCGGAACCCACTTTATGTCGTTTATGTGGGAGCACCGCGTCGTCACGATGCAGGCCATCGAGGTGGGGGAGGGAGGGAGGGCCGGACGGGGGGAGGCGGGCAGGGCATCGGGGCGGGTCGATGTGTAAGCTCCGAAGCACCGGTTAGGCATTTGTCAACGCTGGTCTTTTGTGAGTGTGTGTATGTATGCATATGAGTGAGTGAGTATACAAGCACTGGCTGGATAGGCATGTGTGTCTGCTTCGTGTCTGCTCCGCTGTCCATACATGCTGTGCTGTGTGCTGCTGCTGCTGCTCCGCATCAAACACGCCGTGCGTGACGCGACTACGTGAGTCGCTGTGCACCGCCGTATCCCCAGCCTCGACCTGCGAAACATGCATCGATCCATCTCTTTGGCTTCCTCCACGTGCCACGGCAGGGCGGGCTTCGCAGCTGCGTGCATCCATACGTGACGTACAGATGGGACTAGGGGGCGGACATGGCGCTGCCTAGACGCAAGAGATGGAATCATCATGAACCGCCCCTGTCGAGGGAATATGATGGTGCATCGTCGTCATGGCGTGTGGCAACAGATGCTTTGTCACAAAGCAAGGGGACGATGGGCCGTACTGTACATGATTCAACATAATTACTTGTTGTATACATACAGCACATGATTCTGTTTAACAAGTTCCATGCTTCGTAATTACATCAGGATTAATAAACCGGATATAATACGGACAGCAGGGGGGCGAGGGTGAGAGCCTGCGCCGACCAGCCAGACTGGACGAACCCCTCCTCCTCCTCCTCCTCCTACTCCTCCTCCTCCTCGCCCTCGCCCGCCTGCTGCGGACACGCCCGTCGCTCTCTCCCGCGCAGAGGGGGCCGTCGGCTCCATCGAGGGCCGAGTGCATGTGAACCCTGGCCCTCATGTCCCGAGGCCGGCACTCCCGAGGCCGCTTGCCCTCCTCTTCTTCGCAACGAACCGACCCGCGCCTGGACCGGGTACTGTCCACGCCGACCTCGGGCCTGTCGTCTTCACCTTGTGCGTGGAAGCCGTGTTGGGCAGTGTCTTGAATGGACATGGCCAACGTGTCAATCATCATCATCCAAGCCGTCCTCGACGCAGCGCAGATACGCACGCATGCGAGGCGCCGACATGCAGAGCGGCCCGGCCCAACGGGATGCCGTCTCGGGACTCGAGTCGGCTTCGGCTCGGGCCCTCGGGCTCGGTTCGTCACTCCGGCATGGGCGATGTGATGAGCATGGAGGGGCCTTCCGTGTCCTTTTATATGGGCAGATTAATTAAATATCCAAATGTCCTCTACATGGGCAGATCAAACTTGGCTTGTAAATAAACATTTCCGTTGAGCTTGATCCTAAACTCTCGACCAACCTAAACTCTACGTGGACGTAGAAATGCAACGCAAAAGTATATAAAGGCGCACACGCATGTACAACAAAAGAAACGGCAACAGGCAGGCAGGCAGGCCGGCATATACATCAAGTCTGCCGTGGCTAACCGTAATGCTCTGTCGACATGCTGTCCCACCTGGCCTCATACGACTTACCAGTGGTCGGTCACAAGTCAAGGCGTGCTCGTACGCACGGGACTCGACGGCCACTCGTCACCCATCATGTGCTCGTTCAACGGCTAACAAAAGTGCTCGACGCAGTGCCCATTCATCCATCATGGGCACATCGGCCACCCTTGCATGCCGGTGCCATGAGAATTCACCTCTCGGCAGCCACACAAGATGCAACAAGCAACCCCCCGTCGCCACTGACCGCGAGCTACGAAGCCGCCTTCTTGCCCGTGCCATTGTACCCGCTGGCGACGCTCGACGTCTCGTAGAGGCCCGGGCCCGAGCCCGCCTGGCCCTGGCCGTTGCCGGTGGCGGCCGCGACTATGGCAGGGTTGTCGGCGTCTCCTCCGCCGACAATGACTTGCCCCCCGCCCTTGACCTTGCCGACAACCATGCCCTTGGCCACGCTCTTGAGCACCGCGCGCCGAGACACACCCGCCACGTCAATGTAGACGAGCCCCACGTTCTTGAAGCCGCCGCCCAGGTTCCTCGACACCTCGCCCGCCTCTTCTCCCCACCGGTGCCCGACCACCGTGGTCACGCTCGATGAGGTGCCCGTCAGCAGGTTCCGGCCCGCCTGCTCCACGCCGTCCACCACCGTGTTGAAGGCCATGAGGCTCTTGTTCAGCACCCCGGGCTTGTAGTTTGCAATCGCCTTGCCTTCCTTGTCGTAGCCCCTGGCGCTGCCGTCCTTGCGCTTGGTGACGTGCGCGCCAAAGTTTTGCGCAACCTTGCCAATCGACCCGACCGTGGCCGCCGACAGCCCGGCCGCCTTGGTGGAGAACTGGTTGATGCGTCGGATGTGCGCGTGCGTCGTGGGCGTAAAGGTCACGGGCTTGGCCGCTGGCTTGGTCTTGTGTGTGAAGCCATCGGCCTGCGACTGCATCGTCTTGGTGACGTAGTCGGACGTTGTGATGAGCAGCCGCGACGCCTTGGACGCCGTCGAGACTATAGTCGACTTTTTGAAGGCCGGATGCATCTCGTCCTCGAAGGACAGAGGCTGGACCGAGATGTTATGTGAGCCCTCGGCAGGCAGGGAGATTTCGACTGGGTCTGCAGTGTAAAATGACACGGTCAGCCCGGTGCTCGTTTGTATGCCGAGGGAACGGGATTAAACCTACCTTTGGATCCCGGCTTGACGCCTCCGCCCTCGACCACGTCGAAGCCCTCGCCGAGCTCGCCGACGACGCTGCCGTCCTCCTCGTCGACGAGGACGATCCTACCTCCCTTGCCCGAGTTGGCGCTGTGGCTGCCCGGCACGTATCCCTCGCCGGGATCATACTCGGCCGGGTTGTAGGGCGGGGGCGGTGCGGCGGCGGCCTCGGCGGCCTTGGATCGGTCGGACATGGGTGGCGGGGCGCGCTCGAGAAAGGCGGTGCACTGGGCCAGGATGGTCTCAAAGGTGTCGACGTCCTCCTGGACGCCGGGGCGGCTCCCGACGGGGGGGAACTCGATGCGGGTGAAGGCGCCGCTGCCGGGGCCGAGGTCCCATCGCGGGATCAGGTAGCTGGTGGGCGGCTGGTGGTAGATTTGGGTGGTGGCGGGCATGGGCAGGTCGAGCTCGGGCGGCAGGTGAAGGTGTAGGTAAAAGTCGTCGTCGCCGCGGGAGGGGTCGGAGGGGCCGGCGAAGCCAGAGGCGGTGGGAACCATGAGGAGGGAGAGGGTCTGGGGGCTCATGGGCGTCAGGGACTCCTCGACGCCGTTGAGGATGCGATAGGCCTTGATGCCCTCGACTGCGTAGAGCAGCTTCGGATCCTGTTGGAGAGGCGGCGTCAGCGTGGAGCCCATGGGGCGTCCAAGGGGGGCAGAGGAAGTAAGTACATTGTTGGGCGAAGCCATGATGGGCGCTGCTTTGGATGGATTCGCGACACAGGGAGAGGCGTGGCGGGAATGAAGAGGTAAGGGAACGCCTAAGGGAACGCCCAAGGGAACGCCTGCTTATGCGCCGTGATGGCGGGGGAGGGGCTGATGAAGATGGGCGCTGGATGTCCAGCCCGACGATGAAGAGGTGCTTGTTCCTTGGCAGCTCAACCCCAGGCGTTTGCGGTAGGACGGTCGCTCCTGAAAGTCGGGAGGCGAATCGTCGTTTCAAAAGGCTGCTTGGTCGATTTTAGAAGGCGGTCATGGACTCATGGCAAGCAAGCGCGAGAGGCCTCTTGGGCGGGCCGGCGGGGCGACGTCATTGGACCAGTCGACTCTTTGTCGACGCCGCCTCCCTTGTGTCTTTCTTGTTATTAATTAGCTTTCCGCCCAGGGGGGGTTTCGGTTCCGCTTTTTGTTGTTGGCGTCGAGATGATGAAACCCGCAAGGGCTGCACACGCAGCGGCCTGAATCAGGTCGGCCCAGGCCAATCAGGGCGCTGCCGGCCTTTTTTGTCGCAGGCTTCCATCGCCGTGAATGCGTCAGAGATGCCCTGGCATCGGCTGGTGGAAGCAGGCATTGTTCGTCCAAATTAATTATGGGAGACGCCGTCGTCGAGCGAAGCAGAGACGCTGCAACAGCGCCCCAGTGGAGGAGAGAGAATCGGGGGGTGTCTCAGAGCCGTCATGGGACAACAAAGGGCAATGGATGGCGTCTCGATTCTGCTTGAGCGGCCGCCGATATTGTACGGCAAAAGTCGTGTGCAAAAGAGACCAAAATGCATTCAGTCCGTCCGGCAGAGGAGACGGCTCGGTCAGATAAAAGAAAGGGCGGTCACGTGCCGGCACGGGACCTGCACGGCACCGTGACGCGCCGTGTTGCTTCTCCCGGTCAACAATCCCGTGGCCTCTTCTTGGAGCTGCTGGACAACTCGCGCGCTTCGCTCAACAGCTGCTGCGCCGCCGTCGACAAAACTAGCTACGGACCCTCCCCTACCGTCCATCGTCACCCTCCGGACCGCCGCCTACCTCCCGCCCCTCGGGAGGCGGACCATCCATGTGTCGATACGAGCTCCTCGGTGTCATCATCCTCCTCATACACGACATAGGCGACGCTCTCCGGCCAAACAGAGGGGCCAAGCGGTAACGACGCCAATGTCCTCTCCCATGTGCCGGCTAACGCGCCTGCTCGCAGCCATCTTGCTACCGAGCCATGCTCCACGAGATCCTCCTCTCCCTCTCGGGCCACCCGTCCCCCCTCCTCCGATCATGCAGTTTCGAAACAGACGCCATCACTCTTCCCGAGCGCCAGCTGCTAGCCTCGGCCGCTCACCTTAGCAATGTCCATGTCGACCTCGTTGCCCACGCCTCCCGCCTGGCGTCTTCTCACCCGTCCGCAATATGCCGCGCCGTTGCCAACGCCATCCAGTCTCGCCATCTCTCGGCCTTTCAGCGCAAAGTGCTCGACGTCGAGGAGAGCATCCTGACGCTCGACCCGGAGCTCGTCGGCGCCTACAACATCGTGCCGCTGACGGCCGTCATGAGCGACTTCCAGCAGTGGAGGAGGATAATGGAATGGCTGCTGGAAACGGCGCGCTTCATGGCCGCAAAGAGCAACACGTGCCAAGGCGCCGACTTGATCAACCGCTTGAGGGTCGACGTCCAGAGCGGATATCGCGACGTGGCCGAGACTGCCCTGAGCTTGGTGGCTGTGGCTGAGACGGCCTGGCTGAAGCACGTCTCTGCCTGGGTCCTCTATGGCCGACTCCCAACTCTCGGCTCTGCTGATTTCTTTGTGCAAAAGTCGCAACCACCAGACGACGTAGCCTGCCCTTGACCACCCGCTGTCTCTTTCCTAGACGCTGACTGCTCGGCAGGACTTCGTTTGTGCACCTCAACATTTGCCGTCATTTGTCACTCCGGCCACGGCTGCGTCCATGCTCTACATCGGCAAGTCGCTCAACCGCATCCGTGCCGTGGGCGATGCCTCTTCTAGCATCGGAGGCCTGGACCACGTTTCATCGAAGCTGCAAGAGCTGGCAAGCTTACCATTCCCCCTCAACAGCGCCAGTTTCTCCAGGACCATTGCCTCCATCCGCCTTTCGCTCTCCGAGAATACGCTATCCAAGCTACTGCCGCTGGCAAAGGTGCTCGAGATGCTGCAGCTTCTTCGTGACTTCCTATTGCTTGGCCGCGGTGAATTCGCCCTGGCCTTGACACAGGAAGCCGACGACAAGATAAGAAACAGGTGGCGCAGAGCAGGCAACCTCTCCCACGAACGGGACAGCGGTCTTAAGAATCTGACCATCAAGGACGGGGAGGTCGCCGCGGTCCTCAACAGGACTTGGGCGGTCCTGGCATCCATGCAAGGACGGCATGCCGACGAGGACGATCAGCTGGAACTGGCCCGCGATTTGCTGCGACTGCAACTCACCAAGTCGGAAACTCCCCCGTCCCTCAGCGCAGAGCAGAAGCTGGTGAGCGCTGATGTTGCCACGCGCCTGGAAGCGTTGCCCTTCCAGAACCTGCTATTCTCGGTGCCCGCCGTGCTCCACGTCGAGCTTCCGTCTCCTTTGGACATGGTCATTTCCCCGGCCGACTTGCAAATCTACTCGTGCATAAACTCGTACTTGCTTTCTTTGCGCCGTGCCCACATCCGACTGACGGATCTGTGGAAGATGACGTCTCTGAGGCGCCACCATGCGGCCCCCATGGGGGCAGGCGAGCACGCCGTCACACTACGGAGGCGCTGGTCGGCCAGGTCGGCCGCCTTGCGGAGCTCGTGGACGACGGCAAGTGCCGTTATTTTCTTCCTTGGTGAGACGGAGGGGTACCTGCAGACGGAGGTTGTGGCCGGCATGTGGGAAACGTTTAGCTCATGGTTGACGGGCCACGATGCGCGACAAGACAGGCGAGGCGGCGGACCATCTGGCGCACCGGCACCCGCCTCGGTCCAAGACGGGCAGGCCCATGAAGAGCAGGACTTGTTCCTCCCCGACGAGACCTCGGACCACGGGCGCAAGGCAGACGCACCCCGCAATCACCCAACACACGATCCTCAGACCCTCTCCACAGCCCACACCCTGTTCCTAGGCACGCTTGCGCGCCGACTTCTCCTCACCCAGTCAAGCTTCACCGAACCGCTATACGCACTTTTGACACACATTGACTACCTCGTTCTGCATATGCGGCGGCTGCATTCCATCTTCATCTCGATGGACCTCGAAGCGGATGCCGGCGTGGTCGATGCGTTTGTCGACTTGGAACAAGAAGAGGAAGGGGTCCTGGCACTGCTCCACGCAGTAGAAGGCAAGGCCAGGAAGGGAATAGAGGCAGTCGTGGACACCCTGCGGGCGCTCGAGAGCGATCCGAAATTCTTGGCTGAGTGGGAAGCCGAAGGGGCCATGGCTGAAGATGAGTCGAGTGGAAACCGCCGATATGCTCCTGGCAAGATTGGGGGCATCGACCGGCTGCTGATGAAACTTGACTTTGGGGGCTGGCTCGGGAGCAGGCATGATGAATGGTATCAGAACGGCTAGGAGCATCGACGCCTTGTGAGCATAGCGCGGAGTTTTGGACGGAGGTTTCTTTCCGTGGCACTGGTAGTGAACCGGAAAGGGATCCGAGACGGCAGACACCATCGTCTCAGGGACCGTTGGCCGAATAGATGGATCATCACTCAACGCCTTGACATGCACTTGGTCAACCTTGCACAGGTCCTGCTGTGGAGAAGAGTGATGGATATTATTCGTCTTTGTTGTCATCCTGGCTACTAATTGCTCAACGCCAGAGCGGTCTCTTTGCATCTGCGAATCTCAACGCCAGACACTTCGTACGGACGCCCGCCCAGCTCCAAAGCTATACCTAAACGCGTTGCTTGCTCATGCTCGCCAAGATCATGTCTCTGATTACCATTACCCGTGCCTAAACACCTGAGCTGCTGATGTCATCGCGGCAAGAGCCGAGGGCAAGAAGAGAATAAATGATTACAACTCTGTAGTAAGACAAAAGATTCCGTGCACGGGATGTGAAACATGGAGGCTTCGAGAAACTCGCCACCGACTGGGTGACGGGGCGCGATGACGACAGTCCTCAGTGAACAGTCAGCGTTCTCGCGACGCGCAGCGGGCTGTGGGAATGCTGCGTCGACAGTCTGCGGGAGAAGAAGTCGCGCACGGCGGACCTGGACCGACCGGCGTCGGCGACGTGGGGCCGGGCGGGGACAAGTGGGGCCGGCTTCTTGACCTGCCAGCGGTCCCTGATGCAGTCGTCGACCAAGGCCATGAGACCCGTAGCAACGATGATGCTGCAGCGGTGTTTCCGTTAGAGTCACAAGCGAGGAAAGACGAGCTCGACGAGGGCAGACACTTACTCGGCTACGTCCGTCATGGCCTCGACAACCGCCGGGTCGCTGATCCACATGTAGCACGGAGGAATCCAGCCGCCGGCCCGGTCCTCGGCGCTGACCTGGTTCGGACTCCTCACCTCAGGGACAATGTGCGCCACGGGGTCTCCGTGCCCGTCCCGGACGAGGTGGAAGGAGACGGTGTTGAGCGTCTTGTCGACGGAGCGCTTCCAGGCGTACTCGTGGCCCCACCACTCGAACTCGTAGCGCCTGGCGCCGTGGCGGCGGACGTCGACGCGCGCGTAGTTGCTGAACTCGAGCTTGATGGTGTCGGTGGGGACGAGGAGCGAGGCCGGCTGCGGCGGGGACTGCGATGTCGCGACGGAAAGCGAGCTCGCAGCCGAGTCGGTCGATCCGCGCCGACTGCCGGGGGAAACGCTTTGCGCCGTCGTGGTGGCCAGGCTGCCCCGTGTCGACGGCCTCCGGGAGAAGAGAGAGGAGGAGGATCGCGTGGAGCCAGCAGCGGAGCCCGAAGACGACGAGGAAGAGGAGGAGGGCCGGCGGAAGGGCGTCTTGACGGAGCGCAGGGCCGCCGAGACGGAGCGGGGGAAGCCGGCCGACGAATCGGCGGGCGACGGGGACGGCTGGGTCGCGTAGGCGCGCTTGCAGCCGCACACCTCGCGGCCCGAGTCGCGGCAGTAGCGGCGGAGGGAGAACTCGCGGCGGGCGAGGTTGTGCATGCGCAGGTGGAAGAGCTGGACGGTGGCGGCGCGGCGGCTGCGGCCCAGCACGGGGCCGGGGCCGGCGAGAGAGCCGGAGCGCATCCCGGGGGCCACGACGGTCTCGACGCGCAGGTTCATGTTGCCGTCCGCGGAGGCGTCGTCGTGCCGGATGGCCAGGCGGTCGAGGGAGGGGAAGAGGCGGCCGAAGGTGTAGGGGTCTGAGGGCCGGAGGGCCGGGTCGGCGGGGATCACCAGGCCGGCTGGGCGGTAGCGGGGGGGCAGGACGACGGGGGTGGCGGCGTCGTCGGCGCAGTAGATTGAGCCGGTGCCGTTTGCGGCGTCGTCGTGGACATCGTCTTCGTCATCTTCGGAGAGCAGGGAGTTGTAGGTGTTGACGGACGTGGTGGAGGATGAAGGTTCCGGGGGGAATAGGGTGATGGATGGTGGCGTGGAGGGCTCCTCGATGTCATCCGTGAGTTCATCGCCTTCCTCCTGGTCTTCATCTACCTCGTCTCCTTCTGCCTCCTCGCTCTGCCCACTCCTCGTCCCGAATTGTGTTCTTTGCTGATGCGGCCCATTGTGTGACGGTGCGGCGGAGTGAGGAGCTTCATGAGACGAAGGGTGGGGTGTGGAGGTGGTCGTGACAGGCGTCGATGAGGACATTAGCTGGGGCTTGGCCTGCCCTCTTCTGCTGGTTATAGACGCCATGTTGTGTTGAGAAAGAGGTTGTGGTGGTGTTGTATATGTCAAGGCGGGCGGCGCGAAGAGGTTGCCTTGGAGAAGGTGGGTGCGTATAAGTGCAAGAAGTGGGTGTGTGCACTTGTATTATTTGAACACTTTAATTCAAAGTAGTGGCGGATATGGGATGAAGACTATGTCAAAGTGCGGAAACGGCAAAGAAGAGAAGGCGTCTGGTGACGAGCCCACGGGTAGGGGCATCACGCAGGGCGATATATAGCTTCTACTGAAAGGGGTGGGGGGGGGGGGAGGACCACGATGGCTCCCAAGGCGTCCAGCCGAGGGTGTGGGAAGGGAAAGGCAGAGACGGCAGGTCAGTCAATGGTTTGCTTGCGAATCAAGACATGGCACCGCCTCGACCGGGGGAGCTATAAGCGTCATGCCACGACGGCGACAAGCCGACGACGATGCGCAAGCCTCGCCCGCCTCTTTCTCGTTCCTTTTTTGGTTCGCCAGGCAAACGGACAGGCAACGGGGTCTGTTCTTTACCCCGAATCCCCCCCTTCCCGGTCGGTTAGGGCTTTGATCCATTGCCGGCGGCCCGACAGCGTCTCGCTCGGGCTTGGGGTGCGCGAGAGGCCGGTCACAGTGTGTGTGGCGCTTACGGATGGCTCCGGCTGACGAAGAAGGGGGTGTGAGTGAGTGAGTGAGTGAGTGAGTGTGTGTGTGTGTGAGCGGATATGAGTGTGTGGAGAGGGGAGTGGGTTTGTAGATCCCGGAAAAGGGGGGGTTTGGGGGTCTGTGTCAGGAGGAGCCTGGGCCTATGGGGAGAAAGGACAGGCAGAGCGGGTGAGGGAGAGAAGGACAAGGAGACGTCTCATCGGCGGCGTCTGGTAGCTGCTTGGCTCGCTGACGATGACGATGGAGGTGGCCCCGGGGCTTTGGCTGTGGGTTGACGTTGCACCACGTAAGTTATGTTCAGCATGCTAGGTAAGTTACATGCAGTTAGTTAGTCAGGGCCAAAGGGCGTTGGGTAGCGGAGGTTTTCGTCCTCTCCTTTCACTCTCTTGCCTCGTTGACTCTCCTGCGTCCCCAGCGATGAGCCCCCAGCGATGAGCCCCCAGCCCGGCCCCAAGCAACGAGCGGCCGACGACCAACGAGCGAAGACGCGCCCCCGAGGCAGGTGGCAGTTTGCTCTCCAACCATTCGGACCTCGCCCCTTGCACGCACACGGTGCCATAAGCGCCCCTCTCCGTAAGAAAAACTGCCGAAGGGGGGAGGTCGCCGGGAGACGAGGCGAATCCCCCTCGTGGCTCGGGCTGCCCTTTTTTTCTTTTTTCTTTTTGCTTTTCTTGCTTGGACTTCTGTCTTGAAACTCATGGCATGGCCCGTGGGGCTTGGCTCCGTTTAGCCCGAGGCCGTGATGATGGCTCATGATTCCGCGGCTGACGGAGCTTGTGACGCGAGGCGAGACACGGCGAGGGCGGCTGCGCAAACAAAAAAGGCTCTCAAGCCCGTCGAGTGACCACGTTTCTTGGGGATGATGCCTGCAAAGGACGCAGCCCCCCCCCGCCCCGCAAACTGCCCACATGGGAGGGAGTTGCTTCTGCTTGCTGTCTGACCGTACAGCCAACCAACCAGGCCAAAGGGGGTGGGCAGCATGGCGTGGCATGGGCAGACACACGCACATTGTACACTTTGGAAGCCCCCTCGTCTTCGAATCATCGCGGATGCTGCCCTTGGTAAGCTGCGCAGAGAAGAACGTTCCATACATGCGTTGCATGCGGCATCGTATGATGGGCCAGACGTCGCCGTCCTGCCCCCGACCAGGCTGCCCCCCCCCCGCGAGTGGCCGCTTTCCATTGCTGCTTACACTGTGAATATTCGCATCTTTTTGTCAGGCCTCCCTCGCCTCACTCGTTCGCTGGCCGTGAGCAAGACGGCGTGGCAGTTCTCGCCCCCCTCCAACCCAGCTCCGAGCCGCGTTTCCCCGACGGAGGCCACTGCCATCCTCGACGATTATCAAGGAACGGTAAGCATCTGTCTCGCCAGTGCCGAATACTTGCGTGGTGGCCTCATCACACCGTTGTGCGACGCGAGCCCGTTCTTTGCCGCTGTTATTAGTCGCCTGGGCACGAGGCACCGACCGCCGAGCACCGCAACCCTGATTTCCTTTCCTTTCTTTTTTTGCTTCGGCCGATTGATGTATGCATGTGGGCGGGTTGCATCGACTACTGAACCCTGGCGGCTTCACGGATACCAGAGCCGTCGAGGGGTGATGGTGCCCTCCTCTATTCTGCCGGGACGCTGCCCCTCCTCCTCGAACCAACAACTTCAAACTTTGATGCTCTGGTTCCTCCTCACCGAGAGCGACGATCAGATGCATGTGATGCCCTGTAAGCGTGCCACTGTGTTTACCTTCCCCTTCCTCGTCTTGCCCCGAAACCTACGCAAGCAACCGCATGGCTGGAGGCGAACAAAGAGGGAAGCCATCGCCACCACCCCCGTTGCCAAGATCCAAGCCATCAGGGTGATCCCAGATCGGAGCCGCGACCCACGGTGGGCCGGCCTTGTTGCTGCCCAACTCGTCCCGGATCGGTCCGCGTGTGGGGGGACACTGTCCTCGCGGCTCACGCTGCTTAGTAGACGGCCCGTCGTCCTGTTGTTATATGTGCGTGCTTTACAGTATGTACAAACATGTGTTGTTTCCCCCCCTCCCAACAGCAGGCAACAGCAGGCAACAGCGTCTATCGTCTCGAGGGTGGACATGGCAGCGGCATGTGTGTATCGGAGCCTGGATGCTGCTCTGCCGTGCTCCCCCTTCGATTCGATTCGAGCCGGGCTTCCACACGGGGTCCGTCTAGACTCTGGACTCCTTTCTTCTTTCACCTCAGCAGCAACTATCGTTTCAACCCATCCCTCTCACATCCGCTCGCTCATGACATCCGAGCTCCCACTGACGACCCCCTCGCCTTGGATTCACTCCCGACAACAGACTCTACTGTACAAGCGTCTTCGGGTGTATCCGACGCATCCGACTCCCTTTCCCCCCAACCAGCACCGGACCCCTACCTAGCAAACCTCACACGACGCGCCCTGCCTCCGGAGTAAACCCCCATTAAGCCCAGACGCTGCCAACCGGCAGAGGCTGCATCTTCCCCGCAGCATGTGCATCGAGCCCGCCGGAAGAGCATGGCGCCAAAACGCCCCCGTCTGCCTGTTGCAGGCTGCACGCTACGGCAGCTGAATCGATCTATCGAGCCCTCTTCTTCCGCTTGGGGAACCGTATCAACACGGCCTGTGCATGGGTGGCTTTTCAATCTTGGACGGGCTGCTCATCCCCGGGCTGCTGCGATGCCTATACCCGTCGTCGGCGCGTCATGGCGTTGCCTTTTCTCTCGTGTGCCGCGTTGCAGCGAGTGGCACAAGGCAGACGGAGCACAGCATGCAGGCGTGCGTCCTACCTCTATGTGCGCACCGTGTCTGGACTCGAGGCTGGGTTGGGCGTTGTGGCTGTTTGTTTGCCTCGTCCACGATGACGCCCATGGAGCAGACGAGGGACAAGCCATCGATGAGCCGTGACGAGTGGGCGGTGCTTCATCGTGAAACCGAGCGGGCCTACAGAGCAGGGGGCTGCGAATCACCGGCAAAGCTACACGGCTTCCACCCGCTCCCGTGTGTCCACGGTGCCAGATCAAAGTCCAACGGCCCTTGACGGATGTCTTTGGCTGTGCTGTCTGAATCCCAGCGCCATACCGGCCGTATCACCGGGGAATCAGATGGCCCCGTTTAGTCCCCGGTCCTCCTTCATCGTCCCTCTCCTCCTCGGTGCCATTGCATTCGTGTAAGCGCATGACAAGCCCCAACGACTGGCCCGGCGAGAGGGAAAATGGCGAGATGCCACAGCCTGGGCGGCGGCGGGCCATGGCATGCGTGTCAGTCGCTCATTCGCGCGGCTTCGGCCCGGCCACGCTCTTCTCCCACCCGCGTCCTCGCTCTCCCGCGAGGAGCGACGGACAACCGCCGCGCCATTCTCCGAGCCATCCATGCTCCTTGTCCACCTCTCGTATGTCCTTTAGCTCCTTCTGCTTCTTCTCCATCTTTCGTCTGATCCCGTCTCCCTCTTTTGGCGCGGTTATTTGCAAAGCTCGATTCGGCAGTCTTGCATTTTCCATCTACATGGCCGATTCTCGATACTGCGCCTCTTTGCCTTTCTTCGGTGTCTTCAGCGAGGAGCCAGCAAGGCAGCACCGGCCATCATCATTCCGAAGTGACTGAAATAGACAGGCGCTCCCTGTCTCCGGACTCGGAGCATGAGCGGCTGACGGGCCAGAGCCCGAGAGGGAAGAGGACAAGACTAATCCCCTTCAGTAGAACCATTAAAGAAGAAGGGCCGCCATTGGAGAAGCCGGGCCTGCCCATCCATCAAGGCGGGTGTGTGTTGCCAGCTCATCTACTCGTACAACCACATCAGGCTTCAAGCTATTACCCGATGCCCTTTGGTGTGCCTCACTTCTTCGTCGCCCCAGACACCCTTTCTTTCCTTCTCGGATTCCTCTAGGTCCGCTGCCTCACCTCGGCTTGCTCGTTACGCAACAACATGATTGGATTCCACAGGCTGCTCGAGCACAGGGACCCTCGAGACTACTCCTAATCCACGAGCTCTCCGTCCGCATATCCGCTCCTCGACCGTGAATCGTGGGCCGTGGTCCTCATTTGCTTTTCCCTCCCCTCGCCGTCCATTGAGCCTTCAGTATACTGCACGTACATCAATCAGGCTGCACGAGCAAATGCCTTTAGCTACTGCACGACTACACCACTGCTTCACTCCTCGCTGGCTTTCCCTCCTCCATTCCGGCCCTTGGACATCCTCCGGGAAGCAAGGGCCCGAGGCAAGTAAACCACGCCTCCCTTCCGTCGTGTATCAATCCTCATACGAGAAGAGTACATGATGCGACTCCTCGTCGTCAAAGGGCCAACCGCAGAGCAGACGCCGTCCTTTCTCCCATCAAGTAGAGCAGCCCCCCTGGCCCCGGTTGGCTCATACGCCGTCGACGTAGACCCAGGTATCTCGCTCAATGGGCTGAGCGTGCTGGACAGTCAGTGCCCAAGGAGACCCCCTCTCCTTTGTTTGCCACAGTCGACAGACAGGCCACTCCAATACAGGCCGTGCGACCACGCGTGCCATCGAACCAGGCCAGGCCATTCCCCAATCCAGAGACTGACATGTCGGGTGTCTGCCTCCCTCGTCCGAATCCCGAGTGGAGGGATCCGATGTGCTTCTTGCGCTATGTTGTGTAGGACAGTGTATGTGTCAAGAGACCAAAGGCGTATCCGCTGCTCGCCTCTTGACATGGCATCGCATACTCTCTTGTCGAACAGAGCAAAAGGGAGTCGACGAGGAGAGCTATCTGGCCACAAGCCGACGGCCAGCCAAGCGCAAGTCAACGGCTGCTCCGGTCATGTGGCCTCCATTCTCACTTCCCTCGTCGTTCTTCTCCCGGTGGCAGCCTCAAATCGTACAGGCGCAATGGTGGACACAATAGAATCATATGCTCTTGACACGTAGCCGATGCCAAAGCTTGCAGGTTGAAACACGCACACACTACTGTGCTATACTACTGTGCTATGGCACGACATGTGACGGGCAACAGTCAAAAGGGCTCACTCCCAGCAAATCAAACTGCGTGCGCGAGGAAAACAAGAGACCATCTCCCAACAACGGGGACTGACTCGAGCAGCCCGCACCGCCCGCCTTCAGGGTCCGGCCGCCAAGCCCCAATTACCCCCGGGGCGGTCCAGCTCAGGCCTGGCCGTTCCAGCCAACCCAGCTGCGCGGCACCACTCTCCAGATCTTGACCTCGCCGCTGCGCAGGTCGTCCAGCTTGAAGCTCTCCAGCTTCACCTTCTTGCTCTCTCGGCCCTGTTCCCAGGCCCGCACCTTCTTCTTGGTCCCGTCCCACTCCGCCACCACCGCGACGTGGTCTGGCTTGCCCACCTCGGCCGAATACTTGGCGTGCATCGGTCCATGCTTGCCCTGGAACTTGGCGTTGCGCACCGACATGATGTCGCCCGGCCGGATCACGTCGTGCTGCTGCGTCGACGCGTTGGCCATGTTGGAGTAGACGAGCGCCCCGTACGCGCGCGTGCCGACTGGCCGCAGCGCGTCCTTGAACGGCCGCAGCAGCTCGGCGACCAGGCCCTGGGGCGTGCCGTCCCCAACCACCGTGTCCTTCTTGGACGAAGCGGCCTCCGAGATGCGACGTCCAAACAGATCGTGGAACTCCTCCATCTGGTCCTGCCGGAGGGCTCGAGGAGGCGACTCGTGTCGCTGCTCCAGCTCCACGTCCGAGGCGTTGTACGGATCGTAGCGCACCGTCAGCACCGTCTGCGAGTAGTCCTGGAAGAGCACGAATATCTCTCGCGTGACGGTCGTCTTTGACCCCTGGTTTGTCGTCATCGACTCCTCACTCTCAAAGTACATGTCTCGCCGCCCTTGCAGCACGGGGGGCACCTGGTTGGCTTGTTTCCACCATCCGCTCTGGACGGCGAGGTCGATGTCGTTGGCAATGAAGCCCGATTCCATCGAGGGTCGAACAATGTCTGTCGACCTTCGGCCGCTCATGCTCGTTCTGGCCACGTCCATCGACTGCCTGTGGGGGGCACGCGTGCCAGGGGTAGCAGGTGGAACCCTCCTCTCGGGCGGGGACGTGGCAGACGGAGAGCCGGGGAAGTATGCCTCCTCTTCGATCTTGGGCGTTTTGTGGCCGTAGCTCGAGCTGAACCCGCCGGCTGCCGACGCCGCGTGGTTGTGGGTATCGTAATCATCGCCAATCCGGGGCGATGGCGCCTCCTTGCCCTGGGGTGGAAGCGGGGGCGCGGCTCGAGGCACGTCCACCGACCGCCGCGTACTGCTCTCGGGTGGCGGCTGAGTGGGGATAGGGGGCGGGACCGCTCGCGGAGCCAAGGCAGCAGGAACAGGCGGCGGTTGGGTTGGCGGAGCGTCCTTGGCGGGAGACTGGGACCCATTATCTTCTAGACTCGAGTCCCGAGCATGCGCCTTCAGCGCGTCCTTGTGAGGGACCGACGATGCAATGTCGGTGTCATAGTCGCCTTCGTATTCGGTATTCTCCTCGTTTTCCTCTTCGCCGGCTTGGGGCGGTCTTGTCGGGACGGCGGGCGTAGGGGGCCCATCTGCGGTCGAATCTCGCGGCAAACCTCCAGGGGGTGGGGGAGGCGGTGGTCGGCCGTGGGCTGGGGGAGGCGCAGGCGCGGACCCGGGTATGGGAGGCGGAGGTCTGCTGTTCCGCTTATTGGTGGTAGACAGGGGGGGGGACAGTGGCGAGGATTCCTCGGGACGAGGAGACAGAGGCGGCGATCTTGCCGGAAGCCCGGGAGCTTGCAAGGGATGGGGCGGCATGGGAGGAGATCGCGCAACGGCGCCCACGTGTGCCATGTTTCTCTCTCGTGCAGAGAGCTCATCGTCTGATTCAGACCCGTCCGTGGCAGACTTGAGATCAGCAGCCGGAGGAGGCGGCGGGGGTCGGCCTACGGTCGCACGTGAGCATGTCAATCGCTTGTCACAGTCACCGTGTAAAAGGGGGCCTTCAAACGTACCATCCGCAGGAACAGGAGGGGGCCCTGGTCGACCTCCAGGCACAGGCGGCGGTCCGCCGGCGTCTCGCCGAGGTGCTGCATTGTTATTAGCCTCCGTCTCAAGCGCGTCGACTCGCTACACAAGAAGCGTACCTTTGGGCTCCGGGGGCGGGGCCGGCGTGGTCGCCTCATCTTCCTCGTCTTGGTCCTCCAGCTGACCATGGCCGTCATCATCGACTGCCCGTGACGGCAAAGGAGGAGGTGCAGCTCTCGACGGGAGAGCGGCTTCGTCTTGTCCCGCACGCTTGGTCTCCTCCGATGCCCTTGAGCCCCCCATGCCGGGAAGTGCCATTGGTGTTGGAATCGGAGGGGCTGCGCGAGAAATGGGGCTCGTTTCCTCTGCGCCCTCCGCAGTGGGGTCAGCCTCGGCCTTGGGGGCCTTTTTCTTGGGCGGAGCCATGGCTGTGGGAGGCACTGGAGCTCCAAACATGCCGTGGAAGCCCATGCCGCCACTCATCTTGGCCATCCTCGCCCGCAGCTCTTCCTTGCGCCTAACCTCGGGATCAACATCGTCCTCGTCCTCTTGTTCTGCCTCGTCGGCCTCCACCTCGGCCTCACTCGGGGTGACGGCGGTGGCGGCGGAGGGGGTCATCGAGATCGATGGCAGCTGGGCAGTGCGCCGAGACGTCTCGTCGCTGTCTTCGCGCTCAGTCGTGTCATCCTGTCCCTCGGAGGTGTCACCGGCGCCCGACATGTCGGCGTCGTTGCTGTCGTGGACAAGTTCGGTCGCGGGGCCCTTGGAGGACTTGCGCCGCGGCGGAAGAGCGGCTCGAGCCGGGTGCACTTCATCCGTGGATGTTCTTGTCCCTGTGTCCTCGGCCTCTCTGTGCTCCGACGGAGCCGGCACATGTGGCTCTGCTGCTTCGGCAGTGGGGTCCGCGTCTGCAGAGGCTTCAGTCACCTTCTTGGGCGGCTTCTTGGGCTTGTCCTTTTTTGCAGCAGCCTCGGCATGACGCTGGGCCTGCTCCATCTGCTGCTTCTGAAGCAGGGCGATGCGTTCCTTCAGGCTGGTCGGTTTGGGTTGATCCTCTTCCGCGCCGCCCGATTGCTGGGCAGTCGTGGCCAGCCCGGCTTTTTCCGCTTGTTCGAGGTTCGCGGCCTCTCTCTCCTTGATTTCAGGGTCTTCGTCGCGTCTATAGATTGGGGTCGTGGGGGTCTCCCGAGGCGGGGGAACGTAGGCATTTCGACTCGGGGGAGGGGCGACAAAGGGCTTCTTGATGAAGCTTACGCTGCCGCCGCCTCCGCTAAGACCGCTGGGCTTGAAGGGGGCGACGGGCGGTGCCGCGGGCTTGTTGAAAGCGGCGATGCGGTCCTTGAAGGAGTTGCCCGAGGGCTTGTCAGAAACTGGAGGCGGGGCCGCCGGCTGTTTCTTGGTAGCAGAAGCGGGAGCAGCAGCAGCAGGAGCAGGCGGAGCGCGGGACTCGCTCATGTTGCTTGTGTGAGGAGACGTCGGGACGGGAGCAGACGTGGCGGGCTTGGACGGAGCCGGGACAGCCGCAGCCGGGGACACGTACTCGGCCGGCGGGCTCTTTTGTACGGGCGCGTCGGCCTCTTCAATCTCGGGCTCCGCCTGGCTCGGGTCTTGATGGACCGGGGCAGCCGGAGGCGGGACGGATACATGTTCCGGGGACGGCTGAGCAGCTTCGGGGTCCTTTTTGGGACGGGTCCTCGCAGGCCTCGGGGGCGCGGTGGGCTCGTACTTTTCGACAAAATTGCAGGGAAAGATGCCCTGCCTCTTGGCGCCGTCGTCGTCAAGGTACTCGCCCTCGTACCAGTCGGCATCCTCCTGGTCGGTGACGGTGATGATTTGGCCGGCGGCGAAGTTGAGGTCGTCGTCGTGGGGCGACGAGTACTCGTAGAGGGCCTTGACGCGGAAGGGCGCGGCCATGGCGACGGCGGGCTTTCCTCGCAGACGGGCTATGACACGTCTGCCGCAGCGACGACGAGGAGTGTTTGGTTCCGCCGCTCAATGGGACGTGGGTGGGTGTGGGGCGAATCGAGGGGCGTCCTTTTCCACAGGGGGCCTCGTCAGCTTCGGGCGGGGATGGTGGTTGGCGAGGATGCGGTGAGCGTCGTCGGAGCCCGAGGACCGGCGAGGGCGCTTGAGATGTCGTAGGTGGATGAAGTCCAAAGGCCACGATGCACCGCAGGTCAAAGGGGCGAGAGGAGCAGGAGGAGGCTGTGAGGCGTAGCGTTGCGGGACCGACAGGCTGAGAGCGACAGTGGCTGTTGGTTGGAGAAGGAGTGGGCGTCGACGTCAGCGGGCGGAGGATGGAACAGTCGGGCAGAAAAATGGAACAATGGCGCCAGTGGAACAGAGCGCTGGCCTCGGCGTGCACTGTAGCGCTAATAATTTTACAGCGACCATCCATGCCCCCGGATGCCGAGGATGCGGCGACCTATTCGTACATACAGCCTGCCCCGGCTGTCTTTGCTGCCGCATCATGAGAAACCACATGACACAAGTTATGCGAAGGCCTAAACGGGGTTGGGTCGAGCTTTGGTCAGCGCCGAGGCCCTCTTGAGTCGTTGGGTTGTTAGGCCTCAAACAATGGCTCCTTCTGCCTTCATGCTCGCCCACGCCACCATGCCCGTGGCCTGGCCTCTGCTCGGTGCATTTGGGTATTCGGGCACGAGGAATGAACGAACCTACAAGGTCGGGGGAAGATGACAGTGGCACCCATCGCCATCGGATATGCAACTCCGTCCGAACCCCGACGCTGCTGTGGTGCTTCATGCGAGCGCTGGAAAGAGAGATGCTTCCCCGCCATGGACCCTAAAAGGGACCCGGAGGAAAATGCGCAGCTGGCTCCCCCGCTCCGGCCAATCGCGCGGCTGGGTGAGCCAGGCATCTCTGCAGCGTGGGAAGCGGGGCCGTAGAATCCGTGCCATGCAAACCGTACTCTCATTGGCCACGCGTGCGCCAACCCTTGCTTCAATATACCGGACATGAAATGCGCGCCAAAATCGCGTCTTTTCTTGCTCTCGCCAGAGCTCAGCTTAATACGGAGCTTTACGATAATAATTAAGGAAGTAATTAAAGAGGTAGTTAAGGAAAAACTCTACTTAAGTATCGCTTTAGGCCTAGGGGGCCTAAAGTAAACCTAGGCCGCGATCGCGGCTAAGACTAAAGGACTAACTTAATATAAAGCCGCGGTAAAGTAGGTCTTATTATACTATAAACGCGAGATTATTATAGTCCTTATTAAAGCACCGCTTAAAATCCTAAGCCGCGAACTAAAAGATATAGTAAAGGTAGTAAATATAGCCTTAAAGGCTACTTATACTATAGCGGCGAGACGCCTTTAAAGTAAAGATATCGCGGTTATATTTAATACCTTAGCGAGAGCTTATTAAAGGGACTAAGGCTAGGTTAAAGCTATATTTCGGCTAGAGGCTATAATTACCCGCTATATATATATAGTAGTTACTAAGAACGTCCTTCTAAAGGTAATAATAGTAAATAGAGAGTAATTACTTTATAAGATTATAAAAGTAAATAAAGTTAAGGTCCTTTAAGCTTAAGTGCTATACTTTTAATTTAAGATATTAATAGCGATAACTATACTTATTAAGGTCGGTAGCTTAAAGGGGGCTAATAAGCTTTATAACTTAAGCTTAGCCCTTAAAGTATAAATCTTTTAATATAAACCCTATAATAAGTCTATTTAACTATAGAGGTACTATAATTACTATAAGTATAGCTATATCGCTAAGTAGTATATATTAATATAACTCTTTAGCTAATATAAGAGTATAGTATATAATAAAAGGGAGGATAAATATAAGATTAAAAAGGGCGAAATCCCTTATAACTATATCTTATATTAAGGGGACTATTAATTATAAACTTAAACTTACCTTATAGCGAATAAAGCTTAAGAGAAAGTAAGGGAAAACTACTTATAAAGACTTTAACGGTTTATAAATACCTAGGTATATACTAAGTAATAAGTACTACCTACTATTAAAACCTAGGGCGTTCTTAATTCGACTATAGTTTAAAAGTAAGGACTAAGTAAACCGCGCTAAGATAAGAGGTTAAGCTTAAAATACCCGCTAGCTAGTAAGGCTAAGGAGGCTAAACTAAGTATAAACGATATTTATAGGTATAGTAAATAAAGAAGCGCTAAAAGATAAAGCACCTCCTTCCTTATATAAATAAACCCTTTTACCTTAACCTTACTTATATATAATTAAAAGTATTATTCTAGAATATATAAAAGAGATATATACTAATATAGCTAGCGCTTTACTACTAAGCTAGCTTTAACTTAATAGTACTATAAGAGGTAAAAGCTATACTAAGAGATAGGGCCTTACCCCTATAAGAAGGTATAAGCAATAAGCGCAGAATCGGGTAATCGATGACGTAAGCGGAAAGATCGGTCGAAGGAGTATAGGGTAGGATTTCGTCCGGAATTTATAACGAGCATATAAGGGGCTGAATAATATATTAAAAGAATAGCGTTGCAAAAGATGCTTGTAAACTTGCTTGTTCTATCTACTACTCCCAGGGAAATCCTTCGTCTTTTATAGACCATTGCTCGCCCACTAGTAGACCAATTAGTCAGCTTTCTAGCACATTCTATAGTGCTTAAAAAGCTCTATCTATAGTATATCTTCCTAACTTAGTAGGTGGTCTGATTGTGGCGTGATGGTTGACGTAAGACTATGGGTTCTAGCATGAGTAGTGGATTTAACTAGAATGTTCTATGCCCTACCTATTCTCGTATCGCGGATATCTTCGGAACCGCTAGCCAAAATAGGCAATAGGGTATCCGTTCTGCTCGTAATTAACTTATGCATTTTATGCATATTTTTGTTTGTAAGGATAGGCTTATCCTGACCCGCTTTTCCTAGAGGAAGGTATAGTTATCTAGTAGAGGTCTTTATCTTTAAGGGTTATTCCCTTAGACTATATTATAGAGCCTCTTTTTACTAGCTTATTCTATAAAGCCTCCCTATGCCTGTTATTTCTTTATAACAGTAAAATAGGAATATAAGGGTATATTCTTATAACCCCTTAAAGCAGCGCCCTATAGCTAGTTTATAAGGAGGGGAGGTATATACTATATATATATAAAAGGCTTAAGCTAGGTATATAGTCGCCTTAGTTTAGATTAAACTAAAGTAAGGTAGTTTTTGAAGATAGTACTAAACTATAAGCGATTTACTTACTATTAAGGGCCGCGAAGACTAAAGCGTTATAAGAAATAAGCGTAATTAAACTAAAGTACCTTATAATAATAATAAGGGACTTTAATCTTTATTACCTACTCTAAGATAAATATAATAAGACCTTAGATAGTATAATATAACTTATATAAAAGGCGATAAGACTATAACTTAAACTTACTACCTTAAAAAGGAAGTATATAAGATTTTCTTATAGCTAAAAAGATAGTACTATTAACTTAATATAAGTAATACTAAAAATTAAGATATAATATACTAGGCCTAGCTTAAACTTAACTAAGTTAAACTATATCCCTTAGACTATTATAATATAAGTTAATACCTAGGTCTGAGTACTTAAACTAGCCTTAAGGTAAAAAGAAGTAAAAGCTAAGCTAGTTAAAGCTAAGACTATACTAGCTAATACTTTAAATATTAAAGGATATTAACTAAGACCTAGACTATATCTTTACTACTTTAAAGTAGATTATAATAGCTATAGTTCCGCGCTAAAGGCGAGTATTATCTAAGGGTAATATATAGTTTACCTTAAAAGTAAGAAAGGTAATAAGAAAGGCTAAGAAGGTAAGGAGAAAGTATAAGTAAAAAAGGAGTAAGGTAAACTAAAAAGACTTATATAAAGTAATAGTAGCTTAAAAGTAAACTATCCGCGAGGTAAGGAAGGCTTATTAGCGTGAGTTTATAAAAGAATTTAACGCTAATAACGCTAAGCTTTAAAATATAAAGAGGTAAGCTAGACTCTATAATAGGCTATTACTAAAACTAACTTATATCCCGCCGCTATTAAAGGAGGGTAAGGACTAATTAATAGAAACCTTTAAAAGGAAGGCCTAGATATTAGCCGCTAAGTTCTTCTTACTAAAGGCTAATATAACTTAAGGGCTACCTTAGCCTATAGTTAAAGCGACCTTTATAGTTAACTAATAAATCTAGCTAGCTAACGTTATAATAGCGCTAAGTAAGATAGTAAGCTAGAAAGTAGTAAGCTTAAATAGCGTTCTCTTAAGGTTTATTAAGAAGTATAGACTAGCCTTAGTTTAGTAACTAGCTATAATCTTTAATACTTATACTTAACTCTTATATTTCCTAAGGCGGTTTTATAGCGCGAATATAATAGTACTTTAATAGCTAGGTAAGAGGCTAAAAGCTTATTATATAGTAAGGGGATAAAGACTAATTTCCCTCTTACTTATAGTAAGGAAAGTACTTAAGTAGATATTAGCTTAAAAGATCGCGGGAGTAATAAAGGTAAATAGTATCCTACTAAATAAATAAATAAAGAATAAGAGGGAGCGCTTTATAAAGGTAGCGATCTTACTAGTAATAGAACTAATATATATAATCTAAGCTTAAAAGAGTATTATATTATTCCTATAGCTAGATATTAAGGGCGTATTTAATATAGTTAATTATAATAAGCTTATAAAAGAACTAGAACTTTAAGGATACCTTAGATAGCTTATAAGCTTAATATAAAGCTTTATAAGTAATGGAAAATTGACCTTTAACTTTAATAAGAAATACTTAAAGCTAATATAAGTATTAATATATAAGAGCGCTACTAAGAAGTATAAGCTAATAAAGCACCTAAGTATATAGTATTAATATATTAATAGGGTATTAGTAAGGAATTATATATAACCTACTTATAAGTTATAAATTACTTACTACTTTAATTAAAGAGGAAAA